CACCTCCCCCTCATTTATCTGTGTCTGTTTTTGCAGTAGTTTCTCTTTTGAGATGTACACCTGGACGGAAAACAGGAGGAGGCTCTTATACAATGTACAGATACTGGGCTTCAAGAAACACTTCACAAAGCACCATTAAAAGGCAGGGCTCAAGACCAGATCTTCCCTGATACAGTGATCTTCGTTATCTTCTCCTGTTTGGTGCTGTAGGATTCTTTCACTACCCATCTCTCCCCAGCCAGCATCCCTGAAAGATTTTCTCTTTCTGATAATCATCTCCCAGAGAACTGTGTCCCTGGGGGATGGGCCTAGAATTTGGGCAAGCCCTGCTGGTAAATACTACTGCAAAATAATCCCCCTAAGCTATACCCTGCTGGGGTCCCTGAGACAAATCCCTTATCACCTCTGGCCTCTGTTTTCTCATATGTAACTTGGAGATAATGACATCCACATCAAAAGTGTTTATAAAAATTAGGGACCCTTCAGATGATATCAAGTAGTCCTAAAGGGGAGGGGCTTTGCCCGTATTCCATAAATTCCACTATGTAGGAACTGTAGAATTTGGAACACTGGTACAAATCAGTAATGCTCTTACCTATATCCAGATCAGATTTCATACCACACTATTTTTATTCAGATGGTTAAAAAGGGATCACGTTGCTAGAATCCTCTTTTTAGGTGACATTTAAGAGAGGCTTGTGTAGAATAGAGAACCAAACATTTTACAGATGATTTTTAAATATATAACATCACTTGATCCTTATAAACCCCAGTGAAGCAGAGAGTATTGGAAATTATTTGTCATATGACTTTAGATACACATAGATGGGATACACAAGGCTGTGGGGAATCACAGCTCAGACTATGACATGGTTGTTAACTCCAAGGATTTTGAAATCTAATTCAAGAGACTCTTTTTTTAGGGACAAAATAATAATACACACTAGCATGTACATTTGTTCATCCCCAGAAATTTACTAGAGATTGTGCGCCCAGGCATTGAGAGAGGCCCTATAGACTGTGCGTAAACAGGTGTGCCCTAAGCCGTGCTGCCTGGGTCTAACTCTTTATTCTTTTGCACAATAACTGCATAATCTTACTTAACCTCTCTATCTCAGTGCATTTTACTTTAAAATGATCATAAAACTGTTACCTAGTTCACAGGAATGTTGTGAGGGTAAAAATCTTTTAATTCACACATAGCATCTCGATACACGAATCTATTATTCTTTGAAATAGATCTCTAGCCTGAGGTCCAGATCTGTTCTTCTCAATATCCTGCCTGTACGGAGCACATTCCAAACTGGTATTTTTCTTCTTACCGACTCTACTGTGTGAAATCAGTTTCTCAAGACACAATATAATGAGATTCCCTTAGAAAGCTCAGGGAAGGCAAGCTATTAGCATCTCTGCTTCCAAAATACATCCCTAACCTGAGCCCTGACCTCCGTTTTCACTGCCTCCTTGCTGGTCCATTCTCTCCCCCGTAACGTGTCTTCGCTGGGCTCCTGAGGGCTCTGTTGTTCTCTTTATTGTGTGAATCATCTTTTAGGAACACCAAATGGCCCATGTTGCTCTCTGTTTTAAGTTTCCTCAAGGACCTCCCATTGCATTTGCAATAAAATACTTGAAAGGCCCAACACCATTTGGCGCTGACCCCACATTTCCAACTGCCCCTTTTCCTTTCTTTCAGTTTCTCCAACCACACTGGGCCTGGTTTTTGTTCTTTGCTATGTCAAATGTACTTCAGCTTAAACCTTCTGCATTTTCCATTCCCTCTGCTTGAAATGCCGTTCCCTCACATTTTCCTGGGCCTGGGTTCTCATCAGTTAGAGTCCAACATAAATGCTACCGCCTGATGGAGGAGGAAGTAGCCCCAGCTGTACTTTCCTAGCTCTTTTTGCTGGACTTTAAAGCAGACCAATTTAAAAGTTTCAACTTCCCTACCAGATTTATGAGCCATCTGAGAAATAATGCGAAATTAAGACAGATAATGACTGAAATAGTCTCTTTCTACTGGATAAAGCTGATACAGGAAAATGTGATTCTTAACTAGGGCAAGGATGTTTGCTAACACTCATCTCCGGAATTTGGCAGGCTAACTGGCCCATCCAGAAACACCACAGGGCAGGCCTCTGTCCCACCCGAGGACCAGCCTTTGTGCCCCTGGACACTGAGCATGGAGTGCACATCCGTGCTCTCTGCTCTTTCCCTATGAGCATCTAGCTCCCAAAAGAAGCAGAAAGGGGGCCAGGGAGCTGATTCCCCTGGGCCCGGAGCTGATGCTCCTGGGCCCGGAGCTGATGCTACAGAATATACTTCATGTGGAGAAACACTAGGAGGGAGGAGGAGATGCCATCAGAACTTACCAGCTGGCTTTGTTCTCTTCATAACGCTGACGTTGTCCACCTTCCCCTTCCAATGAGACTCTGTGCTCCATGAACATATAAATTTCAAAGCTTAATTAATCCTTGAGTCTAGGGCAATAGTTGGCACATAGTAGATACTTAATGAATGAATAAACAAAACCATTTCTTAATTTCAGCACGTAATAACTAAGTCTTTTTAGTGACTAAACAGTAACTAAAGCTTATTACCAATTCTGCTTCATAAATATTTCGTAAACCTGTCCCCTCCTTTCCATCCCTATTGCCTCCACTTAATCTTCCATTTTCACTTCCATCTGGTTCCTTCTTCCACTCTAACCTGGCCTCAGCCTTTCTCTGTGCTGCTGCCAAACTAATTGTTCTAAAATTAAAATGCAATACTGCAGGTTTCCACACTTCCCCTTGCAGCACCGATGATAACTTGTAACACTCTGTCTTCCTGACATAATATCTTAAGTGTGTTTATATATATAAAATATATAAAAAATAATATGTGCATTTGTATGTACATACACATACCCATGTGTGTGTATATATATATATGTATGATTAAATAATTCAGGAATAAATAATGATTTGTGCATGTATATCCATATATATATTTATATGTATATTCGTAAGTGCAGGTGTAAGGCATATATATGTATGTATGTGTAATATGTATATACATATATCCTAAATACATGTAATAAACATATAATGCATAAGTAAATGTAAATATATAATATATGAATAAAAATAAATAAGTAAATATATATATCTGTAGGACACCATTGATAAACACGTTTTATCACAGTCTCTGCGTGCTGGCTTACACTTTGTGACATTCTGGCACAGTCTCTGAGTTTACTGTATTATGAAATGTGTGTTGTTCACTCATGTGGCTCTTCTTTCTGCCATTTGTTTTCTGTTCTTGTAAAGAGTTTAGCCAGTAATGATGATAAAAGCCTGAAGTGATAATGCTGCCTCTGTGACAGAGAAACGAAGGGGAAAGTTAAGCCGGATGACAAATTCAACTTTGATGCCTGCTTGATACATCTTTGAAGAAATAACCAGGAAGTGAGAATAAAGTTCACTTAGATATGACATTAGAGGGCCCTGTAAGTAGAACCCCAGGCCATGCAGACTGAGAAACACCAAGAGAATCATCGCTGGGAGGAAAGACGGTCGAGGCATGTTCTGAGTGCAGGAGATCTCCAGAGGGCTGAAGAACAATTGCCAGTTTAAAATGGCACGCATGTCCCCACATTCCCACGCAGACCAACCGTTCCTCATTTCCTGTGCAAGTTGCTTCACCAATTAGAGCCACCAGTGGTGCCCATTCCCTACAGGGACAAAGCCCAACATGAACTTTTTACACGTAGTAGGCTCTAATCCCATTCCCTGAATGCTCTGTACTCCAACAATATCAGAATATTACCAGCCATAAATTAAGGTGTTGTAAGATAGGCTCCTCACTCCTTCTTACAGTTAATTCCTCATTGACCAAACCTGCCTCTTGAAAGTCTCCCTTACCCCGTCAGGGCAGCCTCTGACCTCTATGCCTGATCCACGATCGCACCAGACACACTTTGTGACACACAGGCAGTGATCACTTTGTACAACTTCTCAACAGACAAAGAACTGGGTGAATAAATCAGCTGTGTAAGAGGGAAGCATTAGAGTGTGTGGCTAAGAGCTCAGATCATACTGAGTTCAAATTCCACTCTTGCCATTCACTGGATTAAGTGATTTGGGGCAAATTGCTTAATCCTTTTATTCTATAAAAGTAGGACAACTGAATCTTAATCTTTTGAGTCTTTTTAAACTCCAGTTTTTTCCATCTTAAAATCGGAGTAAGGTGGTATTTTTCACACAGGAGTATCATAAAAATTAATATGATAATAAATAAAAAGGACCTGGGACTTAGTAAGCAGCTCAGTTAATATTAGCTATTTAATTATTATACAGTGTGGTAGCAGGAAGTGAAACCAGTGACAGCTCCTGAAATTTTCCTGGAAGTTACATCCTTTGGGTCACGAAGGCTTTCCTGCACCTCTAGGTTGTTGGTGATGATATAAACATTCCTGGGGATCTGCAAAAACTTGAGCTCGTATTGTTATGCATTCTCATTTCAGGATAGGTTAAACTACCTGAGAACACTGTGGCTTGAGAATAGGATCCATAGTAACTGTAAAAGAGCATTTTACATAGTAATTAGACTGGATAACAAGCCACTTCATTGGAGCACTTCCATGTATGAGGGAAGAATAAGATTCTCAGTAACTTTGGCCAACGTCGCAATATATATGCAATACATATTTATATATTTATTATGTACATAATAAATACATTTATCAAGGTACATCAAGGCTGCTACCTCATGGCAGCTCATCGGGCTATAGTGATATATTGGAAATGCAGTTTTTGAGTGGAGAATATGTGGAAGAAGGAACAAGAAGCGGCAGCTTATTCCGAAGGAATCTTTGAGTTAGGAGGCAGCCAGGACTTCCGCCTGCCATGCTATTGTGGCAGGACCACAGCTTCATGATTGTGCAACACCTTTGGTAATCACTCACTGAAGCAGACAAAATTCACCTGGGAGTTTCATTCTGTCTCGCTTGAGAGGAGCCAGGGACAGGCCACACAGCAGTGAGAAGGGCCGGCTCCTGCCTCCTTGGACCGATCACTCAGCATGTCGCAAGGATTTCTTCTGAAGGCCGCCTTCCTCTTTTCTCTAGTTCCAGGTAGGTATTTACCTCCTTTGCAGATTCTGTCTGATGCATCAGCAAACTGCTTGCTTTTCGTCTTCCTCCAGTAGCTTTTTTCTTTTCTTTTAGCCAATTTTACCAACCAGTTGGTCTGGATTTAATCTGTTGTTTTGGGGGGCTGCAACTGATGTAACCATTCCTTGTAAAGGACAGGCAAGGAGAGGTCTTGAATCACTTACATGTCTGACCTGAGAATATATAGAAATCAAAGGGAAGATTTCATAGAGCATAGTTTAAACAATGAATATGATCTTGGAGTAAAAAAAAGTGAAATTCATCAAACCCCACCTTGTCATTTTTAGATTAGTAAAGATGCAGTGGATTCGAGTGGATATTTCTGTGCAGTAGACTTTGGAAAGCATCTGCTGTTATTCCTGGGACCAATTTGTCTTGTCCTATTCCTTTTGGGTGCACATTTTTATATTCAGTCCTTCCATTACTGATGATAACAAATATGACTAATTAGAAATACATAGTTGACCAATTTCATATTTATAAAGCATTGTGATATTTACTTGACTGAAACAATGTTGCTACTAAGCTTACGTCTGATAACTCACTTCCATCTAGCTGGTTATATCAACCATATAAGAATTCAAATGTTAAGGAGCTCTACCTCTTAATAATCACATTTAGCATGTCTCTTCATTTCAGATAAATTCTCCAACTAGCTTTTGGCTAAATTAGATTGGGTAACACATGTCCTCAGCTTATTTCTATTTCTAGAGCTTCAGTTAGCACATTACCTCCAGTGCCTGGGAAACCTCCCGTGGTAAACCTTTTCTTGGGTTTTAGAATGCTTGCTGGGATTAAGGAATGAGAACAAATTATCAGCAAAAAGCATGACACTAGGGAGGGAAATGTTCTCCTCCCGCTGGGACTCACTCTGTACTTTGTCAGTAAAAATGATTTTTGCTGTGCCTCATTTCTGATTTGTTTTCCAGACTTGTAAAATTTGTCCTTAATATCTGTAAGTAGAGAATTGTACTAGGAATTTAAGTTGTTGACTTAAAACTCCTATTTGTTGAGGCAATAGAAATCCATCCTTAAATGCTCTAAAAACACCATCACTAAAAATTCTGTGGGATCCTTCAGTTTAGTCGAACATGAGAATTGCTTGGGTACCAGATTTAGCCAACTGCACAGAGATCAAAATGGACCCATTTGTAGAATCATATAGCTAACCCTGGAATTGACCCACGTTTCAGCCTTTCCATGGAAATGGGCATGCTTGCTGATTCTGTCTGGCCCCTGTTTTTGCATTTACAACCCAGCACCAAGAGATGAGACTTCCTTAAAGTCATGCCTAGAAGTGGGACATCTCCAAGTACTGGTGGTGGGGACAGAGGTTTTGAGTGGCTCTAGAGAACAGGAGACAGACAGAACTCTTCTCCCTTATCTTCCATCTTGAAGAGAAAGCTGTCCCTCCTCGACCTTCCGTCTTGTATTTCCGTGTCTCCTTGTTCCCGGAAATACCCCTGATATTTTTCCTAAGTGGTTTTACTTCCCAGCCAGAATATAAGAAGCAAAACAATTTTCCTTTTCCCACACTTGCTGTTCTGTTCCTCTGGCTCCATCATCCAGATAATCAATATGTGCCCCTCCGGCCATGACTTTGGCCCAATTCCCGTACATGTGAAAAAAGAATGAGATAAAATCAGGCCACCTGTTTGTAATGAGTTCCACAATCCCCTGAGAAAAATTACTTATGGGATCACATCATAGGAAAAGAAAACAATAATGACAAATACATAAAAGGACACGACACTTGTTTGGAAGTAAGTGTGCTGACAGAGGAGAAGGTCTTTACTATATGCCCACTGAATATCCAGGGGGTACAGTACCTTAGGGAATTCTTTCCTTTTAAATTAGGGACTCTTTCTTGCCTTCATGAAGTTACTAGAACACCCTAAAGAGTATATTTAATTTAATCTGAATAGCCAAAATCATAGACTTAATTAGGATGTGTTTTTTCCTCAGTGTTGGTACTCACCCTTAATGCATGATGTTTAAAATCTCCAGATAGTTTGAGGAGATACAGAGAATCCAGGAACTGAGGCCAAAGTCACTGTGTAGACCCTGATCTGGGGTTGACTGTCATGTGTTCAGCTGGGAAGGACATTGCTTTAAACAGTTTGGAACAAAAATGAAAATGTCAATATGATGTACAAATGTGCTGAATGCCAACATGGCCCCCAACCTATTAAAAAATAAAGTAGAAATCCAGACCAGTCTGATATATTAATCTTGTCAATGAGCCTTAGGTTTTCTAAAACTAATAAAGAACAAAAATAATTATCTAACAAACCAAAATGGCAGTTTTTTTTTCTTGATCCAGTTTTGCTATTCAAAACCAGTCCGACGTGAGTTCTGTGGGAGACAGAAAACAAGTATTACGTTGAATTGGTAGAAAGACATTGTGCTGCATCTCGGGTTTGTAACATCCGTGGACGGCAATTAGTTGTGTTCATTCCACAGGCTTCAAAATAATCAGCTGCTGTTATTCAGCTGGGAGGAGGCTGCACCATCTCCACCAGCCTCAGGGATGAATAAACCAAGCAATATTTAGGTCTGTTGCTTTTCCCTGACTGCTATGTAATTCTTTATATCTCAAATCTCGTTCTTTCAGGGGCCTTCTTGGTGTCAAAAAAATAAGGGTGGTGGAGGGAAATTCTTTCTGTTTTCTTTAGATAATGTACTGTGTTGCAAGAGTTTGGGAAGAGCTGAAAATCCTTCATTTTCAACTGAAGAATGTGAGAGGTTGCCAGAGGGTTTTTAAAAAATATTATTGTTTATTTTATTTATTGATTTATTTTGGTTGCCATTTAGAAGTACTCATCTAGCAAAGAGAAATAAATTTCTCCATTAATGTACATATTTCTCCATATTTCAGAGTCAGTTGGTAATTGATTTCATGAAATGTTAGGACTTAGATACTAACTAGAAACATGGAGATCAATGTGCATGTCAGAGAAACTTACGTTTGTTGGACTCGCCTATTTCCTTTTCACCAGTCTGGACGGGGATTGTGGGTGTGTTAATCACTTTCTACTTTTATAAACAGAATCAGTTGGATAAGTTATTATTTTATGACCCTAGAGCAGTTTGGAGCAGAATTTCCTGTGAGAATAGTGTGAATTAGATATGAAAACCATTTTTTCTCATATAATATTTTAAAAAGAATTACTTTAGTTGCAACATGGGTGAATAAATGGCTTCATGAGGTTCAATATTAATGGGACTCATTGCATTCATTGTACATGATCCACCAGATACCATGTGAGCGCCTTATGGTATGTTTGTTTGGGGTACCACAGAGTTACAGGACATTGCAGGGAACTGTGTGGATAAAATCAGTTGATTTCTGACAAGGGTAATTTTCTTACCTCTTGGCATCTTAATATTTTGAAATAATTATGATAGTTATAAAAATTATAACTCAGTGGGAAGAACATAACTGATTTAATGTTCCTTTGGGCTTTTGAACCTCTGTTCATGACAAATTTTCATAACTTATTTTTTTTCCTTTACCAACAGTTAAAAAAATTGAAATAAAAGATGCCAACTGATTATAACAGCAAGAAATAACTGAGGGACCTTGTGAAATAGTTCTTGAAGTGTAACTGTGTAATGAGACTTATTTTATTATAACTGATTAGAATTTTATCCTAAGATCATCACCTCTTCAAAGAGATTATAGGGGATTCTGTACTTATTTGCATACAATCATGTAGACTACTTGTATCTGGCCTTAGAAACATCATTTTATCTGCCCTCTCTTTTCAAACAATTAAAAAAAACAAACTAAAACCAAAGTTCAGATAGTTTAGTGTTGATGTCATGGCTTAAAGGGGTTTTGAAATGCTTTTAAGAGTAAATCTCAAGCCACTGAAAGAAAACCTACACCTTTAACACCCTATTTTGACCCAGCAAGTTTTAAACCAATTTAATCACTTTTCTGTTCTTCAAAGTTTGATGTAAATGGCTCTTACTTGGGCAAATAAATTAAAGCCAAATTAAAATGATAAAAGAAGGTTGACATTTATTAGGATTTTTTTTGTTTCTGAAGAAAAAGTTTTCTAAATGTAAATTCTCTGGAGCATCCTTGGGATCAGTGGACAGTCATTCAAGTAAACTAATAAAGATACGTCAGTTTGTTGAAAGATCAACACTAACATAGATTTGCAGTATTGGCAAATTTAGGGTTGAGTATTTTAATGAGCTAGGATTACTTCTTGAGAGCCTTCTAGTCATTACACAGAGAACTAAAGCTTCTCCAGGTCACAATGTTATAAACTGCCGTCTTGGCCCATTCTCTGAGCTGGTTCTTACTGCATCTGTATTCTGGGTGGACCAACAGCAACTTCAGCCATCAGAGAACAGGTCTGCCAACATCTTCTCAGGCACTACCCCACGGGGATCCTCAGCCACTACCCATACAAATCCTTGGCCACTACCCAACACGGATCCTCAGCCACTACCTCCAGGGATCTTTGGCCTCTACCTCACACAGTTCCTCAGCTACTACCCCACATGAATCCTCAGCCACTACCCAACACAGATCTTCAGGCACTACCCCACAGGGATCCTTGGCCACTACTCCACCTGGTTCCGCGGCCACTACCCCACAAGGATCCTCAGGCACTACGCCACACCTTGGCCACTAGCCCACCAAAGCAGGGATCAGACCACATAGGCAAATAAGAAAGAAAATAGAAAGTCCAGTGTTAGCTGTGGGAGAACTCTTTCTCTCAAAAATAATTTCTAGAAACAAAGAATTCAAAATGTAGATAGAAGTTTGGATGAGAACTCTCCAATTCTTTTTCAGTATGACTGCAGGCTCAAATAATATTCTAATTGACTGCTTCTCTAATATTCTTTCTTTCCACACTGTATATGCAAAAAATGAAGGTTTATCTGTATTGCTAAAGCCAGCCATTCTACGGAGCCAGTATTGGAACCTTTTCTTACTGCGTCTTAGTTTCTTTCATTAGTGTAAAACATTGCTATTGGAAAAATCCAAGAAAAATGCATTAGAATTGGAAGTAGTATACATTAGTTATTTCATTTTTATAACGCTATATAGTTTTCAGAGTGTTTCAATTCAATATTCTGACACTAAGATTAGTTTAGAGGCTTAGTTTGGCTTCTGCCTTCCTGTATTTGCTGTTGGCTGTATTGCTTGCAACATCCCTTTGAGGGGGATTCAAATTAGGAAGGAGAAATAGGAAAATTCTAAAGAACTATTTTCACTAAATGGAGAAACCCTTGTAGGCTTTCAGTGGGGAAATATTTGAAGATACAAGTTAAAGATTTGAGAGTAAGAGGGGGTTTCTGATTTGTCAATCTCTCCTGGAGTCTGCACTTGAATAACTCTGATGCAAGTCAGTTATAGCCTCTTTGTGGCATCATTCATCAGCAATGCAGTAAAAGATGACCATCACCAACCTGCCTCTATTTGTTCTGTTTAGCTATGTCTTGACTCTTACTTTTCTTTTTCCCTAGTAAATTCTATAAAAGAACTCCCTGGAGTAAGGGAGTATGAAGTGGTTTATCCCAGAAGACTTCATCCACTACATAAAAGGGAGGTCAAGGAGTCAGATAAACAGGTATAGCTCTTGATTTAATAAAGAATATCAAATGAAAATATGTATATACATATATGTATATATGTATACATATAAATATATAACTATACTTAATATATAAAATATATGTACATGTTCACATTTATATATATATATATATATACACACACACACACACACTGTGGTTTTTTTTTTTACCTATCTTATCTGTATTAATTTCCCCAATAACCCAATGTTCTATAATTAGCCTGATTTTCCAGGTTAAGGTTCTGACAGTTGAAATAAGACCTCCAAGGTCACATGGAGTATAAGCTTTAATTTTTAAGGTAATATTTTTATAGTTTATTCTGTGTACTTCCAAAGAAACTTGATACAACTTTCTATCCACTATCTAGATAAACATACATACAAACAAAACCATGAACATTAAAACTGAAGTAGAAAATAAAATATTGTTGAATGCATTCATGAATATATGCATATTAAATGAGGATGAATTACTATAATTAAACTTGAAATTTACCTCTGTCATTTTTAAAGAGAAAGTCATTAAAGTTCGTATAATTCTTACCACTTAACAAAATAACATACTCTCAGTCAAAAGAGTAAAGCTAAAACATGATGATTCATTCAATGAGAATTTTCTAATTACCTACATAAGAAAGTCTGCTGCTAGGAGCCAGGAGAAATACAGATAATTGGGACATAAATAATCACTCACAACAATACAGTAAGAGGCCACATGTTGGGAGCACATATTCCCCTGCTGTATGAGGCTCCTCACAGATTATTTCTTCTTAAGCAAACACATTTGTAACAGTAGAACCCATAGTAATCCCTGTTTCCTTGAATAATTATCTGTCAACAAATGTTTCTGCTTTTTTTCAATGTGACCCATATGCATTAGATTCCCTATATATATCTCTTTCTTCAAATGCTTTCTGGCAGTCTCTTAAAAATGCCAGATGCCTTTTGTCACTAAATATTTTAAGGAAAATTTGAATACAAGCCCAGTGTGTTTATCACAGTTATAAATGGATTTCCTCACAACTGTAAAAATAAATTTAAGCTTTTAAACAATTTATTTTTATGAATACCCATAGAGTAGTTCCTAGTACCTACTACATAATCAGTCTTAATTTTTGGAATGATTGAGTAGATGGATGCAGTTGATACAATGTGCTTGATATTTGTTGCAAATAAATTATTTTTCTAGTCCTGCTCAATTAGCTGGCTGTATGAACCTTATTTTCATGCCACATAGTAAAAGCATGAAGGATCTGAATTCAGAGGGCTTGTTTGTATTTGTGTCTTAGCTTTGTTAATTACCTCTGTGTAAATTTAGACACACATAAACTTCAAACTATTTGTCTTAAAATTGAGATAGTAATAGTAATGCTTATCTTATATGGCTATTTTGAGATAATCTACATGAAAAGCAAAATAGGATGCAATTAATTATTAACTCCATGTTCAAGATCAGGCTATGTGTCCTATATAACCCATCATCTTCCACTTCTTATGACTAATATTCAAGGTCTTTGGCTCAATGCTGTGGTTTATTAAGCCATTTTGTTTTCTTTTGCTTCTATGCATAGCTTCTTTTTTAGTCAGACTTGATATTTTCAAGGCTTTTGTTAATAATATGCTTGTTTCCATCTCTATGCCCTTTCATATGGATTTTTGCTACTTAAAATGTTCTCTCTAAGTTAAGCCCAGCCCGTCTTGTATTCTTTGTGAGGTCAGCATGGAGTATTTGCATATACACTGTAGATCCTTTGGTTGAAGTCATGCTTCAGTAACGATCAGAGTTCTGCCACTTGGATCTTGATTTTTTTTTTTAATACTGATTTCACTTCTGACGGTGTGTGTACTTGTGTGCGTGCATGTGTGTGTGTGTGTGTGTCTATGAGAGTAGATGTAATCTTCTCATCTGAAACTGCCCAGGTCCCTAAAAACAGTGTTTTCCCCGTCTTTGAAATGTCTCTGCCCCTTCTTCACCCACAACTCTCAGCCCCCGTGCTATGGAAAGTATTCCATAAATGCTCAAAGAAATCCTTGCAAAGGATTTTATCTTTCTTTATCTTCAGACATTAAACCAAATCCAGTATCAAATTGAAGGAAAACTCGCCTAAATAATTTGAATGCTTTGATGTTTTTTTATGTGGTGAATCATTCTTTGTTTTTGTAGTTTTATTTGCTATCTTTGCAAGCTGCTCTTTGTTCCTTCTGTGGTAGAGGACAGAAGACAGCACGTTATTGGGAAGGATAAGCACTCAAGACTCAAGACTCTCACGCAGTTTCACAAAGTCATATGACTCAATCATGTTTACTTTTTAGTATTCAAGGAGCATTTATGTTCTCAGGGGCTGGTTGATGTCTTTGAAGTACCCCACAGCAAGTATGTGATAGACTCATTAAAAGTTATCCCTGGTTAAAGAAACATTCCAAAAGAACTAATCTGCTTTTCCCAGCAAGTGGTTCCCCTGCTCCGGAATCTCAGAAACTTCTTTCCCTAGTCACTGATGTCTAGTTCCCATTCTTCCTTACATGGACTTTACCATGTGCGGAATCATTAGATCCAGCAAATAAAAATACAGGATACCCAGGTAAATTTGAATGTCAGATAAACAGTGAATGATTTTTTTTTGAAGCACAAGTAGTCTCAAATATTGCATGGGACGTGTTTATATTTTAAAAATCCTATTCACTGTTTATCTGAAATTCAATCTAACTGGTGTCCTGTATTTTGTATGGCAATCTTCCCATGTGGCTTTTGTTATCTCCCTGTGGACATCTAGAATGAAACCCTAGCAGTCTCTCTATGATTCCAGTCCTTGGTCCATCTGCAGATACCAGGGTCCATGCTGCTGCCTGTCTGATGTTTCAATCCTGCTCTGTCAGGGGCACTGCATTCTGCCAAACCATACTTGTTTCTTGTGTACACATAGACGAGAGAAGCTAGGGGCATCCCTTTCTGCCATGCAACACGTACATTCTTTCCATTGACATAGAATCTTTTCTTTTCCTCAGGCACAGCCTATGACTAATAAGGACACTGTTTTATAGGTAAAAGCCAAGTTCTTAGACGTTATCCTTGTAGTTTCTGGATTGAGACTATTGGTCTTCCGTAGGCAAAGAATTGATTAGCAATCACTCAGAGTATCCAGAATTCATAGTGCATGTGACCAGGGGGGATCTCTGTGTCCCGTGGATGCCCCATAGATCTCAGTCTGGATTAATCATTTCTCCAGGCAGTGAAAAGGAGACCCTTGTACTTCATACTGTACACCTGCGCCCTCTGTGGGACCCGAGCCCCGAGGCTCCGGCACTACCTGTCCCCTGTGCCAAGAACATGGAGCATCTTTCTCACTTCCTCACTCCTGGCCCTGGTACTTAAGATTTGAATTGGAATGAACTAATCCTTTGGAAATTTTTCTGGAGGTAGACCCGTGGGTGTGTTATTCATTAGTGTAGTCTTATTGCCTTTTATATGTGAGGCATAAGAGGAACTGCAAACATATTTGTTGAATGAACTAGTATAACTTGAGTACATTGTTCATAGACCTGCATAGATCTATTCAACAAATACTTCATCAAGGTGCCTGACACTGGGAACTGATACTCGAAGGGCAGTCTCTCCTCCTCCTAGGATCTGGCCTCCAGATCACACATTTCCCAGGAGGCCAAAGCCCGTCTTGCTGTTGGGCCATGCCATAAAACCGGCTGTCTGGCAGCACATTGCCTCCCTTATACTGGGAACAATTTTAGCTGCATCCACTGGGGTTTCTAGAGGCCTGAGATTACTGTCTGTTATAGCAAAATGGTGCTACTAGAGTTAAGAACCTCCCTAGGACTTCTGGGGGTTCCTTTGCTCTTTCCTGTGTGCCCACGGGCGCCATCTTGACTTCATGGATTGGCTCCCATCCCAGGGCCCTCCAGGACTGTGGTCCTCCCAGTCTGCTTACTCGCCCTTAACCTACTCACCATGGCGTTCTCCTGGAGGAAATTTTTATTTATTTGTCTCTGTGACGGGCTAATCTTACTCAATGGGCTGCAGATCATTTCTTTCCTTTATGAGGATATTCCCTACGTAAAGGTGCATCTTCCTCTTCTAACCTGTCATTCAGAACCTATTCAGTGCACAAATAGTTACACTGCTTAACAGGCAGTGCTTCCTACCCTCGTCCTGTACTTGAGAAGTGCACTTGTAACATCCCCCAGCCCACGTTCTTTTATAGACTCTGGGTTTTCCTGCTGTTTTCCTTTCAGTATAATCTCTACACTAGTGTCGGCTAAAACTCCCACTCCAAAACCAATAAATCTTTTCTAAAACAACCTCCAAGTAATATTTTAAGGTGAAAGTCCACTAAAATCCACTGCTGACAGGAAGCAGATATCTAGAAGTCTCCTCTGGGTGGAAGGTAATATCCCATGTCATCCTAATACTTTCATTCTGTCTGGCCTTTCCCAAGCCTGAACAATAAGTGGTTATGAGAATTCCCCATGACTTTTACTTTTAATCCTCAGGCTTATTTTCTAGCTCATGAAAATGAACTGATTTGCAGCAGCTTCTCCTCATCTAGGCCTACAGCATAGGATATTTATAGTCTGGGATTTGGGGCATCAGAGAGGACTCCAATAACTGGTCATTTGAAGGCAATGTGGGCTGACGTAACTGACCTGGGAGACGGCAAGTCGCTGCACAGTACCCTGAACCGTGATGAGCTCAGGTACCATTCCAGCCAATGAAGGGAGGATAGGGAAGCTTGACCTTAGGTGCAAGACAGAGGGGAGAGCACCCAGTCCATCATATGTGCTTCTCAGTTACCTTCGGTCTGCCATGTTTAGATTTTAATGACAATATTCTGGAGCTTCCTTTTGTAGCATTGGGTGTCACCACAGCCAACAGTCCTGTTCTACAGAGGTGAGAAATTGTTACCCAATAACACCTTCAAAATATTTCTGTGCAGTCCTCTCTATCTCCTCCTCTCTCTATAAATCTAAACTTGAAGCAGTTCTCCTTTTCTACATGACTTACTTGTGGTGATATTTCCCCTTTCTGAACACCTAAACCTACGTTTTTTTCCTGATGACTTCTCCCTGCCTTAGAGCACATAGTTCTGTTATTTTGCCCTGAGCCGACCCCCAGTTAGCTTAGAGAAGACCTCCAGACCAAAATAGGCAGTGAGAGGCTTGGAGGTCTAGGTCTGTGTGGCTGCTATTCTTCTCAAATAACTTCCCCACCATGGCTAATTAATATAGCTATATATATAACACCCTGGAAAGTAACTTTACCTGGCTAATTCATATCTCAGCTTACACATATCTCAGCTTACTTCCTTAAGAAAGCCTGTCTTGCCTTTAAGAATGTTAGATATCCTATATTGCTTCCATGTTTATACCCCTTGTCATATGACACAACTAACTTACTTTTATTGTCTGTCTTTCCACAAGGTGACAAGCTTTCTGATAGTAGGTACTAATTTTTCTTACTTAGAGTAGAATTTCTAGAACCCAGCAGTGTCTTACCCATAAGCAGCACTCAAATAATATTTGTAGAATGCGTGGATGGATGGATGAGTAGATGGATGGATGTAAAGGTCTCAGATAATTTGTGTGTTCAGTTGGCAGGGTTGTATTGCTTGCTAATGATTAAACAAATGGAGATAGACAAGTGAATATTTCTGTGTGTTTTTAATTGCCAGCAATATTTCTGCATTTTTACAGGAACAATATGAAACTGAATTGAAGTATAAAATGACAGTTAATGGAAAAATTATGGTGATTTATTTGAAAAAAAGCAAGTAAGTGTCTTTACTACTGTATTATCTTTACCAACAGTAAGTTAGGATGTGAAAATCTAATTGGGTCTGTTACTGCTAATGGCTCTGGTAAACCCGGGCTAATCAGCCTTTGCTCTCTGCTGGCCCAGGGGTTTCCATGACTGTTTGTTCCCACTGAAATAGCAGAAACACATTGGATAAAACAATAGTTTACTTTATAGTAATAAAACAATGAGTGAGGTACAAGCAGACATACATTTTATCAAACTCTATGACACAGCAGATAGATTGTTAAATCATCCTCTAGTTATTGCATTTTATTATTCTAACACCAAGCAATGGGATTTTAAAATAACTTGCAACCATTTCCATCAGGAAAAAACATGACATGTAGAAGTTAAAATCTAGGGCAAAAGAACAGGTCAGTGGTGAAGCCAGAATGGGGCAGCCCTGACTCTAATACCAGTGATCTTCATACCCAGCTATCCACCACCCTGTCTGTTTTTCTCCTACATTACATTGTCCTCTTAGTCCCTCATTCTCTCCATTCAGTTCATCTAAATTCAACATTTCTTCCCAAATTTCATAGCCTTAGTCCTCACCCAGATCTTGACCGTCTAAATGTAGACTATTTCAAAAAACAGTTTTGCCTAATTCAGTGCTTCAAAGCCATTTTAGTCCCTCAGTTGCTCTACAGAGGATAGCATGATGTTTTTCACTCAAGTAGTGATCACCTTTTGCAAGAAGTCACAACAGCCTGGAGTGTAGAAAACAGTGTGGCCTAATGGAAATATCCCAGGCTTTGAACTCAGGCAAATCTAGATATGATTCTTTGTCACTTGAACTGTTTAATCTTACCTAAAAAGTCAGGAGAGTGCTATTTATCTTATAAGATTGTTGAAAGGCTTCGATTAAATGATTCGTGTAGCACGTCAAACCCAGTGGCCAGTAAAGAGATGGCATTCAATGAGTTCCTTTTCTCCATATTCTTCTGCCTCTTTTAAAAATATATTCACACTCCTATCTTCTGAAGAGTAACTGAAAGAATTCAAGAAGTTTAGTGAGAGTGCTGAGAGGGACCTAACTACCAAATGCAGTCAGTTTCCAATGCCCTTGTCACTGCCCCAGTTGTGACCAGGTGCTGGTAATGCAGTAGGACTGGATGAAGGTGCAGTTATCCTGAACTGGTGAGGAGCAGTGCCCTTCCCAGTCATGTTATCAACTCTCCCCTCCTCACTTCCACTTCTTATTCAAATCTCTCCCCAGACAAACATGCAAAGTCTGATGAAAAAGCTGACCTTGCTATGCACTACTCAGCAGTGTCCCTGCCCCATCAGTCTTCCCACCGTACGCATCCCTTTCAACCTTGGACTTGTCTTGCTATGTCACGGGCAGGAGATCAGGACCCAGAGGTTTTCTGCACACCTAGTGAAAGCTCTCACTTTGATCAGCAGACTCTGCAAATAGCATGAGTAACCATGACATTCTTTTTTTTTACTCCAGGGATCTCCTTGCACCAGGCTACACAGAAACGCTTTATAATTCCACTGGAAAGGAGGTCACCACAAGCCCACAGATCATGGTAATTCAGGGGCCTAGATTCATTGTTAATTGGGGCATGATCCACCCAACCAAAGGCCGTGTCATTGCCAGACAAATAGTGGAAGTGAACCAGCATTTATAGTATTGGTGCTTTTTTCAGCAGTAGTAAATTCTTAATAGATCCTCCACCTTCTACAGCGGGACAGGAACAAAAGCTTCCTTGACAACCCATGGCAACCCTTTCCAGCCTTCAAGGTCTCTCTATAAAAGAGAGGGCATAGGGGTTTCTCATGTTCATTAGAAAAGTGAAGAATTAAATACCTTCGGTGTTCTTAGTCAATGTTGATCACCTCTCTAGATCGTGTAGTCTTTCAAACTCAAGACTATTTCATCAATGGCAGAATTGAGAATTCTGTGTTTCCCTTAAATAATTTTCATTTATGACTGGCTCAGAGAAAGTGACAGCGTTATGTGGCATGAGGGGTGTTTTTCCACTGCCATCTTTTCTGAGCTTCATTTTTTTTGTTGTTGGAAGGCTTTTAAACATTCTCTTCCATAGCAATTGCGCAGAAGTTTATGTGGGCCAATAGCTCGTCTCTCCCAAAGTCGAAAGGCATGCTTGATTGAAGTACATGCACATGGAAAATTCTTAGGATTGGCATTCTGCCCCAAATGGAGTCAGGGATGTTGTACTAATATAGTTATCCTGGTACATACCCTTTGGATAAATCAAGAAATAATGCAGTCTGAATAACCCATTCACTGGGAAGAGCTCGTAGGTGTTAGAAAAAACATAGTGAGCAATCAGCCAAGGGAAAGAATGGTTATCTGATACTTTGGGGGTCTGAGGTTTTAAACTTACATTTGTAAGTTTGTCTTTTCTGGACTGTATTCACCCCTGTTATCTTTTTTTTCTACAATGCCAATATTTAGTTGACACTCTTTAAGTATTTGGGATGAGTAACTAAATATTAAAAATTTTAACCACAAAAGCCTTAACATTGTTTTCTATCTTTAAGTTGACTGTTGTTCAACATAAAACAATTTGAAAACATTATAGATCTTGTTTCAATATTTCAAATTCAAATTTAGCAGTCTAAAACACATGCATGCTTTCCTTTACAAATCCCTTTCTCCCTTTTCTTTAGGATGACTGTTATTACCAAGGACACATCATGAATGAAAACGTTTCTGATGCTAGTATCACCGCATGCGCGGGTCTAAGGTGAAGCGTCATGAAGGGCGTGTCTGTACCTGTGGTGATGGGGAGGGGTATTTTAATAAAGCTAAGGAATCTCAATTATAATTCATTATACTATAGTTGAATATGAGCCGTCAGGGCTCAAGAATTTTGAAATTTGAAGGAAACATGGCTTCTCCTGATAGTGGTTTATAAGTTGCATATTTGAATTGCTTGTAGAGTTGTTTTTGTTTGTTTGCTTGTTTACAAAAAAAACAGGTATTGGAGTCAGAATCTTTAGGGAATGGGAACTCCTCTCCCCTGCACTCTAACTTCTCTCCCCAGCTGTTCCATCCATGCCTATGGTATCCATTTCTTCCTGTGTGTTAATGACTCCTCATGTCTGTCTACAGTAAGAAATCTCATCTGATGGCCAGGCTGGATTATTTAATTTCTTTTTCCATATCTCCACATCTGTATCTCAATGTCTAAGTGAAATCTCAATCTAAATATATCCCAAACAAACAAATGATTTTTTTCTTCCAAACCGGGTATTTTTCCAGTGTCCCCTATCTCAGCGAATGATACAATAAACCAGCCACTTGCCCTCCAGAAATCTAGATTCCTTGATGACTTTTTGCCTCTCAACTGTCCATTTTCAATCCATTATCAAGCTCTATTGAGCATCTGCTCTAAATATTTCCTGAGATTTTCATGAGGTTCTTGCTCTATTACCACATCCTTGTCCAAACTACCATGATCCTTTAAGCAGGTCACTGTAATAAACCACCTAATTTCTCTCACCACATCCACTCTTGTCTTATAATTTTATGTACATTTAAACCAATCTCCCTGTTACATGTTCTTGTACTTTTTCTTCCTAGCAACTCTCTTCTGTAATTAGGTATATTACATCCATGTCACATAAAAATCACATTTTATGTACCTCCATCTTCTTTATTTGAATTTAAGCTCCATGAGAGGAGAGATCATGAGTCTTTTTCTACCACCTGCCCTTAATCCAGTGCCTAATGATAATGGATACACCCTAAGTATTTGTTAAATGAATCTTAGCTCAGGGCTTCAATAGAGAGAATTGAGAAGATATTGATAATATCCATTAATCATGTGCTTTACATATCATCTTCAGTTTTTACAGCCATCCTATTAAGTAGGTATTATTATTATTTTGTTTTTATAGATGGAGAAACTAAGGCTATGATTTTTAGTAGTTTCCCCTTGGTATCACAGCTAATAATTAATAAACCCAGAATTTTAACCCTTATCTATAAGACTCCAAAGTCTCTTTTTTTTCAGTGCACCTTTAGAACAGATAAGGCATGAGAGTTGGAAGAACACGGGACTGGAGTTCGGAAATTTCCATTCCAGTGCCAGCTGACAGAGTTAGCTATATGATGTTGCAAAAGTCCCTTCTTCCCAACAGGCCCCATTTCCTGACACAGAAAATCAGTTTATGTGATGTCTAATCGTGACTTCAGCTGTAATGTTACACTATATTCCACTGTCCTAAGCTTCCAATGTTTTGACATTGGTAATGTTTTGGAGTCTATCAGTCTATAGCCCTGAAATGCCAGAGTAAATATTTAAAGAAACCTGGATTCTCATGTTTTTCAGGGGCTACTTCAGTCAGGGGGACCAGAGGTACTTCATTGAACCTTTAAGCGCCACTCATCAGGATGAACAGAAACATGCACTCTACAAGTATGAGCCCTATGCAAAGACTAACAGCTCCTGCGGGATGGATGACGTGTTATGGGCACATGCATTTCCGCAGAATGTGGCCTCACCTGCCACCAGTCTGGACGTATGCAAACATTTATGTTTTATCTGCAATACTTCCATGTGTCTTGTCTGGCTGCCCTGGGTTCCTGTCTTAGCAGCTGTGATTGATTGACTGAAACTTCACAGTCATTGTTGAAATTAGTAGGCCACAGAGGCACTAAACTTTGATGTTTGCTGATGAGTTATTGAATAAGTACTTGTGGATCTACTATCATTAATGATAATATGCGAGGGTTAAAAAGTTAAAAAGAAGTACAAATATAATGCTTGCCCTCTAGGAGCAGACAACTTTCACAATACAATGTACAACAAAGGCATCAAGTATTATCACTTTGTAAAACATCCTGCTATCTTCAGGAATGAACTCATTCAACAAATCTTTCTTAAAGTACTGCCATAGGTGCTAGGGATGTGGCAATGAGTAAAATAAATGTAAAATCTGCCAACAGGAAGTTAGAATATTCTTTCATGTATGAGATTTGGCTTCTAGTCACAGAAGCAAAATAAATATGGCTTGTGTTTGAAACTGCAAGATGTATAAAAAAATCTTTGTCATTATTACATTCATTTCATTCAGGATACATCTCATATCCAATCATTTCTTCAAAGTGTTCTCAGAATCTATAAACACTGGGTAGAATTGATTTGAATAAAATAATATTTCTGTTGGGTTCAATTTGCTGTGGGTTTGACTTTTACTGTTGAGATGATACCTGAGAACCCAGAACATACCTGTATTTCCCTGTGAATGTTGACCTCCTGATGTAGCTTGGTATGGCCTCTTGTCTCTCTCTCTCTCTCAGGTCCTTGTTAACCTGTGCAGATAACCTTGCTTTCATGGCATCCCAACATAAGTCTTTTCTTCCCACCTCTTCTCCTTCCCAGCAGCTCTGTTTCCCCTCCTCTGGCTGATCACCAAATCTAGAGGCGCTCATAAAGCTCATTCTTCAGACCCATTCTTTGCTTCATCTACCCATTCTTTCTGGGTTGTCTCATCCTATGATATGTCTTATTGAAATAGGAACTATTTCTATCAAATTTAGATCTTCACCTTCGGCCCCTCCTCTAAAGGCCAGACTGTTGAAAGTCGCTACCTACTTCATGCATTCATTCCGATGTCTGATATCACAAACTGAATGTGCTTAGAATAGAGCTACTGATTTCCAAATCCAAACCATATCTGCTTCTACCTCATTTTCCCCCTATCTCAGTTAATGGTACTGCCATTCATTTACTCAGGACCAATCTGGAAACTGTCCTTGGTCCCTCTTTCCCTCACTCCTCCTTGGATCGTATCCGTCAGCAGGTGCCTCCACACGTTCCAACTCTTATGCTTTGCTCCCTCTTCCTAAAGACCACATGCACCACCCAGCTCACAGTAACCGTGACAGCACCCTCTACCTGATCCCCCACTCTCATGCCCGCCCTAGTGGAATCCACACTCCACACCATAGGTGAAGTGATTCTTTTATTCTAAATCACATCGAGTCACTTTTCTGTTTAGAACCTTGTAATGGCTTTCCACTGCATATAGTACAAAATCTAAATGTGTGACAAACCCCTGTATGATTAGGGCCACTTACCCCTCTAATCTCCTCCTCCTTTCTACTCCCCACTCACAAATGACCTCCCTCATTAAGTTCAGACAAACAAAAACTTTTAATCTGTGCTTTACACATGCTAGCATCAATTCACACTAGTCTTTTTGCTCAGTTATTTCTTCCAATTTATCTTCCCTTACCTGGCTACTTGTTTTCATTAATATGTTTACCATTATTTCTATTTCTATTATTCTATTATTCATTAATATGTCTATCGTTATTTCAATATCTATTACTCTGTCAACTTTCATTAATATGTCTATTCTAAAGAGGCTATTGCTCAGAGATTTTCATTCTATTCTGAAAAACTACCTTATTACTTAATACATAGCACTCATTTACTCCTCTGCATCACACTAATTGCCATCTGATATATCTATGTTTGTCAGTCTATTGTGAGCTCCTTAGGCACAAAGACTGTGTCTATTTCACTGCTGTATCCCTAGAGCTCTGTTGGTGCAGAATAATTACTAATAAGTAGGTTGCTCCTGTATAGGGTATGAGGCAAATGCATATCTCCTTAGGTAATACCTAAAGTTTGCCTTCAGCAATTTTTTCTTGCTAATTTAAGCTTATTTACCTGTTAAAAGACAAACACTTCCAGAAATGAAATATAATAAACATACATGGTTTATGATTTAGTGTGAATAATGCCTCTGCTGCTTTGCAGTGGGATAATCCACTAGAAACGTGTTGTTTTTTGTCTTTGTTTGTTTTGTTTTGTCAAGAGAAAGGAACAGAAGATAGGGAAGCTTGTAATGTAGGAAACAGTCCCAGGTCTGCCTGAGGAGGAAAGAGCAGATCTTGTGCCACGGTGGCCCTCATTGAGCCATTGGTAACCAAGGGGTAATCACTGGGGCAGCAATAAAAGGCACTAAACACAGCAGTAGGGGGATGCTGAATTCAAAGTTTCTCTATTTCATGGCAGGAGAGTAGAGAAAGTCCACTGCTTAAAAAATCCATAGACTTGGCTTTAGTTCTAGTACCCCTACTAATTAATTGTGCAATCGGTAAACTCTCTGGTGAAATAAAGAGGTCAGACCAGAATATCACTGATGTCTCATCTAGCTCTCACATTCTGAGCCTAGTCTATAAATAATTCTGGCTAATTAGGGTTAAAATGATAATATTGACTTCCTTTATTCCCAGGTACTAACTAATCTCTTCTAAAATTACACGTTTCAAATAAAAATTAAAAAATGACACTTGCATGTAAATATGTTGTCTTAGGAATTTCTCTTTTCATGTTTATTACAGAAATCGAAAGACCAGAAGGCTTGGGAACGTGAGAAATACATAGAATATTATTTGGTCCTGGATAATAGTGTGGTAACTATATCGGATAAATGTCTTTTTTTAAGTACCTCCTACATACATTTATTATGTAAGATACTGAATATGTGGGTCAGTTTTTAAAAATCATGAATATGGGCACTTCTTTTTCACAAACTGTTTTGAACCTAGGAAATTAGACCTGTAATTAGACTGATGAGCTCTCCTTTTCAGGAATGTCCAACAAATGTGATATGCATAAACTCAAATTTTTGCACTAAAATTCTCTTTTCTCATGATCTGAAAGGCTCCAAACAGTTTCCAGTTGAATTCTTTTATAATTTTGTCTTCTTTAAGCAGCTAAATAATTGATAAATTAGAATTTATGCTTATCAGGGAATGGTAAATATCAAAGATTAGTGAAGGGAACCTTCTGAAACAGGCAATTTTTTAGTAATATTCACCGTTTATCTTCTTTTATAAGAAGGCATTTTCATATATTGAATGTTCTAAGCCTGAGGTCCTCATGTGTGGTCTCAGGGGAAAATTCTATGCTATGATATTGTGAGTAAGTTAATTAGTTCAGGCGCTAAAGCTTTGGCCTCTCTTATGCTAGATTCATTTACTGTTTATATATATATATATATTTAATGAATGAGCTATTCCCGGTACTGATTATGCACAGCTTAGGAAACCATGATATTTAACTGAAAATACATTAGGAATAATTCCTTAGAGCTTTGCAGTAAGCTAGTATTTCAGGGGACGAAACATCACATCTACTCCCAAAGTGCATTAATTCAGCTAGAGAGACAAGGAAGCAGTTTGTTTCCAACTTTTCACTGTTGACTTTTATAACTGATCATCAATTATAACTACTGGTAAGTAAAATACACTGAAGTTGCCTTTTTTACCTCCAGTTACATTCATTTCTATTAATGCTCATATTTTGTCTTGGTTGTTTTTCAGTTTAAAAAGTATAATCAAGATACAGAAGAAATAAGAAAGAGGGTTTTTGAAATGGTCAATTACATCAACATGGTATGATATATTTTATTAAATGTAATTTCAGCAATTTGTTGGGTGATATCATCAGTATGTCTGAATGTTCATGAAGCAGGGAAGCAAAGTCAATACTACAAAGACTAATACCACTGACCGGCTTTTGAAGGGGTGACCACAGCTTTTGCTACTTGACTGAGTATTAATATTACATGATAGAGATGTTTCTCTCCTACTTGCCACATTATTCTGAGGTCCATGAAGGTATAAAAGGTGGCTTTGTTGAATAACACCCAGGAAGAAAATGTTGACAAACAATAGAAAGTCAATCTAAGGAAGAAAATGGGAAAACCAACAAAATAAGCCAAGCTCTGGCACATTGCTGTCATCCAATACATGATCTCATTGAATACTCAAAACAACCCTAAGATATTACAAGCCTCTCTAAAAGGTGACCTTTGGGGTGTGGCCCAAGGGAGGGTTACAAAACTCAGCAAAGGATGCAAGCGTAGAACCTTCACTGTCCTGCTGGAAGAGCAGTAGGATGGCCATTGTGGCTGGGAGGAGGTAAGCCAGGGAAGGGGGGGAAGAGATGGCATCTAACAGGTAGCACTGACCAGGACCCAAAGGCCCTGGTGAGGCTGTGTAAGAGTTTAGCTATTTTTCTTGAATAAGCAAAACATTGGAGAGCCTGAGCTGAGGATGACAGTTTCACATGTGTGTCCCTAAAAGGTCGTCTTGGCCATTAAGTTGAAAATAAGCTGAAGGAAAGCAAGGGTGGAAACTAGACCACATGGGAAAAATCGTGCCATAATCTAGGGCAAGAGATGACCGTGGCTTGAGTGAAAGCAGTGATAGTGGACCTTTGAGAGTCGTTGATCTCTGATACAGTCAACAGGGTGTATGAGGAGGGTAGGGGATGAGAAGCAGAGGAAAAAGAGGAGTCATGTGACATAAAGGGTTTTGACTTGAGCAGCTTCAAGAATGGGGAGCAATGGTGGGGGAGAGTGACTCAAAGGAAAGACTGGGATTTCTATTTTGAACTTGTTAACTTTGACATATCTTTTTGTATAAAAATGAGGAAATGCTGGATATACAAAATTGGAGCTTAGGAGCAAGGGGTGGCTAGAGATAAAAATCTGTAAGTCTGCAGTACATAGAGATGGCATAAGATGGGTCAGCAAAAGTTAGCCTCTGGGCCAAATCTGCCTGCTGCTCTTTTATAAAATAAAGTTTTATTGAAACACAGCCGTACCTATTTGTTTACACATTTTCTGATGCTGTTTCTCTGCTATAATGCCAGAGGAGGTGAATAGATGCAGCTCACACCATAGAATCTCAAAACCTCAAATATTGTCTATCTGGTCTTTTACAGAAAGTTTGCTAACTCTGGTGTAGAACACCAACAGAGGGTGAGTAGATAGGTAGAGAAGAGCCCGAGAACAGATTCCTGAAATACTTCTTTGAGCAGAGGTCAGTCGGGGAGAAGCTGAGAGAGCCCAAGGACTAGAGAGTGAAGTGAGAGGAAATCCAGGAGAGAGGGTTGCCCTGGAGGATCCTGAAAACAAAAATCTATCAAAGGAAAAAATGATCAATGATGTTACATTCCTCTGCGGACTGAGGATCGGCCATTGGATTTGGCCAAGTAGAAGTTATTGGTCACCTGGATGAAGCAGGGTTCGGGGGAGTTAAGAGTGAAAGCATGATTGGAATGCGTCCAAGAAAGAGCCAGAGGTGTAGAATTAGAGACAGCAAATACAGAAAATCCTTTCCAGAAGTTTTACTATCAATGGGAGCAGAGAAGCACAGGGTAAGTTAGAGGGGAAGGGCCTTAAAGAGAAATTCCCGCCCACCTCCTCTCTCCCCTGGCCACCCACGTCTTCTTTATGCTGATGGGAACGATTGCATAGGAGACAGTGGAAGAATGGCTGCACTCATCTCCTTGATCTGGGAGGCATGGGGGAAGTCAAGCACAAGTGGAGAAGTTAGCCTCAAGCTCCCATTCATCCCTATCGTAAGGAAGGGGAAGGTGCAGGTCATTCAAACAGGTGCAGGTCAGTAGGGAGACTGATGGTGGGAGCTTGTGGAAGTTCCCTTTTATTGCTTCTATACGGTCTGTGAATTTGGAAGCAGGGGCATCTGCTCAAAGTGAGGACTTAAAAGAAAGGGTTAGATAAGAAAGAGGAGAAAGTATGAAAAAAATGTGCAGAAGACCATGGGAGTGGATGGACTTTGGAAATGCAGCAGGCTTGCTGGAGGGAGGGAAAGACCACTAGAGGCAAGTATCCCTGGCTTCAGAGTGAAGGGAGTCCCAGTCGGGTGCTTTCCCAAGATTATTCAGGGCGTTGAAGGACAGATGTGGTGGGAGTCACTCAACCACGACCGGAGTTTGGTCGGGTAAGTAAAACAAAACAAGAAAGGAACCAGAAATTGAGGGCATAATCAAGGGATGGATTTTAATCTAGTTAGATTTTTACTTCTCTTTGGATGATAATTACATTCCTCCATACTTTGAGTGTTTTCTAAACTACTTTACAAAAATTCTTCAGGTTTCTTAGCAGAAATCTGTCCCAGGAGAAAGCCTGTCACTGTGCTGTTTTTCCCCAAGATTTATTGAGATATAACTGGCATATAACCAATGATTTTAAGGTTTTCAACATATTTATTTGATACACTTATGTACTGTAAAATGATTACCACCACAGGTTTGATAACACCTGCAACAGGTCACATAATTGCCTTTTCTTTTTTGTGGCGAGAAGGCTCACGATCTACTCTCAGCAATTATGAAATGTCTTATATGCTATTATTAATGATAATCACCATGCTGTACATGAGACCCTCAGAACTTACTCATCTTGTAACTGGAACTTTCTACTCTTTGACCAACATTGTGCAGTTGTCTAAACTATAGTAGCAATTTAAGCTTTCATTTTTAGAGTGCATTGTCCCATAAGTTTAACTTGTTTTATTTCTCAATGTTCCCATATATGCACTGCTGGTTACTTAGGTCACTCAAGTTTAAAAATTAGAGAACTTCTTACTTTCCTGTGACTCACAGATGCAGGGCTTTTCCACATAGCATATTCCTTTTCTACTGTTCAAACCAGCTAGTTGTGAAATACAATGAGTCAACCTCATTCATTCTTACTCTGAGAATGTTACAAAGCATTTGAGTAAATGTACTTAATGTGGAATCATACTAATAAGCTACTGATACAAAACTGTAATACTTCCTGGGGTCACAAGCAGAAAAAGTTTGTTTCAATAGGATCTTTGCTCCAAAATAAAGAGTGTACAGACCTGAAATATCCAAGGAGTCTAAGAATAGGGGTGCTAACACCTATATCACATGGTAACTTCCATGCACAAGTATGTTTCGAAAGGAGGGTTTTACAGTACTGTTATAAATAAATACATCTGAAAATCTAAATAAACTACATTGAAAATGTTAAACGATAGTATCATCATGATGAGTCATTGCCTGGTCATTTTCTCTCTTTGGACAGCTTTATAAGAAACTCAATACTCACGTGGCCTTAGTTGGGATGGAAATCTGGAATGACAAGGATAAAATAGAGATAATCCCAAAAGCAAGCTTTACCTTGGAGAATTTTTCTGGCTGGAAGGGCGGTGTCCTCCTAAGAAGAAAACATCATGATGTTGCTCAGTTACTCACGTATGTATAAATTTTCCCCTTTGTATGTTACATGGTGTTTAGCCTAGAAACTTTGTTCAAAGCCTTTGCAAACAAAGCAAGTGGTATCTCAGGGAATAAGGTCAGAGGAAGGACCTTCCACATAGGGGACTAACAGTTTAAAAAGTGCTCTTGGATATTATGTTAAGTATGTTCTTACATTTCAACCAAGTATTTCTTTTGCTTTTCTTTCTTTTTTTTAAAGATAAGCTAATCATTTATCAGGATTCATAAGACTTGCTTTGACTGGGTATACAGAAAGGAAAGATGACTTAGATAAAGGCAAGAATGATTTAAAGTCAATGTTTTAAAAGAAATGATTGGCTTTAAGCACTAGCCAGGACAAACTTCTAGGAGAGAAGGAAAATTGAGTATTATATTCTAATCCCGCACCTTTTAAATGACTATTTAAAAAAACAAAAACTGGGAAAATAAAGCTAGTGGCTGCAAATTGCACAAGACTGCTCAGCATATGTCTCAAAAGAAATTAAGGAAATTCTGCTCTACAGTTTGTAGCTGGAATCAAACAGAAGGAAGCAGCAAGGGGTGACTTGAGTTTTACTTCCTAAATACAGTGGGTGTCATAAGAAATAAGCAGACTAGAGCCTGTCAGAATTAACTAATATTTGGTGCTGGTTATCTCTTAGGTATAACACTTCCACCCATAATATTCTGGCTTAAAATAAGTCTTTTTCATTTACATATCTGGTGCCTTGCTTGGTATGACTTGAGCCGGGGGGCTGCTTGGTCATCTCTCTGTATATATATATATATATATATACACACACACACATATATGCAGCTTTCCAGGTGGTGAAACTTGGCCTTCCCCCAGCATGGCAGTCTCAAGGTTTTGGACATCTTACAAGGTGACTAGCTTTCCCCAAAAGAAGGATTGTAAGAGATTCAGGAGAAAGCTTCAAGGCCTGTTATGACCCAAACTATATTCGTTGGGTCAAGAGCAACTTACAGACCTATTCAGGTTCAAGAGAAGATGCTACACAGGATGTGAACGCCACGAGCCTGGCTCATTGGGAGTCGTCTTTAAAGAATGGCTGCCACGGTTCTTTAATTGGGAAAGTTGAGCTCCAGACTCAAGGATCCACCAAAGGGCAGAGGTCAGCTTTTGGAGAGGTTTAGTGATTTTTCCAGGGTCTTATTGCTCGTAAGTAGTAATGGAATTCAACTCTTACCAGACTGCCTCTAGGGCCATGCTCAAATTATAGAATATTTCCATATTGTAAAGCAATAGGGTAGAGAGAAAAAAATCATGGACAAGTTGACGGATTTTTAGATAAAAAAAATTGCAGTCCAATATCAAAATTTCCTGCATAGGCCAGAATAAACAGGAAGGAAATAATTGTCCTTTCACTTGTAAATTGAAAGCCTTACCATTTACTTAACAAATTGACAAAAGTACCTATACCTAGGCATAACCAGGTAGAGTCCAGATATACTCTGCCCACTAAAAAGGGGAACCAAAATAAATAACTCCATAATGGGGAAAGATTGCATTCATATGAAATGAGCTAGTAATGAGAATGGAGCCCACACAAATGTAGACTTAAGCATAAGTAACTTTACAATGTAATTATGTAAAAGAGGACATAAATGCTATAAATCTATACAAGATCATGTATGTTGCAAAATGTTTAAAATAACAAGTATCTGAAAACTCCACAGGGGATGAAAAGTGGGAAGAAGTTCTCTAATTTCCTCATTTGCATGTCAAAAACAATACTCCCCACTCTTGATGTTGTTAAGTAGGAAACTTTAGGGTCAGCTTTTTTTGTAAATGAAATTAAGGGAATTTTCTCAAATGATGCATACTTTGCAAATTTCTAGAGACAAACTAGGCCAGGATCTTAAACAAACAGCAGAAGAATACTAACAGAGAAAGCACATGGAACCATTGCAAATTGAAAGAAAAACAAAATGAAACAAAACCAATAAACAAATTAAAATTGCTGAGGACATATGTATCACCTATGGAAATAAATGCAAGTGGTTCAACTCCCCCTTCAACAAAACAAATGTTTCAATCACAGGTTCTCCTAGGTTCTTGTGCCGCCACAACAAAGAATTGGACACAGATACAATTGTAAAGAAGAATAAAACTTTTATTTGAAAACACTCTAAGGGAGGAATGCACTAGAGTCAAAGTAGATAAAGGTGGGTTTACTTGAATAAAAAAGAGAGGAGAGAAAAACAGAAGGAGGAAAGGGAGGCTCATTGAACTGCTGCTCAGCCTAAGGGCCAAATCCCCTGCCAACTCCTCAAGCCAGTGTCACCTGGCGTCCAGTGTCTGCTTGACTCTGCACAGTGTGGGAACTAAATCCCTAGGATCTGGGGGAGCCTGCAGAGCACTGGATGGAGTGGGGTTATGTTTTGAGAACTTCCTAAAGGCAAAGAAAGAGATTTTCAGGCAAGCCTCTAAGGAACATGATCATATAGCTGCAGATCTGTCCAGGTCACCCCAGCGACAGGAACTTGCAAGACCAAATCAGAGCTTTTAGTAGCCCCTCACTACTTATCTGGAGTAGAACAGAGAAAGTGACTCACTTGAAGAAAGGCAAGTGTGGACGACCTCAGAGAGGAGGCGCACTTAAGGGCTTAGGATTCCATCTTTTAAGGCTTTCAAGAATGGAGTAAAGGTAAAAGGTTGAGGGTGTGTGTAGGCTTGACACGTGGTCTCATGATGTCCATCTACAACGAGGGACACCATGTCCTCATCCACACTTAGTCCTCCAGATAATTCTGTACAATAAACTTAACATAAGGAATTTATTGATCCTGTTCCTCTCCAAGATAGTGGTTACCCCCCAGCACAGGGAATATATCAGTTAAGACTGCTTGTCATGCCTTAAGATAGATTGTTGACTGATCACTAAAGAATATGTTAAGAATCTTACCTCCTAACTCCCTGGTTTCTAAAATGGAGTCTTAGCCTTAAGATTGAGTCTCTCCTGTTCTTATGTACTGTTTATAGCTCAGCATTTTTCATCAAGGCAGGAAAAGTTCATGATGCTGCCTGCCCCATGTCTGCCCTATCCCACCTGCATTAGCTAGAGCAAGTCTCACGGTCAGCCCAGATTGAGCGCATGTGGGATGAGCTCACATCGCAAAGGGCGTCAACTCTGTGAGTCCTTTCTGGCTCTCTGGCTTTATCTGATTGGCCCCCTGAGTTCTTGGTGGGCCCCACCTTCTTTTAATCCCGCTTATAACTGTCTTTCTCCCTAACATTTCAACAATGAATATTTCAGGATGGACTCAAACTCCAATTCTACCATAGCTAAAACAGAGAAAAAGGAAAATAAAAGTAAGCAGATATAAAATTATATGAGGAAAGTAAAAATTAAAACGAAGCATATAATATTAATACTAATATTAAAATAAGATATATACAAAAAAAATATCAGGACAAAAAAAAACCCTTTATTCCAGAAAATGGATGAATTCCATAATGAAAAATATAATAATTATGAATGTGAGATGTAAATTATTAAAAGTGGTTTTATCCAGGTGCTTGGATTTCAGTGACATGATAACCGTTGTATAAAAAAATGCCTCATGCAAATTCAAAACCTGAAAGAAATATTTAAGAGTTATTATTCACAATGTGAGTTTTTCTGCTAACCATTTAGAGTTCTGGATGAATTTTTCTATAGAAAATATATTGTAGAGAATCATATGATGTTATGTCAATTTATTTCTTTCAGAGCAACAGAATTTTCTGGAACAACTGTGGGCCTTGCTTACATGTCTACAATGTGCACCCCTTATCATTCTGTTGGCATTGTTCAGGTTTGTTTGGAAATAAACAGTGGTTCTATAGGACAGGTCCATCAAATGCTCTTTTTTCTGTATCTATTGAGAAGATGATGTAGGTTTTCTCCTTTAGTCTGTTGACATGGTAAATAACATTGAATTTCAAATGTTTAGTCAATCTTCTATATCCCATATAAACCCAGCATGGTTAATGTATTGCTTTTTTATATATTGCTAGATTCTACATGTTAATATATCTTGAGAATTTTTGCATCTGTATTCATGAGGATATTGGTCTGTAGTTGTCTTTTCCTGTTAAGTATTTTTTCAAGTTTTGTTATTAGGTTGAATATAAGGGTAAATCTGTTCACCTAAAATGAAGTGTTCCCAAACTCTTTAATTTTCTGCAATATTTGAGTAAAATTGACATCATTTCTTCCTAAAATGTTTGGTACAACTCATCAGTAAAACCATAGGGTGTTGGAATTTTCTTTGTGGTAAGGTTTTTAGCCACAAATTCAACTTCTTTAGTAGGTATAGGACTATTCAGGTTATTTATCTCTTCTTGAGTGAAATCTGGTATTTTGTCTCTTTAAGGAAAGTTGTCCATTTTGTTTATGTTGGCACAAATTTATTGATTTTATGTTTACTATCATTTTAACATCTGTAGGATTTGTGGTGATGTCCCTTCTCTCCTTCATGATACTAGTAATTTGTGTCTTTTGTTTTCATGGTCAGTCTGGCTAAGTAAGGGTTTATCAATTTTATTGATCTGAAGAAAACCACTTTTGCTTTATTGATGGGTTTTCTTGCTTTCTGTTCATTGATTTCTGCTCATCTTGATTGTTGAATTCCTTCTGCTTTCTCTGAATTTAATGTGCTCATTTTCTAGTTATTTAAGGCAGAATTTTAAATTGTTAATTTGAGGCTTGTCTTCTTTTCAAATATAAGCATTTAAGGCTATAAATTTCCTATGCTGCACTGCTTTAGCTGCATCCTAGGTATTTGGATATGTGTGTGTACGTTTTTGTTCAGTTAAAAATATTTTCTAAGTTCTTTTTTATTTTTTTGATCATGCATTATTTAGAAGTATATTATAATAATTTCTATCATTGTCTTTCGTAGTTTAATCCTGTAATGGTCTGTGTATTCATTTGCTAGGGCTGCCATAACAGCACAGGCTGTGTGGCTTAACAACAAAAATTCTTCTTTATGCTGTTCTCTCTCCCCCTTGAATAGGCTTTTGTCACTTGTGACTGCATGATTGTTAGACCTTTGGTGGGAGGAGGGCATTCTCTCTTGTTCTCTTTAAGCCTCAGTCTTAGGCTAGTCTTGTGTCCCTTACTGTCTCAGGTGGTCCTACTCCAGGACCAGATGGTGGGGACCTCCAGTGATACAGCCCAGCCTGTACTCCTGCCCTCCTGCCCTTCTGCCCCTTTCCTCTTGGGGTAGAGGTTTTTGTTTGTGTTTCCTTCCTGTTCAGAGTTACACTGAGACTTCACCAGTGCCCTGAGGGTGCCAGCATTTGTTGCTCTTCTCTCAGAAGTGTAAGGCCTTAGTTTTGGGCTGGGACTAGAATAAGGCAAGTAAAGGACTCTCACCCTGGGTCATGCTTATTCCACAGCAGAGATCGGGGAGAGGGAACTTGGAGGGGTTCCTGTCTTTTCATTGCTGTCTGTCTCCTCCAGGGTCATGCTATAATGGGGGCTATGTTAGAACTCTCATATCAGTGCATGGCGAAAATTCCCCTTACGTGGGAAGCCCCCATGATTTGTATATTCTCTTGCCATACCAGGCTCTGACTTTCTCAATTTTAGATTTCTTTATATGAGTTGTTACTAGCATCTGGTTGTAGCTGCCCAGGTAAGCAGATATTCATCCCTGGCTCTCTCTGTAGGTGCCAGTCTATCTTTCCTTCAATTTCAGCTTTGTTTGTCGCCTGCAACTCAGCTCTAGGATGGGTCCTAGAAAATGGTGACTCTATTGTCCAATGTCTTTATTTATTGTACGTTTGGAAGTCATTTTCTTTCTAGCTTCCTACAATCTGGTAGTGGAGAAAAGAGGTTGGTGGGATTCTTTTCTGACTTTGTCTGGTTTCCATCCTAGGCAGGTCCTGAGTCTCAGGAGTGAAGCTATTTAGGGACCTGCCCGTCCTTCCCATGACAGCAAAACTCTGCTCTCTGTGTTTTGCAGGTGTTCAGTGGCAGAGTTCCCGGCCCTCCCTTAGTGAGAGAAAACCTCCATTGATATCGATACAAGATTCGGGGCTCGGGATTTTTGTGTGCCCTCTCTCAGGAGTAGAGGCTTTTGTGGTTCTGTTTGTGTCTGCGTGTGTTAGACCCATGGCCATGAAGGGTACTCAGCTCCGCCTTGGGATGTCGGAGGTTGTTCCTTCTCCCCCAGGGCCTGAAGGTTTCTGTTCCTTAGAGAAGAGTCTGGGTATGGCTGGCATCCTGCTTTTTTTCTGTAGCAGCTGCTTCTTTACTCTCTCTGGGAGGCTCTTTCTGTTCTCCTACCCAGCCCCCAATGTCTGTCATGAGCTTCCAGAGGAGATCCCTGGAGAAGAGCTTGGGAGGTGTGCAAAGCATCCTTGTATTTGGGAGCCCGAGGGTTCAGTACTGTCCCTCTGGCCCACACTAAGTCTTGAACAATTCACTGAGGAAGTTACCGGCATTCGTCTCCCCACTTGTAGGACACCTGGCATCTCGTCCTCTCTGTTCTGCTGTACCCAAGCCAGTCTCCCCTTATTCTTTCCTCTTTGGATGTCCTGCAACCACAACTGACTGCTGGATTCAAAGAAAATTGTAATTTTTAAGCTTATCTGGCTTATCCCAGTTGTTAGTGCAAGAGTAATGCTCGGGTCCAGGTGTCTACATCCTATGTTGAAGTGGAATTTATCTTACGAGTCCAATATATCTTATATGAGTCTGGGTTTGTGTTGACCAGAAGAAGGAAAATTGATATTTTCTACCTTGAAAGAGTTTAACATAAAAAAGGAAGAGAAACTAACTTACTTAAAGGAGTAGTTAATACTATATGATAGTAGCATTGAAAACAGCAGAAGGAATCCAGAGGAAAGGATTGCTGATGAAGATTCCTGTTGTCAAGAAAAGTTGCATTAAGATGAACTTTAAAAGGTGGGTAGGGTTTAGAGAGGAAGAAGAGAGAATGGCAGTCATTTAGGAGAAACAACCATTTAAGTTATGAAAATAATTATTTAAAAGAAGATGCCCTAAATTTGAAGGAATCTGAAATAAGGCAATATGGAAAGTGTCTCTTTAAATAAAACCTATTTTCATTTTTCTTAAAATGTTTGGTTTGATTCCGTCCCTAGTTGAGAAACTCTATATCATTGTATATCAAGGGTTACCAGGTTCATCTCAACAGGATGAAACAATGTCATGACTTGCAGGTATTATCTTCCCATTGCACACAGGCGTTCCGTGCTCGCCAGCCTTGCACTATGCTTGACAGACCTTTTTATTTGGTTTTTGAAATGAAGGAGAAAGGGATTCTAGTTTCTGTGGGTGGATATCATTGCCAGATTCCTCCCCACTGGGGAATTACACCCAGCAATGATGCTCGAGTGTTGTTTGATTGTTCCTGGATGACTTGGAGCCCCAAGTCTGAACTTTAGTGAGAAACAATCTGGAAATGCAGGTGGTTATTGGCTGGACTTGGTGCAGTGGGGCAAGGCTGGAACTGACCAATGCCTTGGCAGTGATGGAGCTGGAAGGGCAACAATGTGCCTAAAGCTCTAGGCTGACTGACGCTGTTAGACCCCTACTAGCTAAACATCAGAGACCTCCATTAAATTAGAAGATATTGTAAAACAAGCCTGTGGGGAGGAGGTACATTTTTTAAAAAATTCTGTTTCCTTATCGTTGTTGAAGAAATTTTGCCATTATCTCTCATGGTAGGAAACCACAAAAGATGTCCTCGTTATAGATACTCCCCATTCACAAGAACAAAGAGAAGGAAGGCAACATGCCTTGTATTGGTCATTCGGTACCAAAGAGGGGTGTGTGTGTGAGAGAGAAAGAGAGACAGAGACAGAATGACGGAGAGATAGAGGCAGGGAGAGAAGAAGGAGAGAAAGAGAAATGGTGGGTAGGGTGAGGAGGTCAAAGCTAAAATCAGTCTCTGTGCTCCACTTGGCTACAGTAAAACTGTTTAATTGTACCCTGGGTGATCATCGTGTTTGCAAACCAGAGGATCTGTTTCCTGACTCTCACCCGTAGGACCACAGTGAGAATGCGATCAGAGTTGCATCAGTAATGGCCCATGAGATGGGCCATAACTGCGGAATGTCTCACGACTCCGAATTTTGCAGCTGCTCCTCTTCAGAATGTGTGATGGACAGAGCGATGAGGTGAGGCTTTCTGGGAAGAAACTGTGTCAACTTCTTGTTTTCATTCACTCTGGGCTGTGCTACTCTTCTATGCCATCTTTAGCAACCTATTCAAGCTTTTAAATATTAAATAGCACAGTCTTCCATGTGTAGCGATATCCAAACACCTTATCCCTTATGTGTATGTGACCTTTTTCATTAACTAAATTATAATTTAAATATATTATCTCTGAGTTGAGATGACTTGTCATTTTATCCTCATTGTATGTACAGAAGACCTGGTCTCAGCAAATCGTTAGCCATTATTAAATTTTCAATGAATTCGGATTGGGTGGTGGTAGAGAAAGAATTCCAGTAGAAAAATCTAACTAAAGAAGAACGTTCTCACAGAAAGATGAAGAGAGAATCTGTGAAAAGCGATTACACATTCCTGCCTTGCCTAAGCAAAGATGCCAGGGAATTTTATCTTTACAACTCCCACAATCCTTTGTATATATTCATTTCCTCTCTCCTATTTTTCTATCCCAGCCCACTCAATCTGGGGTGAGTCTCTCATGCCCTTCCACAAAGTAGCACATGGCTGCATGCCAGTCATATATGTTATTGCTCCCAGCTATTACTGCATTTTTAAACCTTTTTGTGTGTGTGTGTGTGGAATGAAGAAAGTCTGTCAAAAAAGAATTCCACTGAAGGGAAGTAAATTCTTGGAGCCGTGAATAAGTATGATTTTGCTATCCTTCAGACTTCACAATCAGGATGAGCTCGGACTCAATAGGATTATCTGGATAAGTCAGGGACACTTTTGTTTTCAGCAGCAACGTGGATGCTATGCTTTTGAGGTATGACCATATTTGCTCATGAAGCTGAAGGCGTGTGTGTCCACCCACGTGGGCTCATTCAGGCATACAAATGAGCTCATGCTTTAGCAGATGGTCAGTGCATTGGACTGGATCTCCTGGGGCAGGTCTTCGGGCGCGCCAACCCCAGCGTCTGATTCTGCTCCCTCCACCTCCAGCATGACTGCATTCCATTTTCTCTTCCCTGATCCTCACAGCTTCTACATACCTACGGACTTCAGTTCCTGCAGCCGCGCCGACTATGCCAAGTTCCTTGAAGATAAATTATCAAATTGCCTCTTCAATGTTCCATTGGCTGCAGCTATCATGTCCCCCCCAATCTGTGGGAACCAGCTGGTAGACATGGGAGAGGAGTGTGACTGTGGGACTCCCGAGGTACCATCAAGTCCGTTCTGAATGATCTTGCTCATTTTTCAGTTACTAAGAAAATGAACTACAGAACATCATAGAGTGGCTCACGTAAAACTACACATTTCTTGTAATTTTGTACATGTTCATTTGTAAATATCTGTAGGCCAACTTTTTTAACAATGGGCACTGCATTGCTTACAGAGCTTTCTAATTTCCTTCTGCGGGGTTCCTTTCCTATTTCCTGTATTTTTCAGTAACCCTCACCGGCTTGGGCTTGGTTCTCTCATCCCTCCCTTTCTGGCAGAAATACTTTATGTTTCTTATGTATTTACAACTTACTGAGCAGTCGCTTTAAGCACAGCATGTTGGGAGTGCTCGGACAGGGTCAATAGCTTGCCCAAGGTCACCTGACTGTCAGTGGGGGGCCAAGGTGGAGATTCTGGTGTGACTGCTTGAGCAGCCCAGAACCACCTGCCCTGGCATTTAGTCCATCTCTGCCATGTGGAGTCCTTAGCGTTAGAAGTGCCTGGCCTGCTCCCACCTTACCCACAGGGCAGCCGGGACTCTGAATGACCTTTGCTGTCATCTTAACACTTAATATGGGTAACAGGCCAAACTCTCTGGGGGCTGGCTTTTCAGTAACTTCAAAATAGGATTACAAATATAGTCATTCTATGAGAAAGCAATCTCTTCCCATTGATGTTTATATTTGAAATATGGGCAGGAGTTTTAACCCTAACATAGTTATACTCTGAATACATTACTCCTCTTTGGGAATCTATTGGCTATAGGGGAAGTTTCTGAGATAGAAGTTTTCCCAGTGCCTTTGCAGGGTCTGATTTCTCAGAAACAAGGTGGGGAGAACTAGACAAAAATATATTGCTTTACACAGAGTTGAATTAAATGTAAAAATTGCATAAATAACTATATTGTTAGATTTTCAGTACCTGTCCTAGAGATTAAATTAATTGCTGGATAGGTACAAAACTGATGAACTAATTATATTCTTTAATTATAGAGACAAATTTTATTTTTTATAACTATCCATTTTCCTTTTCTTTTTCTCTCCTGTTTTACTAAAAATAGATCATTTTCAGTATCACTATGGGAGACAGGGCGTCCAGGGGGAAGGAATGAAAAATGTTTCAAATGGAAAAAAAAAGATATATGGAGAAGTCAGATAAATAAACCACCAGTTGCTCCAAAATCTGTTTCTCTAATGTCAAATTTTGTTTTATCTTTCATTTTCCTGAAAATCATTTCTCAGACTATACCAAAGTAAGGTCTATGTGAAAAATAAATTATATTGTGAATTGTGCAGAAATGAGAGCCAATGATTGAAACCAAATCCAGACTTTGCATTTGTTTCTGGTATTTCTTAGGAATGTACCAACATTTGCTGTGATGCTGAAACATGCAAAATCAAAGCAAATTCTCAGTGTGCGTTAGGAGAATGCTGTGAAAAATGCCAGGTAAATTATTTTATTCTCTTTTAATAGTTACGATTACTCTTCATTTTTTGCTGTATTAAAATTTCAGGAATTATTTTAAATGAAATAGGCAAAGCAGTAATTTTTCTATGAAAGAATGCTCCCTACCATTTATCAAGTCCTCACTGGGTGCTTTGCAAACATGAGCTCTTTGAGCCTCCGACAACCCTTTGAGGTGGATATATGATCTTATTTTGCTTTTAAGGGAACAGAGACTCAGAACAGATAATGTGCAAAATAATAGCGTAACTCACTGGGAAACTCCAAATATGACCAGTTGCAAAAGCAATGCTGACCACTGACCGCCGCTTTATGTGCTGCTATGTGGCCTTCTTGGACCAAATGTCAACTTGGTTGCATGTTCCTCTAATGGTTTGGTGAAAAGCTTTTATTCTGAATAATGCCAGGGCTTCTCTATCTTCAACTTTTGATTCCCCTTCAGGGTGAAATCCTTAGCAAAAACAACATAAAATGAGGATTCTGTGTCTCTCTCAGCCTCTTTTGACTTTTCTTGCAAGTTAGAATTTAGCATTTCACATTCTATTGTAGACTATGGTCATTTGCTTATATGTCAGTTCCTTATTTAGATTGACTAAATCTAAATAATTTTAGAGCAGGGGACTAATTTATCTTCACCGAGCACAGAATTTCATACATTTTAAGTGCTCAATGACTGGGAAAGGAATGTATGGACGGCATGTCAGATTATAGGTAGTGCTGGGTTAGATGGGAGAGGAACGCAATAAGGAAGGCCAGAAGGAAGACAATTTGAGAACTTAAGGAGTATTTAATAAGTGTTAATATATTAAGGGCTATTTATTTGAGATTATGGCAGATTAAAAAAAAGAAGAAGTAGTCTCTGATCACAAAGGGCTTGCTGTTTCCTTAGGGCAATGATATGCATAGCTGAAACACATGAAAATATCATGCATGATTATTGCCCAGGTAGATATTATAATGATATATTCCTTTGTGTAATACTTTCTACCTATATTTTCACTTCATTTTCATGATGACTTTTTAAAGTAAATATTAGATTGGGAAATGGATTTTCAGAGAGATTAAATCCACTTGCTAAGTATATGCACCTAGTCACTGGCAGAGCCAAGATTCAAACCCATATTTTCCAAATCTGAATTCAGAGCTCTTCTTCCACAACATGTAGGAAAATGCGACAGCGATTTACACTGAAGTCAGAGAAGTCTTCATGAAAAATGAGGTGTTCAATGAGTCTGGAAAGTAATCAGTAGAATTTAAGAAAGTAGACAGAAAGGAAAAAAAATTTCCAAAGGAGGAGGCTGAGAGAAACAAAAGACAGAACAGAAGGTATAAACAAGTTTTGTGTGACAGGTGGTAAGAAAGCTAGTCTGGCAGAAGCAGTGGGGTTGAATGTAAAGTGTCTTATAGGCACCAGTTCCAATTTGGATTTTATTTTGTCACCAGTGTAAAGATAATGGAAGTTTTTGGTGATATGAGAGCATGTCTGCTCACTTCAGCTAGCCAAAGATATGCTTCCAATGTTTACACAGGCCCCTTCAAACATGCATGAAGGGCGGAGTTTGTTTCCTTAAGTTTTCTGTAAGGAAATAAGAGCACAATTGGCAATGATAGATTGCAATGGAATTAACACATCAAATGAATATTTGGTTATTTCTCCCTCATGGTAAATCATGCCATAAGAGACTTGAGTTGAAAGGAAATACCTGTTCAAATGATAAAAGGAGCTAAGGATCAGGAAATGTGATGCCTGGGAACATCTGAGAGCATGCTAATCTGGTGCTTGTGAATTTATCTTCCTTAATAAGGAAGATTCACTTCACCAATAAATCTCGGAAGTTGCAGATATAGGTCTTCTCGGAAACCTGGACAAATGCAGTCAACGAGGGAGAGACAACTTCCTTCTTTGCATCTGAGATGTTGCTTGGTTTTCTTCTGTGTTTTTCTCATTTTTATTTCTGTAGTGTTTGCATTTCTAATTCAGAAAAGATTGATTGCTTAAAGACTTAAAGCACTGGCCAAAGTCAGTAAAAGTGATATAATAGGAGGTGGCTTTAGATTATACAGTGCAAATGCAAACTGGAATAGGGTGATGCCTCTAATTACCTTGCCAATAAAAAGCCAAAGGGAAAGTAGTATTTGCATTAATTTGAAATTAGTCAGGTCGAAAAAAGCCCTCTCTCCATTTTTATTTCCCTACAGTTTAAACGGGCTGGTAAGGTGTGCAGGCCAGCCAAAGATGAGTGTGACCTGACAGAAATGTGTGATGGCAAATCCGGTACTTGCCCTGAGGATAGATTCCAAGTCAATGGCTTACCCTGCCAAAATGGGAGGGGCTACTGCTTCATGGGGCTGTGCCCTACGCTGCAGGGGCAGTGCACGGAGCTGTGGGGACCAGGTAGGAATACAAGCCCCATGCTGCTGGCAATCCTGCCTTTCTATGCACACTCAAAGAAAAACCGTATTATTCCAGGTGAACAGGCTTATTAATCGCAGCCAAAATAGCATTCTGTCCATTCTTCTTCCTTAGAAGCTGTGCCACTGCTCGAAATCCTGGTCAATAAAGGGTTGCTAGATTTTGCAAAAAGAAATAAGGATGGCCTGGTTAAATTTAAATTTCAGAGCTTTTTTTTTAGCATATGTCTTATGCAATATTTGAGGTGGACTTACACTAAAAAATTTTGTTTATCTGAAATTCAAATTTAACTGGATATCTTATACTTTATCTGACCACCATCACCAAGATCGTTCTCAGATAAGTAAACACTTGGAGGTTGTGTGTGTGTGTGTGTGTGTGTGTGTGTGTGTGTGTGTGTGTAAGGAAAGGGGGAGAAAAGAAAAGTAGGACTCTGGAGAAGCCGAGGCCCAATGAGGAGGAATAAAGCTCTTAAATGTTTATTTCATCCATAATACCAGAATTTTAGAGGCCCTATTCTCTAACTACACCATAAAAAAATACTAAAAATAAGAGCATGACTTAAAAGCCCCCAACAACTTTGAAATAAAATTTAGCTTGTGCTAAATAACTTGATTAGAAAGGCAATTTAAAAAATAACAGTTCTTCGGACTTCCTGGATATGATGTATATTACATACATATAATTTTCATACCCTTTTCTGCTATACTTCCAGATTCCTGCATAAACGGTGAGTGGAATATTTTTTTAATAGAGAATTTACTCCTCTATTCCTAAGAATATTTGAAGAAAGTTAGCACTTGCCAGAAATGTTTCATAATTCCTGAAAATATACATAATACTGGATTAAGGAAAAGAAGAAAACCACTGATTCACAATACACCCAGAAGAAAAGATACCTGGGAAGTAAATGGACAAGAGCCTAGAAAGATCCCTGAATAAAGCCCTCTCTGACAGGCAAGGGTGGGCTCAGACAATTTGAGGAGCAGAGCGTGATCCCATGGTGCGTCAGGAAGTACACCGACGTGCTGGCAATCCTCCTACTATGGTCACGCAGGTGAACGTGCTAAGTGACAGGTGGAAACACAAGGGCTTTGCTGGTTAAAGACCCTGTTTTTTCTTGTCTAAGGCGGAGACCCCGGGAAAGACAATCTTCCTCACAAAGGTGAAGCTGTGGCGTCCGCTTTCCTGTTTGGTATTAATCCACTGCAGTACATACTATTACCTTCTTTCGCCTGACCCTTCAGTATCTGCCTCCCCTATAAAGCTATCAATTTCCCTGGACTTAACACACTGTCTGTTTTGTTCACAGCTGTATGCCCAGTAAATCTTAGCACGGTGCCTGACTTTAGTAAATGTTCAAAATTATCTACTGAATGAATATTGGACATATTTACCTGATATTGGAATAGGGAAAACCTTGTGTGAATCATATATTTAAAGGCAGCTCTTATAAAAGACCAGAGAAATAGATTTCCCTAAGTAAAATACCAAATTTTGCAATTCATAAGGGGCCACACATTTATTTTAAATTACTTTTCAAAGTCTGAAAAGTTCTGTAACATATATAGGAAGGAAAAATCATTCTCTTTAACATCAAATCATTCCTATAAATCCTTTGGAATTCCAAATATTGGAATTCCAACAAGCAGTTCATCATAAAGACATACGAATGTCTAATAAATATTAAAATAATTTTAACTCACTATAAGGAAACATGACATACCATTAATGTGTCAGTAAGTGAAACATATAATAAAAAATATGAATGAAAACAAGTTATTTTACACTTGTGACATTGCAAAGGTTCTTACAGTTAATGCTCAGTGTTGGTAAACTTATGACAAAACATCGTTTCATGTATTCTGAGAAGAAGATGAATTAGCTCAATCTTTTCATATAGAATGGGGAAAAATGTATGTACAACCTAACAAAAGAAAATATACCCCTTCCCTAGCAATTTTACCCAGGAATATTTATTTACAAAGGATTTTAAATCAGCATTTTGTTTTCATGATAGTAGATAATTGGGAAACATCTGCAAGTCCAAGAGTAAGGGTTGTTCCAATAAATTGTACTGTATTTATCCAATACAATTATTACTGCTATGACATTTTACAATATTTAATGTCTTGGGAGAGGACAAAAGTATATTGATAATTGGGAAAAAATTACTTCTGAAGCAGTATGATACCAGGTGTATGAATGGTGCTTTCCACTAAGTCTAGCTTGGGATTCGGCATATGCTTTTACCTGACTATCTATGTCTATTCAACTTTTTCAGAGTAGATATTTTATTATAATCAAAAAGAACCTATAAATATTACTAAAGTAGAATAAGCAATGTGGTAATAAGACTCACTTTATCATCTTGGACATTGAAACATGAAAATCCTTTGAAAGGTTTGAGTTTACAAATCATTAGAGTATGTTTAATACTTTTTCTTGAAACCAATGCGGTATCTCTATAGGCTTTTTACCACTTTTAACCTAGTTGCTGCTTTTTCAAAGACTGGATTCAAATTCTCCTGGTCCTGTTTATTGATATTTAAAGGGAACATCCCAGCACAGAGAAGGGACATAGACTTGGTCTTAGACTTATACAGAACTGGGTGTGAAGTCTGGTTTTTCACCTCTCTCTGTGACTTTAATCAAAATGATCCTATATCCTTATTGATTAATTGTAATAAGAATGGCTAGTATTTCTTAGCAGCTCATGTGTATTAACTCATTTAATCTTCACAACAACCCGAGCTGGTGCTATTTTATGTAGCCTCATTTTACAACAGAGCAAACAGAGAGGTTAAGGCACTTGCCTGAGATCACACAGCTGCTCAGGTTTCCAATACCTGAGCTCTTAACCACTATGTTCTATTGCCGATCTCATAGGGATCTGAGAAAGCTTACATGAGAAATTAAACACATGATGTGTATTGCTCTGCCTGGAACAGAATAGAAGTCTGACTAAGCATAGCAGATAATCGTCATCATAGCATGTGTCAGCAAGGCAGCGTTCCAGTATCTGCCTGTGGGTTATTAACATAATAACTGCGACTCTCCTGGCTAAATCTTCATATTTAGATGGATTCTTTTAATTTCAGCATATCATTCACAAGTTCCCAAATATTTAGAAAGCCATTATTCAAAAATAGAATATTAGAGTGTTATTTTAAATCTCAGTGAGCTCTCGATATCAGATTTATGCAGTCTATATTTCTGAGAATGGTCAATGGAATTATGCTAAAAGAGTTCTTCTCAAGCTATGTGTTTCCTTAATTGTCTATCTCATTAATCCTTTGTAGCATTGAACTTCTTGTCTCTTTTCTTTTCAAATGTGTCCCTGCTGACCATACTTGGTCCCAGGAACCAAAGTTGCAAATAAGTCGTGTTACAGGACAAATGAAGGCGGGTCAGCGTATGGGTACTGTCACAAAGTGAACAACACAGCCATTCCCTGTAAAGCAAAGTAAGTGGCCTTGTTGTTTGAACCTTCCTGTTCACAGACTAGGGAAATTGACTGCTTCAGCCACACATTCTGATTTATTCCATTTGAAAAGAAAGCTAATTTGGGCATTGTTACTTTGACAAACATTCATTGACTGCATATGATGTGCCAGGTTTTAGGCTAGGCACTGAGTTAAAAAGGCAAATAGGAAACAACCTCTACTTTTCCAGTCCCTAGTGGCTGCTTCAGATGACAGTCCTTGTTAATAGAATGAATGTTTGAGATGGAACGTGCAATGGCGAATGAAGCTGGTTGGAAATTTGTACACGGATATTTCAGATTTAGGTGCTTTTCTGTCTAGTGTCTTTCATGATGATTCTAGGGGTTGGAATACTGATCCACTCAGGTGGATAACCAATACAATGCCCGTACACTTTTACTTAAGCTTGCCATAACATCGCATACATGAAGAAAAAATTATAGTAGGAGAAAAGATTTATAATTTGTCTGAAGAATTGGTTGCACTTTTTGTGTTGATATGTCTGAAAAAAATTATAGAATATCATAAGCAACGCACTTGAGATTTTTTCCGTAGGATAATTTTGGTTCTTCAAGTTTAAGATGACCTTCAAGATTCAAATTGTAATAGATTAACCTTTGTACTTGCTCTAAATTTTACACACACAAGGGAATGTATAATGAGACTAAACAAAATCAGCATTTCTCAAAGGTCTTTTCTTGCTTAAACATTAAACACTAATTTTTTTAGATGATAGTTGTAATCAAACTAACTGTATTTTGGACCTTGGGTCATGTCTTGGGAAGTCTGGACTTAAAGGACAATCATATCCTCTGGTCTCCCCTTTACAGGAATTCAGGGAAGATTCAAAAGGGGAAGAATTATGTAAAAGGCGGTCTGTGTATGTTTTGTGGGGAGGGTAATACATCGTGTGAGGGGTAGTGAGTAGGAAAGAGAGCAGGGCAGCTCAGTCTTTCCTCTACAGTGTGTGCACACACAACTGTCCTGCACAACTGTTTGTATGTTGTGAGGGGTAGTGAGTAGGAAAGAGAGCAGGGCAGCTCAGTCTTTCCTCTACAGTGTGTGCACACACAACTGTCCTGCACAACTGTTTGTATGAGCCCATGATAATTTCTGCAACTGGAGGCATGAGCATTTCATTCTTTCTGCAGGGTGACCTAGGGACTTACTAGTCATTGGCTGTAGTGGAGTGTAGACCTGGAATTCTGTGCCCTACAGCCGTCCTTGTGAAGTTCTACCTGAATAATTCAAGAAAAACACCTTCTTAGATTTGGAGAGAATCAGTACCTTTCTCCACTCCTCGGCCATGTTTCTTAACAGCCACCAGAGACAGCATAAGATTCCAATTCTATCACTCACAGGCCTCCTCTGAATTCTGCATAAAACAATTGACTCCAGTTTTATTGGCATTACTTTATCAACCATTCAACCCAGACACAGCCATATATTGACACTATAGTTGGAATTATTCTGCTGCAATTTGTGAAAATACAAAAGTAACCTTAGCTGAAACAAGACCGAGACTGACTTCCTAGGTGCCATTCCTGATGTCAGAAAGCCATCCTCACTCGTCCTAGTTCCATCATACATATTTCCATGTGTTTTACTTGGCATGTCATGGTTTCTCCAGCTCCAACTATCATATTCCAAAAAGCAAAATGGAGAAAAAAATGAAGAGTAGAATATACTCCCTCACATTTGCACTTAAGATTCTGCTTCCTTCCCATGGGCCAGAACCTGGGCAACTGGTCAAAATTAGCTGCACAGGAATCTGGGAAATGGGATTTGGCATGGGATTGGACAACAGTGTTCCATGTCAGTTCTGACTGGTTGTGTTACTGAAGAATAAAGGGGAAGTTGATATAAAGGAGAACTAGGAGTCTCTGCCTTGGGAGAAATGCCCCTAGTTCAATACTGATAGGGAGCTAATTTACATTCATATAAAACTGCAATTTGGAACAGGTATTTCAACTGTAGCAAATTTTGGCTGTTCCTCAGGGATGCCATGTGCGGGAAGCTGTTCTGTCAAGGTGGATCAGATAGTATGTTCTGGAAAGGAAATGTAGTGACTTTCCTGGCCTGTAAAGCATTTGATCCTGAAGACAGCAATCAAGAAATAGGCATGGTAGCCAAAGGAACTAAATGTGGAAACATGAAAGTAAGTTGAAATTGTGGCTCTTTCTCACAATTTTCTTTTGTTTTTTTGCTTTTCATTTTGTTTGCTTTTCAGGGCCTTCTGTGCTTCATGGAGCAGTTTTCAAAGCGATGCTTATGCCATTCATTGTATATGCCTGTGTTCATTCCTTCAATACTGTTTCATAAGAACCTGTTAGGTCTTAGCACTAGATTGTCAATTTAGGTAGCTTTTATTGGCCCCCAATAGGTAGGTTTTCAATAACTGATAGCCATTCTGATAATAATAAAGAAAATAATAACAATGCTATTTATGTTTACATAATGGATAATTATTTAGATATTGCAGATAATGTGATATTAACATGTTTTCCATAATGTTTTTTGTTTGGAATGGGGACCTGGTGTCATGTACAGTGTTTAGCTCAGTGCTAAGAATCAGTGTTAAGAGCTGGAGTTGAAGCAGTGGATTAAAGGGAATGACTCATGAGAGATGGGGTGAAGCAAGGAAATCTTCCTTAAAAAGGCCTTTCTAAATATTCTATTGTAAAAATTATCTAAATCTTATCTTTCTATTTTCAAAAAAATGTTGAGAATTTTCCTAGTAAAAAAGGTAAGTTTAACAACAATAATAGTGGCTAGTAACAGACTAATGAAGACTAAATTTCCGAGTCAACAATATTAAGAGCTGAAGGCACTGGATCTTAATGTCAGCTTTGTTCTTCGCATCCCTTTCAGGTTTGCATTAATGCAGAATGTGTGGATATTGAAAGAGCCTACAAAACAAGCAATTGCTCTTATAAGTGCAAAGGACACTCTGTAAGTTTTGCAAATGTTTCCGCACACTTGCTAAATCTTATGTAATCCGACGTCAGTTTTGAGGATGTTAAATTAAGGCTTTATAATTCAATGATTAAAATGATGAAGTTTGTCTATCCCCTCAGGGGTTTGGTTTAATGAAGCATTTCTTCTCAGAACCTGATGCAGAAATGCCTATTGTATTGATTCATACATTATGTAGAGATCTGAAAGGTGTCAGAGCAGGGGCTAGTCCCTTCTCAGAATGGACTTCATCATAGACGAATAGACTCTTGGGTTGGTGGTCAGTCTAGGATGCAGACTGACTGCGTCATTGCCCCTCTAGGTGTGTGACCACAAGCTCCAGTGCCAGTGTAAAGAAGGCTGGGCCCCTCCTGGATGTGATGACTCCTCCGCGGTCTTCCGTAGGTAACATTACACATCTACCCTGAGAAAATTGTCCTCTTCCTCCAAGCTTTTACTTCATTTTACATAAGATTTCATTGCTTTTTTTTTTCTTCAAATTCTTGTTCTGCAGGTATTAAATCCACACTATTAATCCTCGGAGTCTCTTAAGTTTTTAAATCATGTTTTCCTCATCCTTATAATTTTACTCTATATGCAAAAATATTTCCTCAAATTTTGCATTTGTAATCCTTTCATTTCCCAAGTGTTCTTGCTTTATAGTGTTCCATTTTCCTAGCAGCCTTGACTTAATGTATAGATATAATATCCTCATAAAACTCTCTAAGAATAGGAAAGATCATTTTTATAGGTTCAATTTTGTTCTCTTAATTATATTCATTTATTTTGAGTCTTATCATCTTACTTTTTTGCCCTGTTTTCTTGTATTTCACTTTGCTATTTTTCTTCAGGCTATGCGATCCTTAGTTGAATGTGGGAGTGCACTGACTTGAATGAGAAAATCACATGGGTTTTCTTTGCATATTTCTGTGTTTGCTGAACCTACTGCTACGGCTCCTGATGGGATATCCACCTATCAGTAGACAGGCAGATCTCCCTACATGTCACCAGGGTGGGAAGCAGCCAGAATGGGGATCCTCACCCTCACTGACTATGGCGAGGAACACTTTGCCCAGAGGAGAGATCTCTTCACTGCATATATTTCCTGACAGAGCTGCTTTTCCTCAGCACTCTCCCCTTGATTTCCCCAGCTCTGTCCGATCTAGTGTGGTATCTACCATTAGCCTTTCTGTTTCTCAGATTCTTGCATCCCCCATTGCTTCTAGAGAGCAGTTCCTGGGGCTTTGTTCTCAAGCATGACCCACTCTTCTTCTGTATATATAAGGTTGGGCATGAAGATGCAGATGGAGATGGGCCTGAGTGAACCAAGTCCAGATTCTCTGTTGGTTTCTCAAGAAAGAACAATATCTACTTCTGATATATAATTTACTGTTTCTGTTCACCTAAATCCCTTTACTTCTTATCATTCTACAGTATCTAAAAATACTATTTTGTTCTAGTGCTGTATGATCTTTTAAAATAAATAAATAAATAATCAATATATACACATATATATGTATCCACACAGACATGAGATACATTATTAGCCAATCTGTCGTCTAGGATTAGGGTAGGTAGGTGGATAGATGCAACAAACATAATCACTACTTCAATTAAAAAATTCTTTAATGGCTTAAATGGTAAACTAAGTCCTTTAAAACTATAATTTCCTTCTTCATCAAGTCTTTATTTTGATTTATCTATGGATCTGCTAAATAGAACACATGGATAGCAGGTAACATTGGATTGGATTTTTTTAATCAGTTTTGAATTCATGACTCTATTGAAGGTGAAACATGTTTAATAGTTAAAAACTGAGGAAGTACTTATTTTGATGTTGTTAAATAAAACCTTTTAAAATCATTAGTTTTATTTTTCCTTAAATGCTTTTAGACTTGCTACTTAATGAAAACTATTCATCTTGCTGTGCCCGGGTGTTGTTCTCTTTCCATTATTTTGTTTGTTAGCCAGAGAAGTCTTTCAACTTGAGGATTTTCTTCTGTTTTAAATTCAAGAAATGTTTCTATTATTACAGGTTTTAAAATTGATTCTGTCTCACTTTTCTGTATCTGCTTAGGAAACATAAATTATTTGTATGAAATCTCTGTGTGGCTATCATGTTATCTTTTTACTTGTTGTCCTTTTTCTATTTTTTTTGAGAAAGTGTTTCAAGATCTCTCTCTGTACCATAAAGTGAATTTTTAGCAGTATTAACCCTCCTATTTATTATTTATAATGACAGTCCAAAATTTTCAGTAGCATTTTTGTGTTTCTTAAACAAATTCCATACCAGCTTCTTGTTTTCTCAATTTCATACATTGCTTTTTATAATCTGTGTTTTCATTTTATTGAGAGTCCAAAGCACATGGGACCCTTAATTTATTTTGATGTCTTTGTAATTTTTTTCCTGAAAGCATATATTACATGTATATTCTGGTCCTACATATTTTATATCTAATATTTTCATACTTTTAATGTTTTTCTCCCTTAATTATTATCATCTAATAAGGTAGAATCAATTCTAACACACAATGTTAAAATAGTTCTTGAAAACTTTAACTTGGGGGACTGATGATACAAACCTACATTATATTACAAAGAATTTATATCTTAAGGGGATCAAGGAGGCAGCTGGAGTGGTTTGCAGTGCAGATAAGGGAAGATTTTCTCTGAATAACTGGTTGTATTTGTTGAGAACATTGTATCAAAGATTCATCTTTATCCAAAAGGATTTCTTTTTGTTTGGGGATATTTGTTGGAGAGTTTTGGGTCCATATCTGGTGCTACTTCTGATTCTACCACCAAGGAAAGCCTCCACCAGGCTGGGAAAAGTCCCCTAGTTCAGGAAAGTGTCCTGTCCAAAGGACAGATCCCGGAGGAAAGTTTTCATGATGGCCAGTCTTCTAAATCTAAACTTGAATGAGAAAAATGACATCTCTATTTTCATTAACTTCTAATTAAAATTTAGAATTTTATATAATTACAAGAATGTAAACCAACAAACCACAGTGTCATTAGTCGTTCCTATGACTTTGTCACCCATTGAAATTACAAAAAATTTTTACATCATGTTGCCATTGTTACATATCTCTTTAAACAGCATATATACATACCCCTAGTTTGAAGTAATAGTGGTCATTAATCTACTGTTAGATCTTATAATTTAAGGAGTTAATGAAGACGCACATATTTAATGATATCACAAATTGCTTTATGATATTTTGATAACTGTATTCCAACATAATTAGCATCCATTTTATTCATTTTATGCATTTTATTCATGAATTTAAGAAACATTCAGAGAAGGGATTTATAGGCTTTATTAGATTTCCAAAGTGATTTTTGGCACAAAAAAAAAAGGTTAAGATTCCTGCTCTGTAGCGTGGTCACTAGTGACAGCATGGCTGTCAGACTTACCAATTTTAATTAAAATCATTTTTTGTGAAATATAGTATGTATGGAAAAACATAGATATGTAAATTATTAATGATATATATTTTATAGTATATGACATGTATTTTTATATATGAATATAAATAAAATGTAAATTATAATGACATCTGAATGACAATATTTATAGAAATATTTTTCAATCAAAGCTCTGAAATATCCATAACAGAAGTAAGAAAAGGAAAAAAAGTTACATATATGTGTATATATGTATGTATATATATATATACACACACATGTCTCTATGTATATATTACACCAATATATTACAATATTGTCTTATTCTGCATAACAGCAAAAATAAATGAAATCCAGCTACATAAAAGAACATGGATGATTTTGATAATGCAGAGGCCAAAAGACTATAAGTACCAATAATTACATGTGCGTAAAGCATAAACTACATCTATAGATCTACTTGGGAGAATGAGCATATATGTGATGTTGAATTCCTAATTTATTTATATGAAATATCTATCCATTTATTTAGTCTTCTTTAATTTTCTCAATATGTTTTTCACCATGAAAATTTTGCATATATTTTCATACATTTGTTTCTAAGAACTTTTTGTTGTATTTTTTAAATGGTATCTTTTGAAGAAACCTATTTCCAACTGTTAATAGAATATAGAAATTCAACTAATTTTTTCATATTTATTTTTTTATCAAGAACCTCTGCTAATCTCTCTTCATCATTCTTGTAGTTTACCTGTGGATTCTTTTAGATTTTCTACATATTCAATTGTATTGTTTCAGAAAAAAGAGTTTTGTTTCTTCACAATCTCTAATCTTCGCAATTTTGATTTCTTATACTTGTTTTCCTTCACTGAGTAGGACCTCCTATACAATGCAGAATCGAAATAGTGAACACAAGCATCTTTGTTTCTTTCCAAATTGTTTTGCCTTGTATCTGAAGGTATTCTGTTCATACTTAGATTCTCTCCATTGGATTAAGGAAGCTCACTTCTATTCTTAGTTGGCTAATAATTGTACCAAATATTTTTTCTTTCTTTATTGGCTAAAACTTTTTACCCCTTTACTTTGTTGGCATTGCAAAATAAATTGGTTGATATTTGAACATTTATCTAACTTTTCATTCATTGGATGAACCCAACATGGAAATTCTCTTACCCATATTGATGGATGATCTTTGCTATTATTTTATGTTCATGAGTGATACTAGCCTGCAGTTTTCACACAGTAAACTATGAGTTTCTCATACAGTTTTTCTGTAGTACTTGCTCAGGTTGAGTATTGTGGTTATTCTAGTCATATAAAATTAATTGGAGAGTGTTTATTTATTTATATTCTCTGGAAGAGTTTGTATAAAAATGGAAGCTTCTTCCCTTAAATATCTGGCATAAATTGTTCAGTAAGCCATGTCAACCTAGAGTTCTGGGAAATATTTTAAACTAAAGATTCAATTTCTTTAGTAATTATAAGACCCTTCAAGATTTTAGTTTCTTTTTATGTAAGTTTTAGTATGTTATGTTTTCCTATACATTTTCCTACTCCATCTAAATTTTAAATTTTGACTTAAAATCTCTCATAATACTTATCTTTTTAATATCAATGAAATTGATAGCATTGTCTTTTTTTTCTATCATCCAAACAGAATTTTAAGGTTTTTATTATTCTATATGATTTTTATTTTTTCACATTTGTTTATTTCAATTTCCACTTTCATTTCTACTATTCCACTCCCTTTCCTTAACTTTATTTCATCTTTAAAACAAAAATTCTTGAAAGAGGTGTTTGGCTTGTTAATTTTGAACCTTCTTTTTCAAACATCCTTATAGGATGTTTAAATCTATAAAATTTCCTCTAAGAACTCCTTTGGTTGCACTTCATATGGTAAATGATATTTTTCACTGTCATTGATTCAAATTATTTTTTATTTTCCACTTTCTTCTTTGACCCTTGAAATGTTTTCACATATATTTCATATTTTTTGCATGTGCAGATTTTCTAATTCTTGTCAAATTAACACTTAGCATAATTACATAAGGATCAGAGAACGTACAGTGTTGAGAAAACGTTGAAATTTGTTCAGACTTGTTTTATGGCTCAGCATATCCCCATATTTGTAAGTATTCTGTCTGTGCACACAAAAAATATATATTCTACATTTGTTAGGTGCAGTGTTTTCCATATGTTTCTATGTAGTTTGTGAATTGTGTGCACATATATTAATACTAATATCCTGTTTGTTTGTTCTATCATTGCTAAGCCAAGACTGTTAACACACCTCACTATAACTGTCAATTAGGCTATTATTTCTGGTTCTATCAGTCCTTTTATATTTTGAGGCCATACCATTATCTCCATGAAAGTGTAGAATTGTTACGTCTTCCCCGTGAAGTGACACTTTCATCATTATAAGTGCTTCTGTGTATCTCCAGTCTTCTTACCTTTTAAAGTTAGTAGTTCCTAGAGACTAATGTAGCCGTACCATAGTTTGGGCCTCCTCTGCATGGGTATAACATTTTCTCATACTTTCATCCTTTCTGAATCCTCATTTTATATCTGTCTTACATGTGTGTTATATCTCATTTTCATAGAGCACACAAATATGTAATTTTAGTTACACAAACTTTTTTTTAAAACTGGGGTTCTTAGTCCATTTAAGTTAAATGTAATTACTGATTACTTGGGTGTAATCTGTAATCACATTGTTTTTATTTCTCCTGTTTTTTCTCTACTTTCTTGATTTCTTGTGGACTTACTGATGATTTTAAGCATTGTATTTTCATTCCATTAATTTGGAGATTTTGCATGTATTTTACATTCCTTTAGTGGCCATCCTAGACAGTTCTGCTTTTTTTAAAAGTAGAATTGACCATTTTAGAGCAGTTTTAGGTTCACAGCAAATTGAGCAGAAAGTACAGAGGTTTCCTATATGCCCCCTGCCCCCAACACGCACAGCCTCCCCCACTATCAACATCTCCAGCCAGAGTGGTACATTGTTATAGAGAATGACCTACACTGGCACATCGTTGTAACCCAAAATCCATGGTTTACATTAGGGTCACTTCTGCTTTATTGACTTTTCATTCCTTTCTGCATTTTTGAACTTTTATCTAGGTTCATTTTCCTTTCTGTTTTTCTGGGTTCCTGCCCTCTCACTAATCTCCCAAAATAATTTCCTCCTATGTTTTTAGTATTTACATGTTTTTTAGAAAGATGTTTTTCTTCAGCAAGAATTTATTATTTGTTTTTTGTTGGAGAGTTGGTCCAATTTTCTAGACCACCATTACCAGAAAGAGAAGGGGCTGTACTTCAATTATTTCCATCTTCAACTGCAAACCCACTTCCTGTTATGATGGTCTCCATCTGTCTTATACCCCAACTACACCTCCAGACCACATCCTTTCAAATTAGGGGTGTTTGTGAAGGTCTGCCAAGTTCCTCTTTATTTCCTCTGGTACCATGTCCCTCTTCTGAAAATAGTTACAATACTGACATTAGCACAAATACGTTTTTTCCCCCATTCTGAACATACCTATACAATATCTGACAGAAATGCCCGAGAACTTTATTTCCTTTGATTTTTAAAGTTGGCATTTTTATGGAGGGTGTAGAGTATTAGATATCCAAATTGTTACTATCTTGCCTGGAAATCTACTGCCGATGCATCTACCTCTGTCTGAACGTAGGCATGTTCACACTTGTGAATTTTTCTTGCATTTACACAAAAATAAATCTCGTTCTTGATGTGCTGGTCTCTCTCTGTAATAAGAGAGCAGTCTCTGTTTGCCTCGCTCTTCAAACTTGTACCTCCTTGTCTCTGTGGTTCCGGATTATTACAAGAGGAGCGGATATTTGAGACAGCAAGAGATTGAAGTCATATACATTACTTAGATTAGTAGGTAAAAGAGAAAACACCAGGGAGCCCCCGAAAATTTGTTGGAATCGTTCCCTAATTCACAAGGTCACATAATTTGTGTCCGTAATAACTTCAAAAAAATGCGCCAAAACAACACCAGTAGGACACCCACTTGTATCCTATCAATTCTCTTATTCACGTCTCAGCTCCTTATTTGCTGCCGACAGAAACATGATTTCAAGGCTTCAGTTTCTTTTTCCCACTTTGATCCCAAAGCTGAGAGTTAATCATGCCTCACTCCTCTTCCGCCATCCTCTTTACTCCGCATTCTGATTTCCCAGCCCATCACTTTCCGATGATTACAAACATCATTCTGAGAATTTTCAGTAGCGTGATGCTTTTCATATTTCGTACTTCATACGGGTTTCCCTTTATTTCCTTGTATAAGTAGTATTACAATAATCACGATCCAAATACATTTTGGTTTTCCTGGCCATGAGATTCTTCTGGGGAACGCATGTCAGTCAGAGAAAGGGGGGTGGCGTTCATGATACATAAAGAAGCGAGGACCGGTGTGATGAACCTGTGGATTTCTCACGGCCTCACCAGCCCGGTTCTCTCCGTGGCAGACTTCTCCATCGTGGTTGGGGTGCTCTTCCCCATGGCCATCGTCCTCGTAGTGGTCGCCATAGTGAGCCGACATCAAAGCACCAGAGGAAAGCAGAAGACAGCCCAGAGGTAGGCTTTTCTCTTGCTTTGCATACTTTTTGGCTGCTCATTTACTTTCAATTCAAGGATAGGATCCAAATTCTCGAGTTTAACTTTGGTTTATTTCAAATACTCAGAAATAAGCACAGTTACATCCCCCTTTTACTGGGAAATCCTTTACAGCAAGATGTGTTGTACTTGTTGTGCATCACCGTATTTATTATTGATAGAAGTAACAATAACTCTCATTGTTAAAGACTTTTGCACTCCTAAGAATATAGTATCTAACCTTCATGGCCATTATCCTAGGCTAAGTCCTTTTCCATATATTATCTCATTTAATCCTCACAAGAACTTCATGAGGTAGTAACTATTACTTCCAATTCATAGACGAAAAGGTCCCACAGGCTCAGGCACTTCCCATTTTTACTGATGTGGACACAGAAGCTCAGAAAAGTTAGTAAACCCGTTCCAAGTCTTATGAAGGAAGTGATGGAGTCTTGGTTTGCATCTACATCGGTCAGTCTTTCAAACATGTTTTGACCCTGTCTTTCTAGAATTTTTTTAAAGACTGAGTTACCCACCCATAACAGGCTTTTAATAAATATCAAATGAATAAAATAAATAATTAACTGAAAGACATCATTTAGATAAAAGTTGTATTCAACGCCATCATGATTAGGCATTAGGACTCTGTAAAGAATCGAAAGGAAACTCAGTGGTGGTGATTGTGAATCAAGGAGCAAGGAAACCTGAAGAAGGTCCCAGGGAGCAGATGGAAACCCACTCAATGACCAAGGGTGACACAAGGGCAAAGACAATCGGCCAATATCTCTTGAGTTTCTCTTGCAAGCTGAAGGAACTGCTAAGGCGATTTCTGTGATATTCTTCCACATTACAGGCCACTGTCTCCTCCCGGCGTCAGGCCACACAAACAGAAGAGGGAACCACAGTCAGTGAAGGCCGTTCAACCCCAGGAGGTGAACCATAGCCTGTGCTGTGCTTGCCGTGGGCCCTGGTTTGTGATCTTCCCACTGTCATGTTCTGAGCACCTATCATTTCCTCAGCAGCATTTTACAAATCCAGCCCTCTAGTTAGCAGGTAGTAAGGATCGGGGGCTCTGTAACTACACATTTAGAAATTTCTCCTTTGCCTTTCCTTAAATGCAAAAGAGTCTCCCTAAATTGGAGAGGCTGCTTTGGTGGGGTTCACAAAATGCAAAGAGAGTAAACAGGACAAGGAAGGCAAATGCCAGATGTCTCTCTCTCTCTCTTTGACTCTGGGTTGATTCCTTATTCCTCTTTTCCCAGTAAAGACATGTAATCTGTACGGAATATGTATAACCTTTAATTAAGGTTTTGGTGGAAATTACCAGTCCTTCTACTAGGTCTGGACGCAGCAGAATGCAGCAGCTCTGGGGTAGCCCACCTACTCTCTTGGGGTCATCTCAGTACTGATCGCCCTTGTCTTGGAAGGAGTGCTTATTTGGAAGCTGAACTTGGAAATGGATAGTTTCATTTAACAATTTTTTGGGTTTGTTTTTCGTTTTAGATGAATCAGATGAATCTTCCTGCATCTGATCTGCCAGTAGAGAGCAGTGAGCCTCCAGATTCTTTTGTGAGTTAGCAACTTTGAAACACCACTTCCAGTCTATCCTCAAGGAAATACTGCTGACAGACATTATCCCCAAGGCCCAGTTAGTTCCACAGAAGAAGGTTGGAATCTGTGTGAATGTTCATATAAAATATAGATTTGCCTGCAAAAATTCTTTGACAATCCAAAATGTGAGAATGTGTGCCTCTCCAATTATACTCCTTGATTTACCCCTAAACCTGAATCACCAGGTCTGAAAAGCTGAAAACTCATTACTGGAAATATATCAATCTGCTTCCAAGAGTGCCCTCTCCATCCTTTATCTGCTGGCATTAGGCTTGTTTCTGAATTGTCCGTCTACCCCTAAATGAAAGCAATTGAACTTTGAGTTTAGAGTATTCTCATGAGTAGGGTCATAAGTTCTCCATTTCTGAAAGTGATTTAAGCCTTTCCGTAAGCACCCCTGTTTTCAAGGCCCCACCTTTGAATTTAAATGTTTTACCTTCTTACTAGCTAAATACAAAGCCAGATTTTCCACCACCACCGATTCCTACGTTTGTATCATCTTCCTCTTTCCTTGTAAGTATCAGATGGTTACTGGTGATTTTTAAAATGTCTCTTATGCCCCATGTGACTAGTGTCTCTAAATCTATGAGTTCTTTATCAGGATATGTATTCCCTAGGCTTTCCTGAGATGTCATAGCACAGAGGTATATCTAAGAAAGCAAGACCTATTTACTATCTATAAATTACTATGGGTATTAATTTTTTATTATTAAAAAATAATTCTATGGTTATATAATTGTTAAGAAATAATAGTTCTGCTGTAGGAGGTAAACCATCTCCTTCAAAGGGTGGCTTCTACATGCTCATTTTAGAGGATATAAAATTTTCTTTCAAATTATATTTTACTTTCTTATTTATTATAGATAGAAAGAGCTGAATTAGAGCTTTCTGTAGGAGGGAGGGTATGAAAACAGACCACGTAAAGGCAAACCTGGAATAAAAGGCAGGTGCTCATCATGTAAAAGGAGGAGTTCATCCAGTCAGTTACTGAGCATGTTTCCTCATACTCTCATATCTGGGACTTTGTGGTCAGTAAATAAGAAAAAATTAACATTTAAGGCCATTTTTTAAGACTGTTTACATTTTGGGTGGAAAAGCAAGTCATATACCTACAGACCGCTGAATTCTTCACGTATTATTTGTGCCAAAGTGGGTAATACAAACAAGAAGAATATGGTCAGGGGGAAGCGAAGGGGGTCACAGTCGTTAAAGTGGGAGGAAGATCCACTGACCACATAGTTGGAATTTGAACTAGACCCTGAGATTTGGGTAGAATTTACATGAGTGATGAGGAGGCAAGACATGATTTAAATAAGGAAATAAGTGTAGCTAAGCTGGGAAATGCTTAACACTTCTAATGACCTATCATTATTTGGTCCCTACTACAGCATAAAGACACAAATGCTCTTCCCTCGACTGTTTTTATGGATAAGCCCACGTCTGCCCCAGAGGTAAGAGATGTAAGCCCAACTATTATAATAACGTAGTGGCACCCACGTACGTCTTCCTTGTTATTTTGGTGAATGACCAAGATGAGGCGGATGGAAGGGTCTTAGCTAGAAAGTGATAATCATCCCCAAATTCTTCATTTCCTCAGAAATATTCCTCAGAGAGGGCGGATGGAGGAACTTTACCATAGCATAAGTACCAGGATCTCCCAACTCTTCTTCTGAGCCTGCACCCTAATAAGCAGATGGATATTTGGATCCCAGGGCGATTTTCTCCCCTTTCTCTACCCTCCCACGTTGCTGCTCCTTCCCCACGATTTTTCAGATAACCTCTAAAATACAAACTGTGACTAGAGAGACTTGATTTTAATTTCTTAACAGTTCAAATTGATAGGATATCTACATTTTTTTGAAAAAAAGTTTATCATTGAAGAGTTTTGTCTTTTTTAGGGCTTCAACCCAAATGTCTGAAGCAATGGCTAAGCAAGGATTGATGGGTAAACGACCAGCTTGGAAGATTGGACAATCTGGATGGATGAGAAATACACTTACTTTCTCACTATTATTTGCTCTTGATACCTAAGGAGGATAACATTTTTTGATTCATGTTATACTTTGAAGAAATTAAACATAATTTTCCAGGAGAGACGTACTTTTGAGAATCTATGAACTTAAATTTTCTATTCTCCATACTCATGGGAAGGAAGATGATTCTAAAGAAACAGCTATGAAACTGAAATCCCTAATTAGATGATTTTCCTAGCCATGCCCCCCTTCTTTTTTTTACTGTAATGGTGACAAATGTTTGTTCAAATGTTGTGAACACCTTGATTTTTTTTTTTATTTTCATAGGAATTAATTTACCCTCTAATGAAAACAAAAATAAGAAGTCACAGGAAACGGAGGGATGGGAAAAAATTTTACATTCATTATTAGATGACTAGCACCATCTTGGTTGTTCTAACCATTAACCTGTCAAATTAGAACCCTCAGTTAAGGAGAAAATTATATAAACGTTCTCTGATATACATATCACTTTCCTACATTATTGTCCATGATCCTTGTGCCATTTAGTATTTGAATAAAACTTTTGCTAATTATAATTTTTTTCATAGAAATCTGTATAATTCAGTTACTGGCAAAGTTAAAGTGAATTTCGCTTTCTAAGTAGAGAAAGTTTTAGCTGAATTAATTATAACATAAACCAGAGATTGTTGACTGGTGGCCTGCAGAACATTACTGGACTGCAGATTTATTTTACTTGGCCTGAATGATTTTGGCCACAAAGTATTTTTAAATGTTTTGAATTTATTGCCAATATTTAAAAATTGGGACATCTTGCATAAACATCCAGATTTCCAGCTTTTTTAAAGTAATCAAATGGTTTGTCAACCCTAGAATCACATTGCTCATAGCAACCATCAGCTTAGTTGACTGGTAATGGAGCAAACATTTTTGGTTGCCTACCAAAAAAACCCCCACATTCTTTCTTGCTTTCAGAACCCCAGTTTTGTTCAGCTGTCCATATTTTAGAAAAGACAATCCTAACTCTACCTCACAGATAAATCTCAATCACCCTAAATCAATCAAAATAATCCCATTTCCCTTACCAGTAGTTATTTTGGAGCTAAGTTTATAACAACCCCCAACTCTTTGGGGTTTTTTTTTGCCAAAGAGGTAACAGAGGATATATATTGGGGAATTTCTAGGAAAGATAGATAACCTTGTCCTTTATCAGGATGTTGGCATCTGGATATTCTATCTGGTATTGTTGCAGCCATGCTGTAAATCTGAGGGCAAGACTGATGGACTGAATAAGATAGAGTAGAAAGATAGAAAGAATAAAAATTGTTCTTTTAATGAAATCATTGATATGTGGTAGACTGATAACTGCTGGAGTCCCCTCACATTTTTTTGAGACTTCTTATTGTATGATCAATAAAATTTTCTTACTATTGAAGCTATTTTGAGTTAGGTTTTCTCTTTACTTGCAACAAAAAATGTCATCCTAACAAGTAAAGTAGATGGCTTCATTCTTAGGGCACTGGCATTCCGTGCCATTATTATCAATATGTTTTTTATACCTGCCCCATTTTTAGCACCTAGCCTCTTTAAGTCTTCCTTTCCACCAGGGACTTGCCCACAAGAAGTTCATCAGCCTTTGCAGTGTGAGTTTCTAGATAATTCACTCTACCCTTTAAAGTAAAGCTCAATGCCCAGCAAACCCAAAGTGATATATCAAATCTCTCTCATGGTAGCAGTCTTTCTGTCTATGTGGGAGTTGACTCGAGAACATATTAGGAAGTTTAGCTCTATCTGCAGTGCGGGGTTTTGGAAGACCCTGCCCTAACTCAAAATAAATCCCTATTTCCAGTAAGGCCAATCGTATTTGTAATGGGCCTATGAATCTTTGCTGTGTTTTTGTTTGTTTCTGTGTTTTAATTCCTGTCCCTGTCTCATTCTTTTTAATAATGATGAAATGGAAATATTGAAGCCATGAATTTTCAATTAACTACCTATATCGCCTAAGCTAGGAAAAAAACGTGTTCTCCGGAAGTAGCATCTGAATATTCCTGTAGATTCTGAAATCATGGCACTGGATCCCTGAGGAAGAGGAAACACAGGCCCCTTATGGAGACAGATGTCTTGAGGACAAAGGAAAAACCACTCTCTTACCTCAAGATTTTGTTTCCTACAGTTTCCCATTGAACTGAATTGTAAAGCAAATTTTGATGGCTTAAAGCAGGCTTTGAATTCACAGTCCTCTTTCCAAACTAGATCCGCAATTTACTACCTTTAAGGGAATTCCAGACACATGATATTTTACCACCTCAGATATGCCACCAAAGCCTATTTTTATAATTAGTTACTTCCACCTTCTCTACTTAAGAAAAGATTCGACTACGGTCTTTTGCAGGTGCTGTACAACTGGAATGCCACTGGATTTCTTGGAATACTCCTCAGCACCTCACCAAGTTACTGCTTACCTGAATTTTGGGAATACCTTTAACTTTGTATGAAATACTGAAGTATGCATGAGAAAGAAAGCAAATTTTAGTTGCAATCAGAAATTATGGAAAGGGTAGAGTTACATTATTATTTAAGTTGGTAATAATGACACTTATGTGATAAGGAATTGAAGGTGGCCTCTGGCCAATAGCCAGTGAGGAACTAAGCCCTTCAGTCCAGTGCCCCTTCAGGAACTAATTCTGCCAGCAATAATGAGTTTGGAAGCATTTCCTGTCCCAGTGGACATGGGAGAGGAAACTGTGTGAGAGAAACTGAAGAGGACTCAAGTAAGTTTTGCCCAGTTTCTGCAAACACAGGAACTGTGACATAGTCAATATGTGTTCTTTTAGGCTGCTATGAGTTGGGGAAATTTGTTATGCTGCAATAGACAACTACTACAAGGCAGGTAGATATCAAATGTTTCAAATATTCCAGACAGGTTTAGGCAGAATTAACCACTGTACTTAACAGGACTTCCATCGCTGCAAACCTTTTCCCTGTCTTTCTCTATATGTTCTCTTTCATTTATCTTTCTCTCCTTTTTAGGAGTACCGATTATCTGCTTGAGATCATTAGTATCCAATCTTCTCATGTATCACTTTCTGTCTCACTTTTGCTTGCCTATCTCCTTAATATTTCTGGGGAATTCCCCAAGTTTATCTTCCAAATTTTTGACTATGCTCTATCCTGTCAACCCTCCTTTTTGCTACTTTTGAGGCAATTTATAATTGTTTCTTCTATTTTCTTATTAACATTCTCTTTTTCCTATCTCACATTAGTATTATGAAGACCTGCCAATGAATTGTTTTTGCCTTTTGTTTTCAGAATTTTACTTTTCAGTTTAAAGGAACAAAATAAATTCTGTCTAAACCTTATTAATGTTTCTAAAAGTAACTATTTTTAAAAGTACGTCCTTCTTCAGCCCCTGGAGTGGTCTGCTTCCAGTCTTTCATAGACACAATATTTCATAGGTGTTACATCGCTATTTTTCAGTTGTCTTACCACCTTTTTGTTTTAAAAGTTCTATCTTGGCACATAATATTCTCACATTTTATATATTTGATGATAAAATCCATCTCTTGAGCTCAAGAACTTTGGTACACTAGCATATTGGTGAAATCTACTCTCTTTGCAGATTGTAAACTGTACAATCCTCTCTTATCTGTAGGCACAGTGTTGTACATATCATCTCTAGATCATAGTCATCTTGCATAATTAATAGTTATGCCTGTTGGTTAACAACTTCCCATCTTCCCTTCCCAACGTGTCAACCACAATTCTATACTTTGCTTCAATGAGTTTGGCTATCTTAGATACCTCATATAAATGGAATCAAGTGATGTTTGTCCTTCTATGATTGGCTTATTTCACTTAACATAGTGTTCTCCAGGTTTAACCATGTGGTTGTATGTAACAGGATTTCCTTCCTTTTTTAAGACTGACTGATATTCCATTGTATGTATATACCACATTTTTAAAAATCCATTCATCCAATGGTAGACATTTACCTTGTTTCTATATTTTGAGAATTGTGAATAGGGTAGTAATGAATGTGGGATTGAAGATATCTCTTCAAGATCCTGATTTCAATTCTTTTAGATAGATATCCAGAAGTGGGATTTGAGGATCATGTGATAGTCTTATTTGTAAGTTTTTGAGGGAGCTCCATGCTGTTTTCTGTTGTGGCTGCATCAATTTACATTGCTACCAACAGTACACATGGGTTCCCTTTTCTGCACATTCTTGCTAACTCTCATTATCTCTGTTCTTTATGATAGCCATTCTAACAGGTGTGAGGTGATGTCTCACTGTAACTTTTATTTGCATTTCCCTAATAATTAGTGATGTCAGACACTTTTCATGTGTCTATTGGCCATATGTATGTCTTCTTTGGAAGGATGTCTACTAAGGCTTTTCGCCCATTTTAAAATCTGGGGAAAAAATCTGGTTACCTGGGTTTTAAAAAAATATACAATTACAAAAGACCTACCTTTAAACCGATTTCAAGTTTACAGTTCTGTAGCATTAAGTAAATTAACAACACTGTACAACCATTACCACTACCCGTTTTCAGAACTTGTTAGTTACCCTGAACAGAATCTCTGTACCCATTAAATAACTGCCCATTACTCCTTTTCCCAGCCCCCGATAACCCCTATTCTACCTTCTGTCCATATGAATTTGCCTATTGTATGTACACGCATACCTCATTTTGATAAAGTGTGCTTTGAATGTATGCTTGGCCAATAATGCGTTTTTTACAAATTAACATTCTGTGGCAACTGCTTGAGCAAGTCTGTTGACACCATTTTTTCCAACAACATTTGCTCACTTTGTGTCTCTGTGTCACATTTTGGTGGTTCTCAAAGCATTTCAAACTTTTTCATTATTATTATATTTGTTATGACTATCTATGATTAGACATCTTTGATGTTACTCTTGGGTCAAATGTAAGATTTTATGAACTGTGCAATGTAAGATGGCAAACTTAGTAACTGTTGTGTGTGCTCTGACCCCTCCACTGACCAGCCACCCCCCATCTCTCTTCCTCTCCTCAGGCCTCCCTGTTACCTGAGACACGGCTCTTAATAATCCATTAATAATCCAATAATGGCCCCTCTGTGTTCAAATGCAGGATGAGTCACACTTCTCTCACTTTGAGTCAAAAGTTAGAAATTATTAACTTAGTGAAAGCAGAGATAGGCCAAAAGCTAGGTCTCTTGCACCAAACTTTTAGCCACATTGTGAAGCAAAGGAAAAGTACTTGGAGGAAATTAAAAGTGCTATTCCAGTAAACCCACAAATGATAAGAAAGGGAAACAGCCTTATTATACTGATATGGAGAAAATCTGAGTGGTCTGGATAGAATCAAACCAGCCACCACATTCCCTGAAGCCAAAACCTAATCCAGGGCAAGGCCCAAACTCTCTTCAATTCTATAAAGGTTGAAGGGGAGGAAACTAAACAAGAAAAGTTGGAAGGAGGCAGAGGTTGGTCCATGAGGTAGAAGGAAAGAAGCTGTCTCCATAGAAGAGAAGTGCAGGTGAGGCAGCAGGTGCCGATGTGGAAGTGGCATCAAGTCATCCAGAAAATCTAGCAAAGGTAATTCATGCTACACTGAACAGCAGATTTTCAGTGTAGACGAAACAGCCTTCTATTGGAAGATGAGGTCATCTAGGACTTTCACAGGTAGAGAGAAGTCAATGCCTGGCTTCAAAGTCTCAAAGGACAGGCTGACCCTCTTGTCAGGGGTTAATGCAGCTGGTGATTTTAAGTTGAAGCCAATGCTCATCCCATTCCCCAAATCCAAGGGCTCTTGAGAATTTTGCCAAATCTACTCTATCTATGCTTTCTGAATGGAACAACAGAGCCTGGGTGATATAGTACATATGTCGACAACATGATTTACTGAATATTGTAAGCCCACTTTTGAGAACTACTGCTTAGAAAAAAAAAAGATTACTTTCAAAATATTACTTCTTTCAACAAAGCATCTGGTCATCCTAAAGCTCTGATGGAGGTTTCCAACTCATCTCTGATAGCCATGAATGCTGTTTTCATGAATGTTGTTAATACAACATGCATTCTGCAGTTCCTGGATCAAAAATGTATATAACTTTTCAAGTCTTCTTGTTTAAGAAATACACTTTGTAAGTGTGGGTAAAATTGCAATATTTCCAGAATCTCTCGCCTAGCCTTAGTGCATCTCCATATCAATAGGTGTTCCCAAGGGGTGGAGAGACATAGTCCATCTCCATATCAATAGGTAATTACAAGGACCAGCAGAGCATATCTAGACCAGAGAGGCTGGGTGGGGTCCCTTCTTCTGAAGCTGGGTCACTAGAGACACCAGAGAGCAGGAGTGGATGACTCCTTGTAAGAAATAAATGGGTTTCTCCCACTTTATTTCTCCCTTTGACTGATTTCCATTTCAAAGGTATTTTGCCTGGAGATTTCCCCACACACTTACAGTAAGGTTATATCTACCATAGATAATGATTCCTCTGACGAATGTAGGAAAAGTTCATTGAAAATCTTCTGGAAAGGATTCATCATTCTGGATGCCATTAAGCATATTTGTGATTCATGGGAAGAAGTCAAAAGGCCAACATTGGCAGGAGTTTGGAACAAGTTAATTCCAACCCTCAAGGATGACTTTGAAGAGTTTAAGACTTCAGAGGAAGAAATAACTGCGGATGTGGTGGAAATAGTGAGAGAACTCGAAGTAGAAGTGGGGCCCAAAGATGTGGCTGAATTGCTGCAGTCTCAGGGTGAAATATTAGCGGATGAGGAGTTGCTTCTTACGAATGTGCAAAGAATGTGGTTCCTTGAGATGGAAACTACTCCTGGTGAAGACGCTGTGAAAACTGTTGAAATGACAACAAAGGACTTAGCATATTACACAAACTTAATTGATAAAGCAGCCATAGAGTTTGAGAGGAGGGACTCCAATTTCAAAAGAAGTTCTGCAGTGGATAAAATGCTAATGAACAGCATTGCATGATACAGAGAAATCATTCATCAAAGGAAAAGTCAATTGGTGCAGCAAACTTCATTGTTGTTTTATTTTAAGAAATTGCCACAGCCAACCCCATCTTCAGCCACCAACTCTCTGGTCAGTCAGCAGCCATCAACATTGAGGCAAGACCTTCTACCAGCAAAAGATAACAACTCACTGAAATCTCAGATGATGACTGGCATTTTTTAGCAATAAAGTGCTTTAAGGTATGTGCTTTCTTTTTAAACATATGCTATTGCACACTTAATAGGCTATAGTATAGTGTAAACATAACTTTTGTATGCAATAGGAAACCAAAAAATTCAATTTACTCTCTTTATTGTGGTTGTCTGTAACCAAACCTGAATTATCTCCAAGGCATGACTACCCGTAATATAAGTGGGATTATACAGTCTTTTTTTTCTTTCATGAAGCTGGCTTGTTTCACTTAGCATAATATTTTCAAGGTTCATCCATGTTGCAAAATGCATTAGAATTTAAAGCTGGATAGTCTAATATCATTTAAATATATTTATTTTCTGCTAGAAACAACTGGAGACCATTTCTTATAATCTACATCTTCATTCACATTAAAATTGGTTTTAATTCTTGCTCATTTTCTAACCAAATAATTCCCTTTACAGTTTGTTTTAATCGGTACTTCTTTGATGGTAAACATATTTTTGAGAATTTGACTCACTGTATTCCTAGTATTTTACAATCTTGTTTTAAATCAGAGGAATTTCTATCCTCTTCTTAACAAGAGCCATGTCTAAAGTTTCTTATCCTTACCTAATATACATGTCAGTTCAGTGTTGAAATCCTTGGCATGCAACTCTGGTGGGAATAATAACAAAGAAGTTCAGAAACTTATCCTAAGTGAAAAACAAGGTTATGACAATATGACTATACATAATGGCCTCCTCTTCATGTTCCAGTAAGTTCTGAGAAAGATGTGTCAGCCTCTGAACTGCAAAAATGGTTTCATTTCTTAGAGAAAAGGCCCCCAATTCACAGGCCGAGTGTTATGAGTCAGCATAGCACTTTCCCCTTGTAAATCAATGTGTTCACCAATTTGGCTTTCTAAACACTTCAGCTGCTGTGAAATAGCTCACTGAGATTTGTGTGTCTTTTGGGACATGTTGTAACTATAATTGGAGTGGAATCTACAGGAGGCAATTCTAGGCAGGGCTGAGCAGATCCAAGGGGAAGCTGAAATGTTGGATGGGGAGCCAGGGAAAGTCAAGAGAAAATTCAATGGAAATGCATAGGAGAGAATACAAAAAAAGTAAAAACAAACAAACAAACAAACAGAAAACTCCCCAAAACCATTATGTGAGGAGGCAGACAACATGCAGGTATAAAGGCAGAGACAGTTATGTTGGCTTTGCCAATAAGAAGCTTTTTAAAGACTTCAAAAAATAATTTAAACTCTAGACATTTTAAATTTCCTCATCAGTGAAATAGAATTAACAATTCATGACTTGTCAATTTCCAAAGAGGATTTTCTAAGAAATGTATAAAGGCCGTGTGAAAATACAAAAAGGAAAAAAGACCAGAAGAGAGATGTCCCAGATCTAGAAAGGTAGATGATATGCATTTACCAATTACCCATCCATAAGAGGACTCCATTCTGGTTCTTTTTAGTTGCTTTTTCTGAAATTGATTTCTGTATCTTACCTTTTATACTGTGTGTATTTCTCTTCATTGCCTCTCAGATTAATCTTCAGCTCTTGCTCCATGCCCTCGTTAGCAGCAGGATGCTAGCATCTGTGTAGTCTTTGTCCTGTTTCCTGGAAACCCATACCTTCATATTCATGGCTGACTTCCATCTGGCAGGAGTAGGTCTTCCAAACCACAATGCTGATACAGCTTATTTGATGCAAACTGTATATATATTCTTGCAGTGTGTTTACTCTGTGACTCAGGGTTGAATTAAAATGCCTGTGAACTGCAAAAAAAAGGTCAGAGGTGAATACCTTCTCTGTACAGGGTTCTATTTCACACGTCTTTCAGCAAGAAGTAGGGCAAAGTTACTTATTATTTGCACATACTTCATTGGTGAGCCTCTGTTTTTCTTGGTGTTTTATTCTATCACTGAAGTGCTTTGAGAATTTGTTTCCATAGCCCTATTCAGCTTCCTCCACTTACATTAGGTCTAAATCTCAGCCAGAGCTATGGGTTAAATCAAACACTTACCTAGATCTGAGGCAGCCATGTGCCCTGAACTGATATTTTGAGATCAGTGAGAACTGAATCCACAAAGCTATTAGGACAAAATGAAATCATAGCCAAGTCTGATAATTTAAAACAAAATCAGAATATCATAGAGTAATAATAAAAGTTTACGTTTGTAGGGCGCAATATGATTCATACAAGTTTGTGGATATATGTATATGTGTATGTATATATATACAAGTTGTGTGGATGTGTATGATTTCACTTAATCCTTACAACAATCCTATGTAAATAATCATTTTCCTTATTTTGCAGATGAGAAAACCAAGATAAACATGAGAACAGGTGATTTTTTATCTTCAGGTCACACAACTTGTAAGTGTTGGAATAGAGACTCAAATCCAGCTATTCTGAATGCATGTTTTTATTTTCTTCTATACAATAACACTACCTGCAACAATACTTATTTTGCACAGAAAAGCATATTTCATATTACAGTACTAAGTATGGAAATTCCATTTTCTTTCCAGCTATAACTTCTTTTACACAATGTTACTAATGAAATTTTATCTGGTATTATAGTCAAGGCCCTCAAATATCTATTCTCGATGAAAATCATTTCTGAATTTTCTCCCCGTTTTTGTGACTAGCAATTAGGACAGAGCCTAGGAAATACTCATCAAGTCTTTGTTTAACAACAAAAGTTCCATCAAGATTCTGGATTTATACATTGGGCAACTTACACTTACCAGGTTGTTTTCTTTTGTTGTTAAATCAAACATTTACAAACTTGCCACTTTACTGACAGGAGGGACAGAAATTTTAACCTCTTTCTCTGCTGTCCAGGGACTTACATGCTCCTTTTAGAGACTGACCTAAATAAATATAGAAATAAAATAATCACTAAAATAGAGACAAATTCCTAAACTACGGGCACAAGGGAACAAAGAGGAAATATCTGGGGGAAAGGGAAAGAAAAGTTTCTCAGGGAGAAGCCATTTAAATCTTAAATGACAGGTGGTTTAAAGGGTTTCAGGAGGAAAGGGCACACTAGGGAGGTAATAAATTTCAATAATAGCATTAGGAATAGTGACTCATCGGGGTCACTAAGGTCAGGCTGGACCAAAACATTTCTTAATTTATTTTTAATGAGTCCCTTTATATATTTTTATATACCATACCACCCTTCATTACACATACAAACACAGTTGTGTGTACATAAATGGAGATTTTAAAAAGTATAACAAAAGAAAAGAACAACACTTACGAGAATTAGAAAACAAGAAAGCCAGAAAGTTACAGAAATAATAAGGCCACCGGGCAGATGAGACCAGCGACATGTCAAACATCCAGCCCTCCGTGGTTACTAAGGAGGAGTTCCAAGTCTTACTCTAAACTATCTAAAGACAAATAAAAAGTAAGCAAACAAGAGATGTAAACAGGATTGACAGATTTTTGTTTATAAAGTAAAAACAGCCTATCAAGAAGGATGATAAAACCACATAAACAGAGAAAAACTAACTCACCAAATAAACAAGTCAATGGTCCTTCCTGTTTCTGAGACCTGAAAGTAGTTCCGAGGATGGTGTTGCTCTGGGACAGAACTTGGAAATGCCACCTCTGACTACTTGCTGCGCTCTCAGCCTGCCAGCCCCTGGGTATTCCACAGATGCAGATTCTTGGCTGCTTGTTCTAACCACGGTCTGGTCACACCCAGTAAGCACAAACCTCAGCAGGGAACATTTGTGTCAGCTCACAGTGGGGCCCAACCTTTCCACCCCTAACGCTTATCCCTTGGCGGGGTACCTATTTCTAACTGAGTTGCATACTGTGAATTGAGAAACGAAGTCATCGCTCTTTCTCCACCTAGGATCTCAAATCATCCCTGAACAAATAGGTATTTTCACCCCTTTTAAGAGTACTTAAGGGAACTTCTTAAAATGTACATCCTAGTGTATTTAAATTTGCAACTGAGGGAATTTAATGTCTTAAAACATTATAGCTTTATACTGTGACATTGATTAGATTTTGTGTCACTGCATGACCATTAGTTACATATGTTTCTACTCTCAGTTAATTGAGAACCTGATCTTTTTTTTCTTATAGAACCATTTCTAAGCTCATTGGATTGATATTTTATGGTCAGTATGTAGAATATTACAGTATTTGTTCTCTTACCCCTGTAATGATTTTATTTGTGTTCAATTCTGCTTGGAGAGAAACAAATAGCAATAAAGTTATATATAATTTTCATCTGCTGAAACTCAATATTGAAAGTATTCTTTAAAAAATAATGATTCTATTTTTATTGAGTTATAATTGACATACAATCTTATATTAGTATCAACTGTGTAATGTGACTTGATATTTTTATACATCACAAAATGACCACCTTAATAAGTCTAGTTACCATAAAAAGTTATTTTAATATTATTCACTACACTCCCTATGCTCTACATTACATCCCATGACTTATTTATTTTATAAATGGAAGTTTGTATATCTTTATCCTTTTCACCTATTTTGCCTATCCTCCAACTCCCCTTCCCTATAGCAATCACCTACTTTTTTCCTGTATCCATGTCTGTTTTTGCTCTGTTTCGTTTTTTAGATCCCAATTACAAGTGAAATCATATAGTATTTGTTTTTCTCTGACTTATTTCACTTAGCAAAAAGCCCTCTAGGTCCATCCATGTTGTAACAAATGGCAAGATTTCACTTTTTAATGGCTGAGTAATATTCTATTGTATATATACCGTATCTTCTTTATCCACTCATCTTTTGGATAATTACCCACAGTTGGAATTACTGAAATGTATGATATGTCTATTTTTAACTTTTTGAGGACCTTGCATACTGCTTTCCACAGTGGCTGTACCAGTTTACCTTCCCAACAATGCATGAAAGTTCCTTTTCTCCACATCCTTGCCAACGCTCATTATTTCTTACCTTTTTGGACAGGTGTGAGGTGATACCTTCTGGGTTTGGTTTGCATTTCCCTAATGATTAGTGATGTTGAGCATCTTTTTATGTGTCTGTTGGCCATCTGGATGTCAGCTTTAGAAAAATGTCTATTCAGGTCCTCTGCCCATTTTTTAATTGGGTTGTTTGTTTGATTGTTTGCTATTGAATTGTATGAGTTCTTTATGCATTTTGGATATCAACTCAATATCAGATACATTGTTTACAAGTATCTTCTTCTACACAGTAGGTTGTCTTTTTGTTTTATTGATGGTTTCCTTCACTGCACACAAGCTTTTTAGCTTGATATAGTCCCATTTGTTCATTTTTGCTAATCTTGTCCTTGCCTGAGGAGGTATATTCAAAAAAATATTGCTAAGAATGATGTCAAAGAGTTTTCTGTCTGTTTTCTTCTAAGAGCTTTATCATTTCAGGTCTTCAATTTAAGCCTTTAAATCCATTTTGAGTTTAGGTTTGTACGTGGTGTGAGAAGGTGGTCCAGTTTCATTCTTTTGCACGTATCTGTCCTGTTTCCTCAATGCCGAGTAATAGTGATTCTTGACCAAAAGTGAGCATTGCAATAATCTATATTACTTAGAATAAAAAGGCCCCATTTTATACTAACAGAATCTGAACATAGGGGGAAGGAATTAAGACAAGCAGTTTTTTAATAAGTTCTAGAGATAACCATGAAGTGTACTCTTAGTTAAGAACCAAAGATTTAATGGGACTATCTCAGCCTTCATTTGCCACCTATATCTAATTTCTGTTATTGATCTTGATTATTCATGTAAATTAGCATCAGGAATAGCAAAAATAATTCGAATACAAAATAGTTTTAAATATGTATGTTTTTCTGTACTCTCAATTTCTTATCCAAAGCACTGGAATTAAATTCTAAACATAGGCTGTTTCATTGGTCCTACTAGTAAAACCTCAGAGTTAGAGGAAAATCAAATTTAAATATTAAAAACAAGAGCAACAGATTACATTTTGAAATCAGCTTGTAAATAATCAAGAACAAGCAACAGACTTGACACTATTATTTTTTTTCTCTTGGTGCTTGCTGAACGAAACATTCCTATAAGGATATCAAGCCTGAATAAGAAAATGTAGGCAACTGTGGCAGAACCCTCAGCAGTTTGGGGTAATATCAGCTGCAGTGCACAGTCAAGTTTCATTCATGGACCTATACTGACACATCATTATTACTCAAAATACATAATTTACATCAGGGTTCATGCATTCAGTGGGTTGGACAAATGTATAATGATAGGTATACACCATTATAGCACCATACAGAGTACTTTCACTGCCCTAAAAATCCCCTTTGCTCTGAAGATTCATTCATCTTCCCCCACCGCCAGCCCCAAGCAACCACTAATCTTTTTCCTGTCTCAACAGCTGTCCTTTTTCTGGAATGTCCTCTCATTGGAATCACATAGTATGTAAACTTTTCAGATTGCCTTCTTTCATTTAGTAATAGACACTTAAAGTCCCTCTATGTCTTTTCACCCTCATAGCTCATTTCATTTATGCACCAAATAACACTCCATTTTCTGAATATACCACAGTTTATGTAGCCATCACTACTGAAGGCCATCTTGGTTGCTCCCAAGTTTTGGCAATTCTGAAGAAAGCTGACATAAACATTTATGTTCAGTTTTTTTGGCTAACATGAGATTTCATTCATTTGGATAAATACCAGTATGTGATTGCTTGATGGCTGGATTGTATGATAAAGGTATGTTAGGACACATTTTCTTCCAAAGTGGCAATACCATTTTGCTTTCCCGGCACTGAATGAGAGTTCCTGTTGCTGCACATCCTTGTCAGCTTTTGGTGTTGTCAGGTTCTGGATAGGTATTTACCGCTACCCCATTGTCTTTTTGTTTGCAATTTCTAGTGATTGGGATGCTGAGCATTTTCATGTATTTTTTTGCCAGACATAGCCCTTTGAACTGAACCAGATGCTTTTTATTTTGTTGCAACTAGAGTACTGCCACAATAGAAATTAATATTTGAATCTTCTCATTTCTCCCCCAGTGGGGAATCCTCCACACTGCCCCACCCCACCCTGCGTCAGTTAACTTCAAACACCTTACCTTCAGCAGTTTGTGGGACTCTGGGTGACAACATCTCCCGACTAAAGATGCATGAGCTGTTCGGTTTAGACCTCTACTTTCTTCTTAAAACACCAAATGGAGAAGCTAAGAGGAAGACAGGAAGCTAGGCTGATAAAAATAGCTTTTATACTAAGAAGGAGTTTTGAAGGATCCTCTCAACTGAATGATATAATTCGAAGAAAATCTAATGACAAAAGAAAACATGTGTACCTTGTTTGCATTGCAAAAATAAACCCAACAATTTCAAGCAAATTGCTGATGTGGCACATTGTCCTTTTGTTTAGTCCCAGAAGAACTTGAGAAAACCAGAGGAGTTCCCTGGAGCATGTGGGAGCCAGGGAGGGTTAGTTTGCACACTTCTGGGTGTGGCTTTGGCTCGGACCAGGAGGCAGTGTGGTGAATCTGTGACGGGGTCAAAGAAGAGTAGAAAGTATTATTGCACTTTTCTGGCTACCTGCCGGTTTTCCTTGGCCACGCAGCGCTTTCTGTGTACCTACAGCACAGGACCAGTCCAGGACTGGGGAATAACATTAGGGCAGTAGAGAAACCTTGTGCAGGGTGAAGTCAGGGGAAGTGGGACTATTTCCTGCAATTGCCTTCGCACGCTACCCCCTCTAAACTGACAAGGGAAGTAACATTTAAGGAATTTAATTTCCTAATGCTGCTTCTCTGAAAGCAGAAGGTCTGACCTCAGAGCTGTCTGTGGGCAGGCAGATACTAACTGGTTCCTGTGGTATCTGAAGTTTTCTACTCTGTGGGAAATTCATCAACTCTCCACTCCCTGACCTTCTCTGTATTCATTGCTGAATCAGGCATGCAGTGGCAAGAGAAAATACATACCATACAGAGAGGATTTTCACTGCCCTAAAAATCCTTTCTGCTCTGCAGCTCAATTCACCCTAACCCCTGGCAACCGCTGATCCTTTTACTTTCTCCAAAATTGCCCCTTTTCCAGAGTGTTGTATAGTTGGAATCATACCATATATAACCTTTTCAGACTGGCTTCTTTCACTTAGTAATATGCATTTAAGGTTTCTCTGTGTCTTTTCATGCTTGATAGCTCATTTTATTTAATCACTGAATAACATTTCACTTTCCGAATATACCATAGTTTACCCATCCACCTACTAAAGGACATCTTGGTTGCTTCCAAGTTTTTGCAGTTATGAATAAAGCGGCTATAAACATCCATGTTCAAGATGTACATGTGGGAGTTGGGGTGGGTTAGTTTGCAGACTTGTGTGTGAAATTGGCTTGGAACAGGAGGCTGTGTGGTAAATCTGTGAGAGGGTAAAAGAGAAGTAGAAGCATTTTGTGCTGCTGACTAGGGAATTAACATCAAAACAGACTTTAAGTAAGAAAAAAACCAAAATAAATACTTAAAAATTAAAATTATAAAAATAAGGAAAAAATGAAATGGCACATAGAAAAATAAGAAAGGAAATTAACAGTCATAATTTGATCATTTGGAAAGAAAAATTAAATTGATAAACCTTTACCAACTTTATCAACATCAAGTAAAAAGAGAAAGCAGCAATTAATGATATCAAGAATAAGAGAGATGACATCACAACAGCTCCTTAGACATTAAAAGAATAATAACAAAGTAGTATGAAAGCTGTATGGTAAAAGAAAATTCAGCAGCTTAGATAAAATTTTTAAAAATTCCTTAACGTTGAAAAATTTCCTGAAAACCAATTTAATCAGGATGATGGAATAGATGTACTTTTCCTTAGTTCTTGCATGAAGTGCAACTAAAAACCCTACATGGAGTATATATAATAAATGTAATAAGGCTCAGAAAAGTGGAGAGAAGACAGAACGTCCAGGACCTTGTGATACAGGGAAGGGTATGTGGTCAGCTTTCTGAGTTCTCTTTTTCACCCAGATTAGATCTGAAGAAGCCAGTAACCCGGAAATGTCAGTGGACATAGATAAGAAAAGCCCCATAAATTCTGTTCACTTTAACCAAAGGGCCAGGAACAAGACAGGCTAGTAACACATAAAATGTTTAAGCACTAAATGCTCCTGTGGGTAGAATTGGAATATTTCCAGAATCTCTCTCCTGGCCTTAGTGCTTCTGCGTATCAATAGGTGTTTCCAAGGGATGAAGAGAAGTAGGCCATCTCCATGTCAATAGGTAATTACAAGGGTCAGCAAGGGCATATCTGGACTGGAGAGGTTGGGTAGGACCTCTTCTTCTGCAGCCGTGTCACGAGAGACATGGGAAAGCAGAAGTGGACTGCTTGTAAGAAATAAATGGGTTTCTCCCACTCTATTTCTCTCTTTGACTGATTTTGGTTTCAAAGGTATTTTGCCCCAGGATTTCCCCCTTCGAATTACAGTTCCACTCTAGCCAAACTACAGAAATATTTGTGGCAGTACTACTACTATATTGGCAAAGGATGAATGGAGAGTCTAGATCACCACAGCTTGCCAGGCTGTCTCAGGCCTCTGGTCCCCATTCTGGGCAGTGTCAGACAAGGCTGAGCAGACGTCTGGGTCTTATGTTCCCACCAGGTAGCAGTGAGCATGACAAACCCCCTACCCTTGGTCTCAGTGGAGATGAGATAGAGAGCCTCGACTAGTACTGCTATCTGGCAATAGTGATGGCTCCCCCTCACTCACTGCTGAGGGATTGCCAGAGGGGTCTCAATGGAGAGTTGAGACTTTCACCACCGCCCAGGCATAAGTAGGTGACCTTCTCTAACTTAGGTGTCGACAAGGGCATGTGGGGAGCAGTGAGAGATTCTCCTACCCTCCAGAGATTGAAGTGTCAATGGAGACCTACCAGGGAGCCAGAAATCCCAGCAGTCATAAGAAACACTCCAACATTTAGGTGTAAATAGAAACGGAGCTGGGAATTGGATGTCTACCTGCACTAGGAGTTAATAAAATGGTGTCCCCTTTCTCCTGCCAGAGTTGTGTCAGAAGATGCCAGCTAAAGCAGAAAACTTAAGTAATATCTAGAGTTTCAAAACATAATCTACCAAAGCCCAAGTTTTAATAAGAAATCACTTATCATATCAAGAACTAGATGTCTCAAACTAAATGATATAAAAAATATAAATGACAACACAGAGATTATAGCACTCAGAATTTTCTGACAGATTTTAAAGCAGTCATTATAAAGATGCATAAATAAGCAACTATTATTGTGCTTTAAATAAAAAACAAATTCTCAACAATTAAAGAAAATCTCAGTAAATAGACATAAAGAATAAAATGGAAATTTTAGCACTGAAAAATATAACTGAAATAAAAAACTCAAAAATGGTTTTAAGAACATGATAAAAAAGACAGAGGAAAGTGCCCATGCATTGGGAAATAGAACTATAGAAATAACCCAGTCAAAACAATACAGAAAAAATAGACTGAAACTAATGAACAGAACCTTAGACACTGTGAGAGTACAGCAAAGAAATCTAGCATTCATTTTATTTGTCTCAGAAAATGAGAAGGAAGTCAAAGCAGAAAGGTACTTGAAAAAATGATGGATGAAAACTTCTCAAATTTGGCAAAAGGTGCAACCCTACAGATTCAAGAAGCTAAGTGGAACTCAACCAGATTCAGTTCAAATATATCTGCACCAAGATGCACTGTGATCTAACTTGATGAAAACTAAAACACACAGAAAAAATTTGGAAACCGTGAGAAAGAAACAGCACATGGCCACAGGGGAAAAGAAGGTAATTCAAATGGTGCAGATTCTTGTCAGAAACAAATGCAAGTACTAAAATAAAAGAATCTTCCATACTCTTAACATCCCATGGAAAAGTATCATTAAGTAATCTGGGAAAGTATCATTAAGTTGGGGGAATCCAAACATTCACGGATGAAGGAAAACTATAAAAATATTTCACCATCAGACCTATAAAAGAATGATTAAAGAAAATTCTCTAACCAAAAAGGAAACGATCAAAGAAAGAACGGTGAGCCATCAGGAAGAAAGAGAAAACTAAAATAAGAGTAAGCTTGTTATATGGAGAAATATGTGTTTACTATTAGAATACTCAACAGAATCAGCATGTCAATTTTATCATTTCAATGTAGTTCCAATAAAAATTTCTCTGAACTTTTTCATGGAAATTGACAAGTTGACTCCAAAATTGATATGGAAATGTAAAGAAACTGGAAGAGCTGAAACAAACTTCAAGAAGAAGAAAGTTGGAGTATTCACATGACTTGATTTCAAGGATTTTGTTTTTGTTTTTGTTTGAATTGAATGACAGTTGTCGCCCCAGTGAAGTTTGGGTGAGGAAACAAGCAAATAGACCCACACATGTAGGGTTAGTTGATTTCTAACAAAGTCACCAAGATAATTCAATGAGTTAGGTGTAGTCTGTATATAAAATGCTGCTGAAAGAGCTACATAAATGTATTGAAAAACAGAGCAAGAAATACTGAGAAATGTTAAAATAAGGTACTTTCACAGTAGTGCTAAGTAACTAGCAATAAATCTGAAACATTTAAAAAACTTTTACAGGGAAAATATGAAATTTTTTTAGATATAATAAAATAACTACTAGACAAATGGAGAGAGTATCATGATCTTAGATAAGAAAACAATTTTAAATGTACCAAATATCCAAAAATTGACCTACAGTTTCAGTAAAATTTCAATAACATTTCCAGAAGCTTTCTGTTTTTGTTCTTAATTTCCAAATGATTCTAAAATGTATATGGAAAGATGTGGCTGAGTAAGGGGATGCAAAAATTTTTACACTGTTCTAACCAAGACGTGGGCCTGCTTCCCTACCCCTGGTTTTTGATGGCTTGATCGATAGAGGATGGCTTAAGTGACACTCAACCATTTGGAGGCCTTTAAGAAAACCCTTTGGTCCCAAGTGTTCTGAGCCACCATGATAGAAATCTGATTATTCTGTGTCCTGTGCTATGAAGAAGGCAAAACTAACTTCATAGAGAGAGATTGATTCTTTATGGCTATTTCGTAACCAGCTGAGTCAGTTCAGCTGAAACCCTACACATCATGACATAGAGACAAGCTGCACCCTCTAAATTCCTGACCCTCAGAATCATGAGTTATAATAATAATCATCATCCTGATGAATTGTTATTTTAAACCACTAGGATGTTAGGCTAGTTTGTTATACCGCAACAGATAAGTAGAACCCTATGTAGAGTCAGTAAGTCTCTTGAACAAAGAAAAGGAGAGGTAATGATGAACACAGAATTCAAGACGATGCTGCATTTTTGTTGAGAAAGAAGGCCAGTGTGTCTATGAGATGGGCACTGGTGAGTTGCAGGTTACTGTCAAAGGGTGTAGCCTTTGTATTGAGTGGTGGTTTCTCAGGTACTCACAAATTATTGAAAATGAATAATTGATAAACTAAATCTTAATCTTAATTTATTTAAAAGTATTCTCTGTGTGGACTTATAAGATGGTATGGTAAACCAAGTATTGTAATTAATCTAATTCTTGTAACATGAATTCAATAGTGTTTTCCCTCATGCATTGTTCCACTTAATGTTTAATGTAATTGTCTTCACAATTCTACTATTAAATCTCACATCCCAAAAACTTTACTCAAAGCCTGGAATGTAAACATTCTAAATATTTGGTGAATCAATAGGCAACCCTTAATGAATGTTCTCTCCCTTTTACTGAAATATCTAGAGACCATTATTCACCTGAAAACAAATTTACCCTTCATATTCAATCCCTCAGCCATACATCATAATTGAAATTTCAGTCTCCATGCAGTGACTTTGTTACCTTGCACCCATTTTAAGAGTATTTCTCGCATACTCCACATATTTCCCACATAAGTGAGACAACTGCTAGTTCACCAAAGGTGGTTTGAAAATTATTGCTTTTCCACTGCTATTTCCTTTGAGTTTCATATTGCTCAGCTGTCACCTTCTGTTCTTACCCAACTTTGATATCTAATGATTTAGTACCTAACAAATGCACATTAAAGTTATGTGACATAGCTCTTCCCCAAGTCCATATCCCTTTCCTTTAGCTTATACAGCTTGACTACTGTCCTGGCCTCTCTTCCACTTAAATGTGATCACATGACTGAATTCTGACCAACAGAGTTCCAAGGATGTAATGTCATCATTTCTAAGCTTAGCCCCTAGATGTTCCCTTCTTTCTCTTTCTCCATCTTCCTTTGGAAGTTGACTTCCTTGGTAACATTGCAAGTGAGCTGTTGAAAATGCCAGGGCCTCCATTATCCTGTGTCTCTGAAAGACTGTGTGTGGAGCAGAGCCCCTTGCTACTGACTGGTTTTTACATAAACTTTATTCTGTGACTAGCCACTGAGATTTGGGACTTATAGCTTCCTACCCTTAGAATTACCTTTAATAATGCACCATGTTACTTCTCTATGTTGATACATTCTGCTGTAATTCTAGAACTTTTAGGATTTAGAGTATGCTAGCATAATAATTCTTGGATACCTTACCACAAGCCAAGTGTGACTCGAGTGGTTAGAAGCCTTACTATCATTTAAGAAAACTTAGGTATCCATCCCATTCTCTAATGTGAACCTATTGTACGTCTAATTCTTTCTGTGATTTATAACCTCATTTATTTCATCAGTACCAACTAAATAATATTTTTAACTCTCCTTAGTTAGTTTTCCTTCCATTATTACCAATAATTATTCTAAGTCCTCTCTTCTTATCCCAAACCTCTCACCCAAACCACTAATTCCTATCCTCATATTCTTAGAATAGGTTTCTTCCTTCAACAATCAAAACCATCATGGTTTCTCCCATAACAAAATATAAAATTTGAAATCATTAGTTCTCATATCAAGGACCTCTTCTACTTAGGGACATATATTACAGACCCTCTGTGTAATTTGAAAGAAGTTGTTTAACCTCAAGTCATCTATAAAATGGAAATTGTAATCTTTGACATGACTACTTAGATCTTTTATGATGATCAGATAAGATAATGTATATAAAAATCTTTACATTTTAACAGATTACTGTAACTTTCATCCATCTTGCTGTTCTATTTTCATTTTTATTTAGTTGGACAATATTTAAACATTTACCCCCAATCATCAAATATAATTTATTATGCAATGTTCTAGAATGTCAAGTTATTAGTTTTATGGGAACAAATTCTCTGTGGTCCGGATATTGGCCATTATCTCTTAGTTTTATGATCATAATTAAGTCCTATGTTTAGTTAATCCTTGGATGTTGTATTTATAAGGTCCATATATATGTCATTCCTCTTTTCCTCCAGATGCATCAAGTAAACAAACTGCACCATTTCCATAATTTTCATTTGCATGCTAATATTCAACTAGCTAATAGATAGCATCTGTGTCCCAGGCAGATAGTACAGTTTACAAACTTCTTTCATGGTGTGTATGTTCAATGAACATTTTTGAACAGCTGTTATTCAAGGTGCTGTGCTCCTGAAGGGTACACCAAGAGATACACCTCCTGCCTTTAAGGGGTATAACCAAACTGCTGCTCCCATCAACTGTCCACATTAGGGGATGTCACCTATAAGATTTATATAATCATTCAAGCTGCAACCTAGAACTCATTCTAGATTCCTGTCTCCCCCCACTGCCATATTCATTCAATTAGCAAGTCTGACAATTTTACAAGCTAAATATTTCTCAGATTTTCTTTATTTAAGATCTCCAGCATATGTCTACACATAACTTGACCCCTGCATAGCTCACAAAATGTATGTCATATACCTATTAATTTTAATTTTATATTCAAGTCATGGAGAACATGTTATAGTTTTACAAACATATTATGATTTTCTATATACTTGTGGTTCTGCTCATATGATTTTCTCTCCCCAGAATGCCCATTCCCCTATTTCTTTTCTAGCTTATATTATCTGACTCTCTCCACTCCCCACAAACTATGTGCTTCTGATATCTACCTGAATACAATGCCCAAATCTCAATTGTAATGTTTTCCCTTTGTATATACTGTATCTGTTTGTACTTTCATCTTAATTATTATACTTTATTGTGGGAATACCTCAGTATAGTAGGATAGAATCAATATTGCCCAGAAATGTAGTATTAGTTTAGTATGAATTCAAATGTAACATATTCTCAATAAATATTTAACTCACTTTGCAATACTAGTTGTATAATTTATAAACAAAGCTAACTTCCATTTAATAGACTGAAAGTAGAATTTTCAATAGCAACAAGAGTTACCAAAAGATAATAAAACATATCCCAAATGCCGAGAGACATTAATTGTCATCCTAAAATTGTATTCCCAGCTAAACTATCATTAAAGACTAGGGTGAAATAAATACACTTTCAGAAACTTTTAAGAAACCATGGAAGTGCTTACTCCAAGAAAACTTTAATGAAGGATTTATTAGATAATATGTTTCACAAAGGAATTTTTTAAAAACAGAATTAATGCTAAAGGGAACTGTAAGCAAAGAAGGTGGTATATATATGAGTAATTTCAAACAGCATCATCTTCATAAAACACAAAACTAATTATAATGACTAATTTGGGAATGAAAATCATGGTAGAACTAAAATACTTGAAAAATATGTAAGGTGGCCATGGGTGGGGTGCTGATGGGTTAAACCATTCCAGGGGCTTGAATTATTTTATGGTAGAGGTGCTAATTCAGATTGTACTTTGTTAAATTTCAATGGTAACAACTACATTGTGGAGTATTGATCTTCTAGACGAGCAAAAGAAATACAAGGACAACTTAAATAACTCAGAAGAATGTGAAAGAACAGAAAGAAGCATACACATAAAGAAGTAACTATACAACTCACTATCAGATGTTAGCAAACTCCCAAGGTATCAATAAAAGGTAAGCTCAGCTCTTATACAGCATAGATTTTTAGACTGGGAATATTCTATAAATGGAAATGTAATTTGGTGCTAACTCTCCAAGAAATACCATGTTAATGTACCATGAACTCAGTTGATTTACTTAACTAAAAAATACCATTTCTTGTAATTTATTCAAAAGAAGTAATCAGAAATCCAATCAAAGAAATATACACTTTGGGAGAGATACATAACCTATACACCTGGAAATATCCTAAAGTCATCAAAATAAAGCCTTAGTATTCAATAGCATGAAAATGCTTGTGTTATAATGCAGTGCAAAAAATAACAGGTTCCCAAAACTCTTTATGCAATAAGAACTAAAGTTTTAAAAATCGAATTTTCTTTGACTTTTTTTTCTTTACCAGTGCATAGGAAGAAATGAAAATAAATTGTCAAAATGTTAACAGAACTCCTTTCTTGATGTTGGATTATTGGGTGGTTAACTGTTTTCTTCAATATACTTCTTTTGATATTTATGACCATGAAAATGTTTTATTTTTTTAATCAGAAAAGTATTGTTATTTTCCTGCAGTAGAACTCATAGTGCACCTCTAATGTACTTCATATGCAGTACAATTTGGTTGAGGCTAACACTGTCAAAATGATTTACATTCACACATTTCTTTACAGTTTTATGGGTGTGTGTGTGTGCATGCATATGTGTGTGGTACCATGTAAAAATTTTAGAACAAGCTTGAGATAGATACTGATATCATCACCTTCTTTTCACAGATAAAGAGACTGAGGGTTAGAGGGATTAAAATATGCTAGTTTGTAAGACTTTATAGATTGTGTGTTCTCTGTGCCAATTTCTCAAAATACATAAAGACTACTGATGCATTTTCTAAATTAGTAGACCAATTTCTACAAAGTGACTGAACATTATAAATAGTGATGGTTGAGTTTGGTGAGCATGTAAATATGTACACAAGCATCTCAGTCCCAGTTGGTGCTGTCCCAGCACTACAGGACCACCAGGGCCAAACAGCTGTCCAGATGTGATTCCTTAACAAGCTATAACCACAGATGTAAACACCTCTCATAAATGAGGAACATTCTCACGATCTTGACAGTGCAATGTATTGGCAATTTCTCAACACCATTAGGAAACACTCCCCAATCTCACAAAGAACATTTGAGGTTTTAATTTTTTTCCCCTTATTTTAAAGAGAAGTCAGGGGAGATAAAAGTGGGTGGCAGGGGAGACCACATCTCCACGGCGTGTGAGACTCCTCGGCTACGTGCTGTAGCCAGCATGCCTTTGTTCCCGCTTTCCATCCTATGTCTCATCGCCCAAACTCCAGGTAAGCACTGATATATTGACAGTTTATACAAAAGTCTAATTATTTAGTGCACTTTTAAAGTGCTTTTGAGAGAAGGACATGCTCTCATGACCCAAAGAGCACTACTATTTGAATTTTGGTATATTTACTCAATTTATACTAACTTTGTCCTCCTAGTCAAGGGTTTGTGGTTGGCATAATAATGTAGTTAGGATATCTCTGAAATTGTATCTCTCACTCAATAATCTTACTAGTTCTATTATTTTATTTTTTAAAACACAGCCTCAGATGATGCCAAAGAATTAACTTCCAGACCAGAAATCAAGAATTTCCTAGCCATCTCCAATGTTGTCTTGAATAATAACATTGATATTTTCCACCCCTTAAGGAGGCAATCATTCATCTAAACACGCAATTTGTCCAAAGGTCATGCTAGAGTGGATGACATGGAAGACTCTTAAGTAAAATTAGAGTTAAATTAGGCAAAATTGCATTACTAAACAAAATTAAAAATGAACTGGCTAACTGAACATTTAGCGGTAGAGTCAGAACTAGAAATTATTAGAATTCACTCTAATTTCAACTCAACAATTCTTTCCACTAATGAGATTCATATTCATTTTGATAGAACTTTCAGTAATACATTTACGAATTTTGTGTTTCCATACGTAATGAATCCTTCTTAGTACAGCGTCACAGCACAACATTGGGGGATGACGAGAAGACAATTTTTACTAAACTGTTTCTCTCCAGCTTCTCCACCTCAGCCAGGTGTAGAATCACTTGGTGTCCCTAAGGTCACTCTGTCACACTGAGTGGGAAACTGGCTGTAAGAACAGACACTTAACTGTGAAAATGAGGGCATTTAAAATAAGACTGATCATATATGGATGATTAAGCAATTAAAACAAAAAATAGGTTTCTAAGCCTGATGCTAAATAATTTGATATATGTTTTGCTATTGAATTTTTAAGCCAACCTCCATTTTAGGTAAGCAAACAGATAGAAAGGGTAAGTGACACAAGGTCATTTAACTAGGACATAAGACCACATCTTTTGACTCTTGTATCAATTCTTTTCCTGCTAAATGCAAGCCAAATAGAAATAGTCTCTGTAATGTAATTCCAAGTGTATCAAGAATATTTGATAGTCAAGAATCTATGGGTAATCTTCCTACTTGTCAGATGCCTTAAAATTGCTCTGGCAGAGGATAACAAAAACTTTATTTCTTAAGAAATCTGAAGTCTTAAGGCAGATGCTTATGTGTTAAAGAACAGAATGGTTTATTGTTACACTGAGAAATAAAATAACTTTTAGGAGTCTGTATATGAAAATTTTGATTTTTAGAGGGGTAGTCCGGGTCACACTACAGATGGAAAAAGACATAAAAAGGAAAAACAGAGATCTCTGAGAACATGGAGATAAAAATTCACAAGGTTGCTGAGGGCCGCAGAGGAAGAAGGGCCTGGATTACTACAGGCAGAATTCGTGGCTGCCGGCATCGCAGCTCTTATCCAAGACTTCTTTGTGGGCAGGGTGGCCCCGAGTTACACATATTAGAGGTCATAGAAAGAATTGTTTCATCTTCATCATGTCCTTCCCAAATGGGGGCACAGAGCAAAAGAAAAATTCTTTGTTATCAAAGCTGAAGCTGAAGGTGTTCTTCATGTAAGTTTACCTTCTCAATAGGAATTGAGTCTTCATTTCAACCAACTAACCAACCAACCCAAACCAAATAAAAACAAAAAGCTTGAAATATTTTATATCAATATTATCTCTCTTTCTCTAGCAACAGCCATAAAACAAACTCCAGAATTAGAGCTCTATGAAGTAGTTCGTCCTAAAAAACTATACATTTTACATAAAAGAGAGACACAGAACAACCAGACGGAGAAGCATGGCAAGGAGGTAAGTGATGTGAATGACTGGGATTTTACAATTATCTGGAGAGAATATTAGGAGTCTTTCTACTAATAGAAGTGATGTCACCATCATCCTCTAATAGTTTAATCTTGAAGCTCATGGGTACAGCTCCCTTTGTTCAGGGGAGAGCATAGCATTTCTTGAAATGCTTTTGCAATTAAGCAGCAAGAAGGGAGTTAACTGCCCCACCTGATCAGAAAGAAACTGGTTGCTTGGACAATTTTCCAAGTTTAGGGGCAGCGGGGGGAAGATACACAGGAAGGGCGGCCATTACTAGGAGGAGACATTCCTTGCCAACTCCCCAAACCCATGTCTTCTCCCCACCCTCACCTCCTGTCCCCCAGTGACATGCCTTTTCCTTGGGTGTTGTGTCTAGAAAGTTCTGTCTTAATTCAACATCATCTCATTAATGAACGAGCTTTTAAAAATGTATAAGGATATTAACTTTTTGATTATTATTCCAAATATTTTCCCCATTTTATAATTTTGTTTTATTTTATCCTTTGTAGGTTTTTGGCTGGTTTTCTTCAGTGTATTTGGTTTAGTTTTAAAGTAATAAAAGTATATGCCTTATTATATCCCATTAGTGATCCATTAGAACACACAGAATAGTATACTGATCATTAGGGCAGATGATAATTTCCTGTCTCACAGATAAGAGTCAGCTTAACCTGTTTAAATTATTATTGTGCTGTTGCACATTTTGGAAATCCATCTTAATATACAATTTGTTTATTTTATGTATTTCAAAGGCTTAAGAGAACTGCTTTTATTCTATTCACATTTGTAATTATTTTCCTATATATATACTACATATATCATTCTAATTATTTTAGATAGAGTCAGAAATATAAATTGATGTCATTGTATGATTAAATGTTTTAGGAAAGATATGCACCTGAACTTCAGTATCAAATTATATTAAAAGGAGAAGAAATCATCCTTTGCCTACAGAAAAACAGGTATGTTGTACTTCCTAAAATAAAATCGCTAGATTACATTAAGACAATGTAGAAAGGTAAATCTTGAGACTCTCTTTAGTGTGATTTGGGATAGAAGACATGAAGCATACCGAGTTTATATGTTGTTAGCTTGTGCTTATGTTATCCAAGAAGGTTAATGCTTACTTAGGAAATTATATGCAAAGATAAAGCAAAGAGCTATACAAATAAATGACTTTCATCTTTGATGATTCTTGGAATTTACCAAAAATCTTACCTACCCAGAAAAACTCAAACCTTGGATGTGACTTTCCATTATTTTTATAAGACCATATGTCCAAGGCTCATTTTCAGGACCCACAACCTGAGGTAGACCCTGAGGATGGGGGTCCCCCAAGCTCTATGATAGTCAATAAACTCCTCTTTGAATGCAATGGTCCCTTACACACCAAGCATCTTTCAGAGACCCTGTAGAGGCTGCTTTTGGTGCAAAACATCCCCAAACAAACCCATTTGAAGATAGAGACTCTTCAACTGAAAAGTAGCTGAGGGCCTGTCTTTCCTTAGATCTGATAGGTATAGCTAATGCTTTGATTTGCTTCAGCAGCAGTGTTTTAATGTTGGAAAAGATCAGTGGGCCAGAATGGCAGCCCTTTCTCATTGTTGACATTATCGTTCTTTTAGTGCTGAAGATCATGTCAAGAATATTAGTCTTTATTGCCACCATAAGTGTATTATGCAACTTTCTGATCCCTACAGGCATATTGGGCCAGATTACACTGAAACATATTACTCACACAAAGGAGAAGAAATCACTACAAGCCCGCAGAATATGGTAGGTTCTGAGTGTCTTCTGAAACTCTTTCTGGGATCTACCCACTTATATTATAAGATTCATAGGTACAAGGACAACCTAAAAAAAATCAAAGAACTTGAAAGCAAGGTGCTCATCTATGACCAGTGAGACAGAGGATGACAAAAAAATCATAGCCAGCTTTTGTAAAGGTAAGTATAGTGAAAGTCTTCCAAGTGTTGTATTTTAGAAGCAACCAAAAGTCTACTTTCCCTTAGACTATGTTATCAATAAGTTAGAAGTATTCTCCCCTGTAAGTACTTGAAATGTCATGTTACTATTTGCTATTTTCTGATGATATATCCATTTTTCCTGAGATCAGCAATGGAATATCAATTATTTAATTAATATAACTTTATATCTGGTTAAACCACCCTGTTATAGATAATGCCAAGTCCCAGATGTCAGACATACAGAACCAAAGCCAAAGGAATAACAGGAAAAGAACACAAAAAGCTTTAATCATGGAGTATTACCAAGCTAAATGAGTTTCTCACAACCAAACACGTACATCTCTCCAAAAAAATCAGACAAACATGCTACCACAAAATGGCTCTTTATTCCCTTCTCACTTCAAAATTCTTATTTCATAGACATCTGAGTTTTTGCTAACATTGACCTCTGGGGAAAGTATCCAATGAATTAATTCATGCTCGAGTGTGAATGGCCTATGGTTTCTTAATGTGGTACCTTTTCTTAGTCGTCTATAAGAAAATTTTTATGATGACAGGATTTTTTCCAAAGGTAAGAAAATCACAGATAGAGTTTCAGACCCTGAGACAAGTCAGTGTATTTTGAAGAAAGGTTTAGTCATTAGTTTCCTGGATCACTCCACATAAGTGGCTTCCTTATTTGCTTCATGGAGCACCAATCATATCAGAATCCCTACTTGCCGAAACATTCTTTGGGTTTCTGATACTGGTAATGGGATTCCACTAACACACCAATTAAAATGATGAGTTGGACCAGTTAATATTAAGGGTTTAGGAGTGGTAGTGTGGCCTCTTGGGAACTCTAGATTCTAGAAAAACAGGGACTTCATTTTACTGACATGTGATGCACAGCATCTTAGGGACTCAGCATAGGGAAGCCAAATTCTCACAAACTGACCAGCAAATCTGAGCAATCTCCAGGAGTACTGGACTTCAGAGGGGCTGGCTATTCCTTAGATGCAGTGTCCACTTACACTATGAACCCACTTAGGTTCAAACTCCCTGGACTTTTATTTGTGCGAATTAGTGCCAGAAAGGTAGCTCAGCCATCAAATTTGGAGTTTTCAAGGTCAGTGGTGGAGTAGTTCATAGAATCTATGAGGTTCTCACTGTTTTTGCTTCTGGGAATTGCTGGCTACAACCACTACTTGAAGAACTTTCTTACATATTCAAGATAACGGCGTTTACCACAACTAAGATTCACTTATTCTTGTCATTTAAAAAATCATTTCTTTTTTCCACCTCAGGAACACTGCTACTATAAAGGACACATCCTAAAGGAAAAGGATTCTGTAGCCAGCATTAGTACCTGCAAGGGGTTGAGGTGAGAGCCACTCACAAAAGTATTGAACAACAAGGACCAATTTGTTACACTGAACTTGAGTCTTCCTGGATATTATGTCTTCTTACTACCTTGGTAAAATTGTATCCATCAATAAAATGCTGAATATATGTGGTTAAAGTGGAGGTAAAGTACCACTCTTGTGATCGTTCCGTATTCTGCCTCTCTTAGCAGTTTGCTTTACCAATGTTCACACAAAATACTACATTCTGTACCCTGATGACATGTAGACCCATTTCCATGTTTATCTGTTCAACCCCCTGAAATGATTTTGTTTTGCTTTCTTAGATTCTACTCTGAAATTGTCATGTCATGCCAAATATAATATCTTAAGTGTTAATATTTAATTCTTGCCCATCAGGGAATATTTGGGGAGTGAGAAAAATGCACTCAGTGAAAATAACCACCACAAAATTGTACCTCTGAGTGATCGTTGTTCTTAACACTTTGTCATGTTTGTAGGCTTTTATGAATATCAACAAATATATTTTTTACAGGGTTGAAATATGAACAAAAATACACATAACATTCTTCTAATATCGTTCATACCACTTGACATCAGAAGCCTTTTCCCAATATCATAAAATATTTTCATCAGTGTGCTTTTTAATGGCAATGTTGACTTCAAAATATTCGATCATATGCATTCATTTTATATTTTTGAACTAACTTTCTTACTAAGAAGAGGCATTCCTCAAGCTACTACTAGTTTCAACCTGTCCCTCTGAGTGACCTGCTCCTCTTTCTTTCTGTCTTCTGGGGTTCTTGGTATCTGTAAACACTCACTCGATTCTCCATTATATTTGTAGGGTCTGTTAAGAATATTGCTAAGTGTATAAATAAGCTGGACACATTTATTGAGCTCATAATGTAAATTCCAAATTCTTTGGGAAAGCTTTATCTTAGTATTTCTTGTCCAGAATTCTCTACATAAACATCAGCCCAATTTTAGTATTGAAAAATACTGATTATAACCTAAATTAGCAAAATAGAAAGGCCTATAAAGGAAAAGTAAGTGTGAGCCTGGGATTGAGAGAGAGGTAGGCTCCATTCAGTGTAGGGACTGTGGAGGAGGATTCTGAAATACAAGCCTGCATCTTGCAGGGGATACTTCACTCATCATGGTCAGAGATATATGATAAAGCCTCTGAAAAGTACAGACCAAGAAGATCATGCCGTCCTCACCCATAACCAGGAGGAGCTAGAAACAGCTGATCGCACTTGTGGTGTAAGAAATGTTGGCAGGAAACAAGGACTTCTTCGAACCTCCAGGTCACTCAATAACCCAGAGGTAAGTGTGGCTTTCCTACGTCATCCCATTGTCTCATCAATGGTACATGATCTACTGGTGTGCTCAGCAAGGGTGGTATAGGTAAGGTCTGCAGTTAATTTATTTACTCTTCACTTTAATTTCCCTCTGAAGAAAAATGTACATTTCCTTGTAAGCATTTCAATCTTTCAAGATAAAGATAATTATTAACAATGTTCTTTTATTTTTTGTCAAGCACGAACGCTTTCTTCGGGCTAAGAAGTACATTGATCTCTTTTTGGTGCTGGATAACGCCTTTGTGAGTATGAAATACGTGTGCTCCTTGGATAGCTGAGTCAACTTTTTTAAGTTTTCTTATCAAGCAAAGACAAGCAGTAAACTATTCTAGCTGAGTATGTGGAGCCTGCCCACGTGAATGGTCTGGTCTGTTCTACCTGCCTTGCTGAAATAGTTTTCACTCACCCATTTCTCCTTTAATATCCATCTGCTGCCAAAATATTCAGATCTTAGAAACAGATTAATACAAGATAGCTCCAGAAAATCAATCATAATAATGAGAAACAAAAAAGAATGGGTTATCAAAATATCTTTAAAAATGATCACTATTATATAAATATAAAGTAGATACAAAACCATATATACTTTACAAATTATGTTTATATATATAAAAAACTAGAATCTGTGTTTTAAATGTTGCTTTAAAATCAGATTTCAACAATATTGATTTAAAGACATTGAAAATATTAACTTGATGTATTTGACTGATAAGGGAAGAGCATTAAAATGTGACATGAATGCCTAATTTTTCTCTCTCCAAAATATTCTTTCATTTAAAAATATATTTGTTGAAATGGAGTCTTAGATATAAAATGACTAGACATTTATGTACACTGAAATGTATAATTTTTCTTAAAATGTGAAATCCTGTTCCCCATCATCTTTTTCACTTTAATTCTTTAATTTGTAATTTCAATTATACTTTGCTTACATATTTTACAGTATAACATCTCTAAGGGAAATCTAACTTTGATAAGAAGCTTTTTGTTTGATGTGGTGAACCTACTCAATGTGGTAAGATGTTTGTCTGGAAAAACGTGTTTCCACATGGGAGGCTGGGGTTTCCCTATGGTTTTACCAAGGGGTTGGAAGGGTCACGATGACTTATTGTCAGTAGTTTTGGGAAATTCAGCAGACAAGATTCAGCATTAAGGTAAAATCACTTATACTGTAGCAAAGACAATGTCTAGAATTTGTATTTTCAAAATGGTTTACTTTTATCCATTACTTGTCATCAGCAAAAGATCTAAACACTAAAGAAATCAAATGTTTTCATGGAGAAAAATGCTCTTCCCACAGATTTATAACACCATAGATATTCAAGTGGCCTTGGTAGGTATGGAAATCTGGTCTGACGGTGATAAGATAGCGGTGGTACCCCAAACAGGTGTTACCTTTAACAACTTTCTGAGTTGGCATCGTTCTAACCTGCGGAAAATGAGGAGCCATGATCATGCTCAGCTACTCAGGTGAGCACACAGCGGCTAGGGGCAGGGGTATGTAGGTTCTTGGCAGAAATTTCTGTTCAATTATATCTCTTTGATCAGTTGTCAGAGAGCCTGAAGTTCTACCATTAGCAGGTCCCCTGTAAGATTATTGGAGACCCACATCAGATTACTAAACTAGAACCTGGGATGTGAGATAACTGTCTGTGGATATTCTAATGCTGTGGAATAACAGTCGTTTTTCTGGGCCTAGTGGATATGAAAAGGGTAGGACAAAGAGGAAGATTTTAAATATGATTGGCAAAAGCTAATGGTTCCAAAGACTCAGATTGTGAAAATGAATCTATAACTTTCCACACAGTGGAATCGGCTTCAACAACCGACATGTAGGAATGGCGGCCTCAAACTCCTTGTGTTCTCCATCGTCAGTTGCTGTTATTGAGGTTTGTAAACTTACAGGAAGGCTCCTTGTGGTTCTATATCCTTTGGAAGACAAGCAAAATGCCTTATACAGACTTAACACAATGAACATTTGCGGAGGCAGTAAACAGAGATAGAAATGAGCCTGCTGGTCATCTACTGGCCATACAATGAAGATCACTTGGATTATGAAACGGAATGTCTCCTCACTTGGCCCTCTTGGAAGGCTTCGCTCTTTAACTGGTGTTAAGGAATAAGAGCAGGAATACTGGGACAGAAAGGGAATGCATGTGTCCTCTGACCTGAGTCAATTTCAGATTAATCATCCCCAGTATCAATGGCCCAACAGGTCAGACAGGTGCATGTCGGTGTCATACAGCCAAGCACTACCAATATATTAGGCATCAGGGAATAGTTTGTGGAAGCCGTGAGTACATACCTATTGGTACGTCCTGTGAAGGATGTAATTACCTTAATTTAACCATGGTTTACTAAGAACTTACTGGTTGAGCAAATAGTTACTAAGCACTGACTCAATTTCAAATGTCTATTAACACTTTACAATAACAAGTAACAGGGAAAGAAACTTAGAGACTCATTATTTTTCATCTGCCAAACTATTTTACCACATACTGAACACTGGAAACAATCAGGAAATAACTAAATAAAATAAGAAGTACTATTTGTTTCTTTTTTCTAGGCTAATAAAAAAAATAACGTGGCTCTTGTAGGAGTGATGTCCCATGAGCTGGGTCATGTCCTTGGCATGCCTGATGTGCCATATTACACCAAATGTCCCTCCGGGAGCTGTGTGATGAATCAGTATCTGAGGTGAGAACTGTCACCCCCAAGAAAAAAACTTATTTCTTAAATCTTAAAGAATTCAGATGCAGTCTATACCACTGGACGGGCAGTTTTCACCAAAGGCTGTGTACCCCATTAATTCACTCTCTACCCTATTGGTGTATAGTTTTTACCAGTAATCAGGGCTCATTATTTAAGATTTCCAGATATGCCAGACTAATGCTTCTAAGTAGAGTGACCACGTTATTTTAAGTAAAAATAATTTTAACTTTAAATAATATATTTTTAAATATGTATCTAATTAAGATGGCAAAAATATCCTTATATATCCCCAACACCAATCAATCAATCATTTCTACGTTATTATTAATTATCTTCGAATGCCACCTACTTTGCAAGGACTTGGGACAGAAAAGTGAACTAAACGCGCGTTGCTCAGGATGTGCTCCTGAAAAGGAAGAGAAATACGTCCGTAGAACCTCTAAGTCTGTGATGATTTCTTTCACTAGTTCATGGTTATTATTACTTATCTCTCAGCCCTCACTGGTGAGATGAGTGTGTGATAAAGGACGGTGAAGCTCATACCTGCTGCCGTATGGGACAGTACTGAATCCACACGGGAATTTAAATTATCTCAGCTATAGAGCTGAGTGTCTAGGAAGACAATTTTCCAAATAGCATAAAATGCATGTTCCATTGCTCTCCACATATAAAACAGTGTAGTCTTTAACAAGATATTCCTAATTTTGGAATTTCCACCAAACCAGGCAATATAGTTAGACAAGTCAGATGCTCATGATCATTTGTCATTATATGTCATGGTATTTCTGGTTTTCTTTCTGGTTACAGTTCAAGATTTCCAAAGGATTTCAGTGTATCTTGCCGCTTACATTTTGAAAAATATATTTTATCTCAAAAACCAAAGTGCCTACTGCAAGCACCGATTCCTAAAAATATAATAACAAAACCAGTGTGTGGGAACCAACTTCTGGAAGTAGGAGAAGACTGTGATTGCGGCTCCCCTAAGGTATAAAAATATCTATAGTTTAAAACATTTATTAGAGAGTTATTGTGGCATAAGAATTGCTGTTTTCTTTTTCCTTTTTTAAAAAGAGGTTCTTGCGTAAGTTCTTTCCAAAGACAAACTTGGCATTGTAGTAAAAAGTAGACTTGCACTTCTATTGTTAGGACTGATCTTAATCATTATTTGAAAGGCATTTCAGAAACGAGGATATGCTTATGACATGATTATATAAGGTTCAATGTAAGGGAGTAAACCATTAACTAACGTAGCACTTATGATCNCTGTTGCACATTTTGGAAATCCATCTTAATATACAATTTCTGTTTATTTTATGTATTTCAAAGGCTTAAGAGAACTGCTTTTATTCTATTCACATTTGTAATTATTTTCCTATATATATACTACATATATCATTCTAATTATTTTAGATAGAGTCAGAAATATAAATTGATGTCATTGTATGATTAAATGTTTTAGGAAAGATATGCACCTGAACTTCAGTATCAAATTATATTAAAAGGAGAAGAAATCATCCTTTGCCTACAGAAAAACAGGTATGTTGTACTTCCTAAAATAAAATCGCTAGATTACATTAAGACAATGTAGAAAGGTAAATCTTGAGACTCTCTTTAGTGTGATTTGGGATAGAAGACATGAAGCATACCGAGTTTATATGTTGTTAGCTTGTGCTTATGTTATCCAAGAAGGTTAATGCTTACTTAGGAAATTATATGCAAAGATAAAGCAAAGAGCTATACAAATAAATGACTTTCATCTTTGATGATTCTTGGAATTTACCAAAAATCTTACCTACCCAGAAAAACTCAAACCTTGGATGTGACTTTCCATTATTTTTATAAGACCATATGTCCAAGGCTCATTTTCAGGACCCACAACCTGAGGTAGACCCTGAGGATGGGGGTCCCCCAAGCTCTATGATAGTCAATAAACTCCTCTTTGAATGCAATGGTCCCTTACACACCAAGCATCTTTCAGAGACCCTGTAGAGGCTGCTTTTGGTGCAAAACATCCCCAAACAAACCCATTTGAAGATAGAGACTCTTCAACTGAAAAGTAGCTGAGGGCCTGTCTTTCCTTAGATCTGATAGGTATAGCTAATGCTTTGATTTGCTTCAGCAGCAGTGTTTTAATGTTGGAAAAGATCAGTGGGCCAGAATGGCAGCCCTTTCTCATTGTTGACATTATCGTTCTTTTAGTGCTGAAGATCATGTCAAGAATATTAGTCTTTATTGCCACCATAAGTGTATTATGCAACTTTCTGATCCCTACAGGCATATTGGGCCAGATTACACTGAAACATATTACTCACACAAAGGAGAAGAAATCACTACAAGCCCGCAGAATATGGTAGGTTCTGAGTGTCTTCTGAAACTCTTTCTGGGATCTACCCACTTATATTATAAGATTCATAGGTACAAGGACAACCTAAAAAAAATCAAAGAACTTGAAAGCAAGGTGCTCATCTATGACCAGTGAGACAGAGGATGACAAAAAAATCATAGCCAGCTTTTGTAAAGGTAAGTATAGTGAAAGTCTTCCAAGTGTTGTATTTTAGAAGCAACCAAAAGTCTACTTTCCCTTAGACTATGTTATCAATAAGTTAGAAGTATTCTCCCCTGTAAGTACTTGAAATGTCATGTTACTATTTGCTATTTTCTGATGATATATCCATTTTTCCTGAGATCAGCAATGGAATATCAATTATTTAATTAATATAACTTTATATCTGGTTAAACCACCCTGTTATAGATAATGCCAAGTCCCAGATGTCAGACATACAGAACCAAAGCCAAAGGAATAACAGGAAAAGAACACAAAAAGCTTTAATCATGGAGTATTACCAAGCTAAATGAGTTTCTCACAACCAAACACGTACATCTCTCCAAAAAAATCAGACAAACATGCTACCACAAAATGGCTCTTTATTCCCTTCTCACTTCAAAATTCTTATTTCATAGACATCTGAGTTTTTGCTAACATTGACCTCTGGGGAAAGTATCCAATGAATTAATTCATGCTCGAGTGTGAATGGCCTATGGTTTCTTAATGTGGTACCTTTTCTTAGTCGTCTATAAGAAAATTTTTATGATGACAGGATTTTTTCCAAAGGTAAGAAAATCACAGATAGAGTTTCAGACCCTGAGACAAGTCAGTGTATTTTGAAGAAAGGTTTAGTCATTAGTTTCCTGGATCACTCCACATAAGTGGCTTCCTTATTTGCTTCATGGAGCACCAATCATATCAGAATCCCTACTTGCCGAAACATTCTTTGGGTTTCTGATACTGGTAATGGGATTCCACTAACACACCAATTAAAATGATGAGTTGGACCAGTTAATATTAAGGGTTTAGGAGTGGTAGTGTGGCCTCTTGGGAACTCTAGATTCTAGAAAAACAGGGACTTCATTTTACTGACATGTGATGCACAGCATCTTAGGGACTCAGCATAGGGAAGCCAAATTCTCACAAACTGACCAGCAAATCTGAGCAATCTCCAGGAGTACTGGACTTCAGAGGGGCTGGCTATTCCTTAGATGCAGTGTCCACTTACACTATGAACCCACTTAGGTTCAAACTCCCTGGACTTTTATTTGTGCGAATTAGTGCCAGAAAGGTAGCTCAGCCATCAAATTTGGAGTTTTCAAGGTCAGTGGTGGAGTAGTTCATAGAATCTATGAGGTTCTCACTGTTTTTGCTTCTGGGAATTGCTGGCTACAACCACTACTTGAAGAACTTTCTTACATATTCAAGATAACGGCGTTTACCACAACTAAGATTCACTTATTCTTGTCATTTAAAAAATCATTTCTTTTTTCCACCTCAGGAACACTGCTACTATAAAGGACACATCCTAAAGGAAAAGGATTCTGTAGCCAGCATTAGTACCTGCAAGGGGTTGAGGTGAGAGCCACTCACAAAAGTATTGAACAACAAGGACCAATTTGTTACACTGAACTTGAGTCTTCCTGGATATTATGTCTTCTTACTACCTTGGTAAAATTGTATCCATCAATAAAATGCTGAATATATGTGGTTAAAGTGGAGGTAAAGTACCACTCTTGTGATCGTTCCGTATTCTGCCTCTCTTAGCAGTTTGCTTTACCAATGTTCACACAAAATACTACATTCTGTACCCTGATGACATGTAGACCCATTTCCATGTTTATCTGTTCAACCCCCTGAAATGATTTTGTTTTGCTTTCTTAGATTCTACTCTGAAATTGTCATGTCATGCCAAATATAATATCTTAAGTGTTAATATTTAATTCTTGCCCATCAGGGAATATTTGGGGAGTGAGAAAAATGCACTCAGTGAAAATAACCACCACAAAATTGTACCTCTGAGTGATCGTTGTTCTTAACACTTTGTCATGTTTGTAGGCTTTTATGAATATCAACAAATATATTTTTTACAGGGTTGAAATATGAACAAAAATACACATAACATTCTTCTAATATCGTTCATACCACTTGACATCAGAAGCCTTTTCCCAATATCATAAAATATTTTCATCAGTGTGCTTTTTAATGGCAATGTTGACTTCAAAATATTCGATCATATGCATTCATTTTATATTTTTGAACTAACTTTCTTACTAAGAAGAGGCATTCCTCAAGCTACTACTAGTTTCAACCTGTCCCTCTGAGTGACCTGCTCCTCTTTCTTTCTGTCTTCTGGGGTTCTTGGTATCTGTAAACACTCACTCGATTCTCCATTATATTTGTAGGGTCTGTTAAGAATATTGCTAAGTGTATAAATAAGCTGGACACATTTATTGAGCTCATAATGTAAATTCCAAATTCTTTGGGAAAGCTTTATCTTAGTATTTCTTGTCCAGAATTCTCTACATAAACATCAGCCCAATTTTAGTATTGAAAAATACTGATTATAACCTAAATTAGCAAAATAGAAAGGCCTATAAAGGAAAAGTAAGTGTGAGCCTGGGATTGAGAGAGAGGTAGGCTCCATTCAGTGTAGGGACTGTGGAGGAGGATTCTGAAATACAAGCCTGCATCTTGCAGGGGATACTTCACTCATCATGGTCAGAGATATATGATAAAGCCTCTGAAAAGTACAGACCAAGAAGATCATGCCGTCCTCACCCATAACCAGGAGGAGCTAGAAACAGCTGATCGCACTTGTGGTGTAAGAAATGTTGGCAGGAAACAAGGACTTCTTCGAACCTCCAGGTCACTCAATAACCCAGAGGTAAGTGTGGCTTTCCTACGTCATCCCATTGTCTCATCAATGGTACATGATCTACTGGTGTGCTCAGCAAGGGTGGTATAGGTAAGGTCTGCAGTTAATTTATTTACTCTTCACTTTAATTTCCCTCTGAAGAAAAATGTACATTTCCTTGTAAGCATTTCAATCTTTCAAGATAAAGATAATTATTAACAATGTTCTTTTATTTTTTGTCAAGCACGAACGCTTTCTTCGGGCTAAGAAGTACATTGATCTCTTTTTGGTGCTGGATAACGCCTTTGTGAGTATGAAATACGTGTGCTCCTTGGATAGCTGAGTCAACTTTTTTAAGTTTTCTTATCAAGCAAAGACAAGCAGTAAACTATTCTAGCTGAGTATGTGGAGCCTGCCCACGTGAATGGTCTGGTCTGTTCTACCTGCCTTGCTGAAATAGTTTTCACTCACCCATTTCTCCTTTAATATCCATCTGCTGCCAAAATATTCAGATCTTAGAAACAGATTAATACAAGATAGCTCCAGAAAATCAATCATAATAATGAGAAACAAAAAAGAATGGGTTATCAAAATATCTTTAAAAATGATCACTATTATATAAATATAAAGTAGATACAAAACCATATATACTTTACAAATTATGTTTATATATATAAAAAACTAGAATCTGTGTTTTAAATGTTGCTTTAAAATCAGATTTCAACAATATTGATTTAAAGACATTGAAAATATTAACTTGATGTATTTGACTGATAAGGGAAAAGCATTAAAATGTGACATGAATGCCTAATTTTTCTCTCTCCAAAATATTCTTTCATTTAAAAATATATTTGTTGAAATGGAGTCTTAGATATAAAATGACTAGACATTTATGTACACTGAAATGTATAATTTTTCTTAAAATGTGAAATCCTGTTCCCCATCATCTTTTTCACTTTAATTCTTTAATTTGTAATTTCAATTATACTTTGCTTACATATTTTACAGTATAACATCTCTAAGGGAAATCTAACTTTGATAAGAAGCTTTTTGTTTGATGTGGTGAACCTACTCAATGTGGTAAGATGTTTGTCTGGAAAAACGTGTTTCCACATGGGAGGCTGGGGTTTCCCTATGGTTTTACCAAGGGGTTGGAAGGGTCACGATGACTTATTGTCAGTAGTTTTGGGAAATTCAGCAGACAAGATTCAGCATTAAGGTAAAATCACTTATACTGTAGCAAAGACAATGTCTAGAATTTGTATTTTCAAAATGGTTTACTTTTATCCATTACTTGTCATCAGCAAAAGATCTAAACACTAAAGAAATCAAATGTTTTCATGGAGAAAAATGCTCTTCCCACAGATTTATAACACCATAGATATTCAAGTGGCCTTGGTAGGTATGGAAATCTGGTCTGACGGTGATAAGATAGCGGTGGTACCCCAAACAGGTGTTACCTTTAACAACTTTCTGAGTTGGCATCGTTCTAACCTGCGGAAAATGAGGAGCCATGATCATGCTCAGCTACTCAGGTGAGCACACAGCGGCTAGGGGCAGGGGTATGTAGGTTCTTGGCAGAAATTTCTGTTCAATTATATCTCTTTGATCAGTTGTCAGAGAGCCTGAAGTTCTACCATTAGCAGGTCCCCTGTAAGATTATTGGAGACCCACATCAGATTACTAAAATAGAACCTGGGATGTGAGATAACTGTCTGTGGATATTCTAATGCTGTGGAATAACAGTCGTTTTTCTGGGCCTAGTGGATATGAAAAGGGTAGGACAAAGAGGAAGATTTTAAATATGATTGGCAAAAGCTAATGGTTCCAAAGACTCAGATTGTGAAAATGAATCTATAACTTTCCACACAGTGGAATCGGCTTCAACAACCGACATGTAGGAATGGCGGCCTCAAACTCCTTGTGTTCTCCATCGTCAGTTGCTGTTATTGAGGTTTGTAAACTTACAGGAAGGCTCCTTGTGGTTCTGTATCCTTTGGAAGACAAGCAAAATGCCTTATACAGACTTAACACAATGAACATTTGCGGAGGCAGTAAACAGAGATAGAAATGAGCCTGCTGGTCATCTACTGGCCATACAATGAAGATCACTTGGATTATGAAACGGAATGTCTCCTCATTGGCCCTCTTGGAAGGCTTCGCTCTTTAACTCGTGTTAAGGAATAAGAGCAGGAATACTGGGACAGAAAGGGAATGCATGTGTCCTCTGACCTGAGTCGATTTCAGATTAATCATCCCCAGTATCAATGGCCCAACAGGTCAGACAGGTGCATGTTGGTGTCATACAGCCAAGCACTACCAATATATTAGGCATCAGGGAATAGTTTGTGGAAGCCG